GACCACGCAATGTTGCAGAGACGTGTCAACCACAACAGCCCTACAACATCCATAGCCTTGAGATACCCAGGACGAACCTCATCCGCCCCCGGGGCTCCGCCGCTGTGTAGTTGTTTGACTACCTCAGCAACTTCTGCCCCCGAGATCGGACAGTCCATCCCCAGGCCTCCCAGCTCTGGTTCCTCCTCGGAATGCGCATTGGTGGGATTGAGGAGCTCCTCAAAGTATTCCTTCCACCGTCCGACTATAGCCTCAGTTGACGTCAGCAGCTCCCCATCCCCACTGTAAACAGTGTGAGCGAGTTGCTGCCTTCCTCTCCTGAGGCGCCGGACAGTTTGCCAGAACCTCTTTGGAGCCGATCGATAGTCTTTCTCCATGGCCTCACCAAACTCCTCCCACGCCCGAGATTTTGCCTCGGCAACTGCCACTGCTGCACCCCGCTTGGCTATCCGGTACCTGTCTGCTGCCTCCGGAGACCCACAGACCAGCCACGCCCTGTAGGCCTCCTTCTTCAGCCTGACGGCTCCCCGAACCTCTGGTGTCCACCAGCGGGTACGGGGGTTGCCACCACGACTGGCACCGGCCACCTTACGGCCACAGCTAGCAACAGCCGCCTCGACAATCGCAGAGTGGAACAAGGCCCACTCGGACTCAATGTCCCCCACTGCTCTCGGGACGTGGTCAAAGCTCTGCCGGAGGTGGGAGTTGAAGACCGTCTTGACAGGTTCTTCTGCCAGGCGTTCCCAGCAGACCCTCACTATGCGTTTGGGTCTGCCAGGTCTACGCGGCATGTTCCCTTGCCATCTGATCCAACTCACCACCAGGTGGTGATCAGTTGACAGCTCCGCCCCTCTCTTCACTCGGGTGTCCAAAACATACGGCCGCAGGTCAGATGATACGACTACAAAATCTATCATCGACCTGTGACCTAGGCTGCCCTGGTACCAAGTGTACCGGTGGGCATCCTTATGTTCGAACATGGTGTTCGTTATGGCCAAACTGCGGCTTGCACAGAAGTCCAATAACAAAACACCGCTCGAGTTCAGATTAGGTGGGCCGTTCCTCCCAATCACACCCCTCCAGGTCAAGCTGTCATTGCCCACGTGAGCATTGAAGTCCCCCAGCAGGACAATGGAGTCCCCTGATGGAGCACTATCTAGCACTCGTCCCAGGGACTCCAAAAAGGGTGGGTACTCTGAACTGATATTTGGCCCATAAGCACAAACAACAGTCAGGACCCGTTCCCCGACCCGAAGGCGCAAGGAAGCTACCCTCTTGTCCCCCGGGGTAAACCCCAACACACAGGCAGAGAGTCTCGGAGCTAACAAAAAGCCAACCCCAGCCCTCCGCCTCTCACCCGGAGCAACTCCAGCAAAGTAGAGTGTCCAACCCCTCTCCAGGTCTCGGGTTCCAGAGCCAATGCAATGTGTCGAGGTGAGTCCGACTATATCTAGCCGGTACCGCTCAACCTCTGCCACAAGCTCCGGCTCCTTCCCCGCCAGCGAGGTGACGTTCCATGTCCCAAAAACTAGTTTTCTTGTCCGGGGATTGGACCGCCAAGGCTCCCGCCTTGGTCTGCCACCCGATTCGCATTGCACCGGACCCTTCATGTTCCTCCTGCGGATGGTGGGTCCACAGTTGGACGAGCCCATGTATCCGGTTCGGGCTGGGCCCGGCCGGGCCCCATGGGCGAAAGCCCGGCCACCAGGCGCTCGCTCACGGGCCCCAACCCCAGGCCTGGCTCCAGGGTGGGACCCCGGTAACCCTCCGGGCCGGGTACTCCGACTCTTCATTTTAACCGCCATGAAAGATCCTTCGAACCGTTCTTTGTCTCACCCTTCACCTAAGACCAATTTGTCATGGGAGACCCTACCAGGGGCACTAAGTGCCCCAGACAACATAGCTCCTAGGATCATTAGGGCACTCAAACTCCTCCACCACGATAAGGTGACGGTTCAAGGAGGAGGATTAATTTCATGTTCAATTAAATTGTGATGTGACAAAAGGAGATTTTCTAATCGCATAGGCTGCAATTTGGCAGCGAGTGGTTAGCGCAATGCTAATATACATGGAAAAACCCATAGAAACATTGTAAAATGTATTCTACTGAACATAATAGATCATCATTCAAAGCATAAACAACTACATATTTTCCTCAAGGTAAGCTGGAGCAGAATTCTAGCTTTCAATAAACACTTTAAAATGGATTTTCCAACTCGAGTTTAGGGCTTCTTGTAGGACTTAAGGTTATTAAATATGCTTATATTAGAGCAGTGTGTTGCATTACTACATCAAATTTATTTCTATAATTATAGTACTGTATGTGGGCAAAATGTGTTCTACAATGTGTTAGGACTGTCGTATTCCTGTAATGTAGAACAGTCAGGGGTGTCTGTCTTCCTACAAATGCTTGGAAAAAAAGGCTACTTTGTGAATGAATTAGGACACAAAATATAATATAATTTATATTAATCCAAGTGTCTGAAACAAGCTTCCTCTGCAAGGTGGTTCCAAGCCAAGTCACCGATCTTCTACATCAAAAGGAGCCAGTGGAGGTGGATTGGGAGTGTAGAGAGAGAACCTTCTGGATGGCTTTCAATGGAGGCGTTAGGACAGATGGAGGACCCAAGGGATTGACTCTCCTTTATTAGCACCTTTTGAGAAGGCTGTGGTCACCAGTCTGGGGCTGAAATTGGATGTGGCGCTCAGACTGGACAGCCAGGTCAATGGAACAATCAGATCTGCTACTTCCATCTCAGGAGAATAGCTAGGATTAAGCTGCTGCTATCTCATAAACATCTGGAAACTGTCATCCACGCCTTCATTACCACCAGACTGGATTACTGTAACTCGCTTTATGCAGGCATCAAGCAGGCCTCCATAGCGAAACTGCAGAAGGTCCAAAATGCGGCAGCCAGGTTACTGACTGGTACCAGGAGATCTGAACACATCACGCCTGTCTTGGCATCCCTACACTGGCTTCCAGTCTCCTTTAGAATTTCGTTTAAAGTTCTGGTGTTTGTTTTTAAAATGTTTAAATGAGTTGGCTCCACGATATCTATCGGATCTGATCCAGCCTTATGTTCCCTCAAGGAACCTTTGGTCAGCACAGCAAGGACTGCTGGTCGTTCCCAAACACAGACTGGAATCTTGGGGGGTCGTGCTTTCTCGGTACTGGGGCCGAGGCTCTGGAATGAGCTACTTGCATGTGTCAAACAGGCCACCACGCTCGGCAATTTTAAGAGCCGTCTGAAAACACACTTTTATTGTTTGGCTTTTACTCAAGAGGAGTCTCGTTATTGGGTGGCTTTGCACTTTTTGCTCCCCCACCTAGATTTAATCTACATGTTTTTGTTGGTTTTTAAATGGTTTTATATGTTTTAATTTCTTTATGTTCATTTCTGTTGTGCAGCGCTTGGTTTGGTCGTTGGGCCATGTGAAGGCGCTATATAAAGTTTAGTAGTAGCAGTAATATCTCACAGATGGGCTGCAAATGCATTAGAGTCCCTCCAAAATGGCTGGAGAAAAAGATCTGATGATCCTGGTCCTGGATATGGATGGGTGCTCACTTATTTGGCCCACCCATTCTCAACATCCCCAAACTAAACCTTCCTGTTTACATGGAAAATATCAATACTAATGTGCATCAGGTTTGCATTTTCTTCATTTCTTCTCTTTCATTTTTTTTCATTGAGCCTTTAGTCTATTTTGTTTTCGCTCAAATGGAAAAGACATTATTGATGCCATATTTGGAGTCTAAGTGACGTCTTCTACAAGTCCTGGTAACACGGTGTTTAATAATAAGTCCCTGTGGTAGTTCTGTTGGCTGCATGAGCCTCATTTATTTACCCTGGATCAGTGCATTTTCTATTTATAAGTATTTCTCTTTAAAAAGTTTATTTTTTGTACTTTACATGTCAGAACCATTCCACACAAAATGTTACAACTGGACCAAAAATTATGTTTTTTTTAAAGGACATGCATATTTATCTTTGGGTTAGTAGGTAACTGTACTGCAGATTGCATACATGCACTTTAGAAGGACATTTTATGATTTATTGCTTAGTTGTGGAGAAATTAATTTGTACGTGTCTGTAAAGTTATATTTAGGTACTAAATTTATGACAAGAAGCAAAGCAGGGTTAAAGCTGTCTGCTTTGTGCCTTCCTGTCTTTATTATCTGGTTGTTTGGAGACCTCAGCATATTTATATCGGTGCTTCCACTCAACCCTCACTCCGTGCAGCCTAATAAGGAATCGATGGAGGGAGGGCACGGAGCACGAGGGGAAAGTGGTGGGAAAGCCTTTTAAAAATGAGAATCGGACGTATTTTCACACAAAGCTTTTTAGTCTGTGCACACACACGTTTTGATGTGAAGAGAAACCACATGGAAGAGGCCGAGAGGACAGAGCTGAATAAAGATTTCAGCAGGTTTGAAGGACAAGTTCCCAAATGTTGGGAACCACTTTGATGTAGAATTGTTAGCCTTAGTAATGCATGAATGCATCGGACTAAACAAAAGTACATTATAAGAGTACTTCAAAGTGTTTTTTTTAATCTAACATCTCTTTCATATATTGTCTTTCTGCTGGTTCACATCAAAGGCTTCCAACAAATAAAAGAAGCACCGCTATGTTAGTCCACACACCGAGACCCAGAAACTTCACCACAAACCGCAGCACACATCCTGGATCTTTAGCTTTTGCTTTCCCTTCAAAGCGAGGTGTTCTCTCCATCAGTTTCTGGAAACCTGAGGGGATTTCTCTCACACACACACACACACACGCACGCACGCACGCACGCACGCACGCACGCACGCACGCACGCACGCACGCACGCACGCACGCACACACACACCCACCCTGATGCTTTATTACTTGTCTGAGAACTGTCACCTGATTCTCTCATATGCTCTCAGCCCAACCAGCAGATTAGATTACCACAGTGCTCCCCGACACCTCCTCGTCTCCTCTTGATCGGTCACGTCTTTTCTGTTTCAGCCTTCAGAAATGCCCCAGCATAACATGGAAAACTCCAGGAGCCAGTGGCAGCAGGGTCCGCGTCCGCCGTGGATCAGCAGGGTGGCTGGAGGTCAGAGTCCCTCCTCCTCGGGGGCGGAGTCAGACACGGAGAGCAGCAGCACGGAGGGCGAGAAGGTAAGCGGCTGAAGTGAAGTTGTTGATGTTGGTTAAATAGAAGATTTCAGTCATATTTTTATGGAAGATAAAATTAACGTCTTTCTTTTCATTGAGACTGAGTCTTGAGTTAAACACCTCGAGTCACAAGTTCTAGATTCAGTGATCGACTTGTTTGTGATGCTCTGTTGGCCCTATTTTCCATCTCTGTCAGTCCTGCGTTAAAAATCTGGAGGTCAGCTTTGTGAGGATCCTGCCGTCGACGTCAGTGCTCCAACACCGCATCGCAGAAATCAACCAACAAAAAGAAGAACTGAAGATAGAGGTGAGTCTCAGATAGCTGTCTTTTTTTTGTTTGACACAAAAAAACCCAATTTTACCTTTTACATTCATGGTAAACGCTTACTTTTGTGCCCGATTAGACTATTTCTCCAATAAGCAAGCTGAACACATCAATATTTTCATAAATAAACAAACGTTTTGCAAGTTTATGCAGTGAGGCTCCAGATAGAATGTTTGAGGAATGTCTAGAATGATTTTCAGAGTGTTTATGCTGAACTTTGTCTGCTTAAATCCAATACTGAGTTTTCAGACAACAGCAAAGTCATTGTTAAAGAATGCATGGCTCCGACTAGCTCAGGGTTTGGTCCGTATGATTCAGCTCGGTCACATCTTCTGTCCTTTCAGCTGCAGCTGGAGATCGCCTTGCTGCAGGGAGAGCTGCAGACGGAGAAGGCCCAGCTGCAGAGGCACGGTCAGAAGCTGCAGGTTCTGCAGCAGCAGGCCAGACGAAGAGAGAAGCACAAACACGCAGACAGAATTAAGGTAAGATGTGTATAAGTAGTTGTGGTGTGGAGATGAAAGCTGCGGCGCTGGAGGTTGGTGTAGATTCTACACGAGTATTTGGGCCTGACATGGTCCAGTTGGACCTGCACAAGATCTCGTTAATGATAAGTCTGGATTTTAACGCTCTGGTGCACGGCTGTCGGAGCGGAAAAGACCGTGGGTGTCTCTGCAAGAAGGGTTGTGAAATGGATATTTAGCTGTGGTGGGTTTTTTTGTTTTGTGGCTAAACGGTTTTGTTCGTTCAGGAGCAAGAGAGTCTGGAGGAGGAGAGACGCAGGGTGGAGGAGCTGAAGAGGAGGTGTGAGGAGAAGGAGAAGCTGATCCCCAGTCAGCCAGAAAGTCAACGAGAGCAGCTCAGAACTCAGCTGCAGCAGGTGGGCAGATGGTACCGCGTCTGATTCTGACAGCATAGATGATACCAAATGTAGGGGTGGGCTTGACTCAAGATGCTTATTTATCAGATGAAAAGGCCCAAAAGCATCCGTTTGAATAAGGATTAGCTGATGCTAGTTTAAAAACACTGACAGTGTTTTATCTGTTTTTAATAATTGAAATGAAATTCTAAAAATAATCAATACAAATGAGTAAAATATTATTATTTTTGCAGCCAGAGTAACAAAATTACCAATAAGAAAAAGGACCTGGAAACAGATCAAGATAAAGAGGATTTTTCGGTTACTGTTTGGAAATAAATAGTAAAATAAAAACCCAAACAGAACAAACTCACAACACATTCGGCCTCAGTTTATTCATCTCTTCTCTAAAGTTGCTGCAGTCAAACTTGAGCTGATTTTTAGAAGAAATGTGACTCAAAACCTAATCTTGTTCACATGAAATAAGCTTCCTGATTGGTTGGTTTGAGGTATTTTATCTTTAAAAAGAAGAATTCCAACAATTTATAAAATAACGAAATGTTGCATTACATTTAATTAGAAATTCTGAAATTAAATACTTATTTACATCTGAGAATAACCTCGTTGTTGTTTTTGTAAAGTATTTGCTTTTAAGTGTAAATCATCATGCACCCTAAAGGCAGCTGATACTCTGCTGTTTAAAGGTGTGTGTGTGTGTGTGTGTGTGTGTGTGTGTGTGTGTGTGTGTGTGTGTGTGTGTGTGTGTTGACATCACTGCTGACTCTTGTTTTTCAGTATCAGGTTGTTCAATACCTGTTAAACCTGAAGTGTGCATGCAGAAAGATGCGCGCACACACACACACACACACACACACACACACACACACACACACACACACACACACACACACACACACACACACACACACACACACACACACACACACACACACACAGAAGGCAGGGTGTGTGTGAGATTTGTTTGGAGGAAACTTTTACAAACCTGTTTGGCACAATCAGCCTGAGAGATGTTCTGGATCGTTTCTTAACTTTGAAACATAAAATGATTCGTTTTCTTTTATTTATGCAGCAAAACTTTCAGAAACCGAAGCAGTTAAGTCAAATTTTGGAGGTAGTAATAAATGTTTATAAGCACGCGACCTTTTAATGAAGATGCTGCGCACAAAGTATTGAAACTAGCATCATTAAAAACATGTAGTTATAAATTGGGAATGATTTTAGTTTTGCATGAGGAAACATCTGTTTTTCTAACTCTGTTTGTTACAAATGTAAGACTTCTTCAAGCTATTATTAACTGTAATATCACAAATCTGCATTGTCTTTATTAATGTAACTCAGTTGGAGCTGCGATACTCCCACTACCACTAATAAGAATAACTGAGTGACTGTCATCTGTTTTAGTTGTAAACCCAACTTTTCTGCATTTGACCACAGAACTTTGATCACTTTCTCTAAAAACGTGTTCTATAATCATTCTGGAGCTGAAATTAATTTAATGCCTGAAATGTGAAATAACAATAAAACAATATAGTTTTCAAAACAAAAGTATTCATTGGCTAATGTAAATATAACAACAATATAAAAATTAGTTTAGTTATATAATTATTTAACAATAAAAGCGGAATAAAGAAATTAAATAGGCCCTTTAGACCTGGAGATCTTCCACCAGGGGGCAGTAGACATGACTGATGAAAGAACTAATCCTAGTACTTCATCTGGGTGCTTTAAGGACATTAGAGTATTTATTAAATAGACATAAAGATGTGGTTGATTGTGTCTATTTTTGCAGGAAAGGGAGGCGATGGAAGCTGCTATTCGGGCGTTCGAGGACTGGGAATTCCGTGTTCTAGAACGGGAGAGCGGCATCGACGAGGAAGACGAGGGCACGGGTGAAAAACTGAGAGAGGGGGAGAGTGACGGAGAGATGGAGAAGGAAGTGTCTCGTCAGCAGCACGCGGTCAACACGGCTCAGGTAAAACATCTGCCTCTCTTCTGGGAATTTAGGAGTTTCCAGTTTATCAGTGGATCATGTGGTCCGTGTTTACCTTTGAGACGTGACGTCACACTTGCTCATGAAAAATCCTGATTCGCACCTCCCTTTTGTTTAGTCTGCAGGGAGGTCAAACTGAGCTCTGAAGCTAAGTTTGTGACTGAAATCAGACGTTTATTTTTTCTGGCTAAAATGTTTTAAACCATCTGAAATGATTCAGTTTGTCAGTAAAAATAAACTGAAGGCAGACCTAAAATTCAGCTTCAAAGTCAAGAGTTTGTGCTCCTCCTATGTTAATCACAGAGTCTCTGGCATTGATCTTCAGAGCAGAACATCTTCCTCAGACAGAAGGCTTCCTTTGCTTTTGCTTCCTTGTTGCCCACAACAGACACGACCTCGGATTAGGATGAGCTGATGAAGACGTGTAATCTTCTAATCTGGTTCAGTTCATGGTTTCTAAGCAGGTTAGCACTCGTTATTCTCTCCCTTCTAATTGTGACACTAAGAAGTGACTTCTTGGCTGAAAGCGTCATCTTTAATCTGTCACAGGTTCATAGATTTATTACATCTGAGACCACCGTGAAGTAAAACCTCAGTGTCATGAAGGGAACACGGATATGGAAATGGAAACGAGGAAGATGAAAAAACACGTCAATTTGGCTTCATTTGATTTGATGAACAGCTGCTTGTTGGAAGCTGAGAGCTAAATTTGTAAAACTAATACACTCAACAAAAATATAAACTCAACACCTTTGTTTCTGCTCTGATTTTTCATGAGATTGACCAAAAGATCTAAAATTCATTCCAGATACACAATATTACCATTTCTCTCAAACATTATTCACAAATCAGTCTAAATGTGCGATAATGAGCACTTCTGCTTTGCTGAGATAATTCATCCCACCTCACAGGCGTGCCACATCAAGATGCTGATCTGACATCATGAGTAGTGCACAGGTGTACCTTATACTGCCCACAATAAAAGGCCACCCTGGAATGTACAGTTTTGTCTCACAGCAAAATGCCACAGATGCCACAAGCATTGAGGGAGCATGCAATTGGCATGCTGACAGCAGGAATGTCAACCAGATCTGTTGCTCGTGCATTGAATGTTCATTTCTCCACCATAAGCCATCTCCAAAGGCGTTTCAGAGAATATGGCAGTACATCCAACTGGCCTCACAACCGCAGACGACGTGTAACCACACCAGCCCAGGACCTCCACATCCAGCAGGTTCACCTCCAAGATCGTCTGAGACCAGCCACTCAGACAGCTGCTGAACAATTGGTTTGCATAACCAAAACATTTCTGCACAATCTGTCAGAAACCGTCTCAGGAAAGCTCAACTGCATGCTCTTCGTCCTTATCGGGGTCTTGACCTGACTCCAGCTCGTCGCCATAACAGACTTGAGTGGGCAAATGCCCACATTCAATGGTGTCTGGCACGTTGGAGAGGTGTTCTCTTCACGAATGAATCTCGGTTTACATTGTTCAGGGCAGATGGCAGACAGCGTGCGTGGCGTTGTGTGGGTGAGCGCTTTGCTGATGTCATGTTGTGGATCGAGTGGCACATGGTGGTGATGGAGTTATGTATGGGCAGGCATCGTTATGGACGAAGAACACAGGTGCATTTTGTTGATGGCATTTTGAATGCACAGAGATACCGTGATGAGATCCCGAGGCCCATTGTTGTGCCTTACATCCATGAACATCACCTCATGTTTCAGCAAGATAATGCACGGCCCCAAGTTGCAAGGATCTGTACGCAATTCTTGGAAGCTGAAAATGTCCCAGTTCTTGCATGGCCAACATACTCACCGGACATGTCACCCGTTGAGCATGTTTGGGATGTGCTTGACCGGCGTATACTACAGCGTGTACCAGTTCCCACTAATATCCAACAACTTCGCACAGCCATTGAAGAGGAGTGGACCAACATTCCACAGGCCACAATTGACAATCTGATAAACTCTATGCGAAGAAGATGTGTTGCACTGCATGAGGCAAATGGTGGTCACACCAGATACTGACCGGTTCTGAGTCCCCAGACCCCCAATAAAGCAAAAAACTGCACATTCCAGGGTGGCCTTTTATTATGGGCAGTATAAGGTACACCTGTGCACTACTCATGATGTCAGATCAGCATCTTGATGTGGCACGCCTGTGAGGTGGGATGAGTTATCTCAGCAAAGCACAGGTGCTCACTATTACACATTTAGACTGATTTGTGATCAATGTTTGAGAGAAATGGTAATATTGTGTATCTGGAATGAATTTTAGATCTTTAAGTCCCATCTCATGAAAAATCGGAGCAGAAAAAAAGGTGTTGCGTTTATATTTTTGTTGAGTATAATAAAACAAGCCATTGGACGGGATAAAGAGGAGCAGCCACCCAGTTCAGTCTGATTTACTGTTTATTAACACCTGAACTCCCAGAATTCCAACTTCACTAGAGTTCTGAGTAACCGTCAATTTGAAGGTTTTAATTTTGGCCATTAAATGCAGGCTGACAACGACGTTGTGGAGCAAAACGGTTCTAGTGCGCTATTATTTCACTCTGTATGGATGTGTGAACCCAATGAATTGGTAGGAAAATATAGTTTAAATCCAAACCTTGTAAAGACGTCTCTTAATTGTTCGGTGGGTGGCCGACACGGCTCCTTTCCACTGACCAGTTTTCATCAGCTTTCCCTTCTCTGCCTGAAGCAGCATCATTTCTCATTCTTGTTTCATTGAGAACATTCTTCTAAAAGTCGTTTTAACAGCTATTTCACACGGAGTTTGAACGGAGAGCGAGCGCACACGATGCTAGCATCGGTGGATGCTATCGACCGATATATCAGGCTGCCATTTTTCCCATTAGTCATGTAATGGCTGATGCTGATATATGAAAACTATATGAATATAATGAATAAATGAAAAATGGTAAATACCCAGTCACAAAATCAGGCCAATATTTACCATTTTTCATACATCTGCATAAGCAGATATACCTCCTTTAGTAAAGCAGGAATAACATCTGCATAATAAATACCCTTAAAATGTACTTCAACTAAAATATTTCTTTATTTTTACCAGTTTAGAATATTTAATACTTGGTCAGTTAATTAATTTGTTTGATTAACTTTAGTTAGATGTCTGGTTTTACCACTGAGCAGTGCACACATTTTAAGGGATATAAAGCAGTTTTGGCCTGCTTTTAGCACCCCCTAGTGTCCGTAAGTGAAAACAACATTGAAACTCAACTCGTTGTGCGTTCATGTTTTTAACACTTTAATCTGACAGCTGAAACATCTCCTCAGCCTTCATTAGTTTCAACAGGAGCGGCTCACCACTAAATCAAATCAAATCAGCAGTGTTCAAGATTTCAAAACGTGCAGGAATCGTCCTGGAAGCAGACTCCAGTGCCAGGCATGTCAGCTCCAGCGTTTTCTAAGTCCAACAGAGCCCGGGTCAGATACTCTGAAGTTTCAAGTGCAGTATTCTGACCACAGGGGGTGGTGGGGTCTGACCCTGTAAAGCCTGATTTATGCTTCTCCGTCTGCGTCAGTGCGGAGACACGCAACTCCATTATCCGTCCTTGCGTAGGGCTCCGGCAGGCACGCAAGTACGTACGGAGTCGAGCCCACTTTTTTAAACATCCGTCGAACGAGACGGATTACGCAAGCTTGTGACTGGTCAGAATGCCGCTGTTGTTTACAGCGCCGCCATTGCAAAGAGAGCTGAGGATAACTAGCGGCAGACACGGAGAAGCTTGAAGAATACCTCGCGAAAAAACTCTAAAAATATGAACGTTTCATTCTCCCGTGACTGGAGGAGTGAAAATATACACAGCAAGCGTTTTATTTGTGGATGGAAATGACAGGAAACGTGGGTTTAGAGGTGGGGAGCGCATGAAGTGGTGGGAGAATGAGAGACAAATATGTCCATGTTAAAAGTCTCTTATATACACAAAAAACACAATATAAACACACTATCTTGGACCGATACATGACAGGATACCACAGAACAGCGCTACGCCCTCTGTTGTCCTGCCAGGCAATTGCTTTGCAACACTCTCCAGGAGACGGAAAAGTAAAAGAGCAAAACGCTTCCGTCAATCCGTGCGTGTCTGTCCCTTGTGGAGCTGACGGAGAAGCATAAACCAGGCTTAACCCTGTAAAGCAGGGGTATTCAATTCCGGGCTTAGTGGGACAGTATCCAGCACGTTTTAGTGGTTTCTCTGCCCCAACCCACTTGATTGAGTGGTTGAATCACTTGTGCAGCAGCTCAGCAGGCTCTGCAGCAGCCTCTTAATTACCTGCTGATTGAAATCAGGCATGTTGAAGCAGGTTAAAACTAAAACCCGCTGGATACCGGCCCTCCCCTGCTGTAAAGGGACATTTTAGCACATACTGGTTCATGAAAATGAAAAAGCTGCATAGTATCCCTTTAAAATTAAACAATTGGTTAAATTCAGAGTTTGAAAGCTGATTTAACTTCAGACATTTGGTGCATTAACTGGTTATTAGAGACATTTTAGCATGTAAAAAAGGTGGAAAACGTCTAGATATTGGCCGTAGAATCTATCAGTAATAGAAAAGCCAAAATCGGTCGACCTTTAATTATATCGTATATCACATAATGCATGGGAACACTTTTAAGCCACGGGCTGTAAATGTTGACAACAAATTGCAAACCACATTTTTAACGGGTTTTCAAAAGGTTTCCAAACTGTTGTGAAGGTTCTCGATATCCTGTTGCGTCGCCAGATTTTAGAACAAATAGAAAAATATTGTATAACTAATTTCCTCTCAAAATAATCAGTTATTGAGGAGGTCTGGAACAGTTCTCAACTATATGAGACGATAAAATGGACAATTAGAATTATGAATCCTATCTAATAGCAACCTGAACATTTGCAGCTAGGTCCCGTATGTCCTGAGAGATTTGACACTTTCTCTGATGATTCGTGAAATTTTGAAGTATTTTTAAAAAATTTGTCCTCTGGTTTCACAGCCCAGTGAGGTATAGTGGTGCCGACGATCAGGTGTTTAAACGTTCTAAACGAGGGGCGAGTGTGATGTAGGTTGAGAAGATGCAGACTACGGCACGCTTGATTAATCTCAATTTGTTCCCAACAAGCCTTTTCATGTGCTTGGCTGCTTTTCAGATAAAACAGTTTAGCCTCCAGCCTGATTTCACTGGAGCCAAAAATCCTTGGAGTTCCATCTCGAAGCTGCATTAAAGCTGCGAGTCACTAGTCCCAAAAGTCATCATTTTTAATCGGAGAAATTCTACCTACCTATTTATTTATTTATTGACCCCCAAAACAAAACTGATGACTTGTGCAGGAGGATTTAAAGTATGCAGCTTTGCATTTTTCTGATATAAAACTTTTTATTCAAGCATTACATTAAAAACAACGAATAAAACAAAAATGCATCCTTCACATAAACACAGTGAAACTGATTCTGGTTGAGTTTTTTTTTCTTCCCCTTTTTCAACAAATCAGCAGATTTGCAACCATGTAGAATTCCATTTAAAATCATATCTGGTGACAAATGTGTTGAATTGTTTCTCTTCGTTGACCTGATGTTGTTGGAGGAGGATGACGATGGGGATTGTGTGAGAGCGATGTTGGTTATTGCATCAGCAAGTGTGGCTAGTTGCACTTGAATGAATATCCGTTACATTTACCGTTCTCAGGTGCAGAATTGTCATTTCTGATGTTTTTGAGCTGCCCTTTGAAATATTTCCTCTGCATTAAACAACCGTGCAAAGATTTCTCATTAAATCTAAATGAGATCTACTTTGATCCCATCTTTGTGTTCTCACATCAGCCCTAAAGTTGTTTCTTTTAGGAAGATTAGTTCACAAAGTTTTGATGTTTGATTAAAACTTGCGCCATGCAGAAGAATCGGCTGCAGCACCCCACCCCCTTAAACAGGAACCAGACATGTGGCCGAAGCTGATGGGCATGACTCTCTGAACCTTCAGGAACGAGTTCAGCAGCTGGAGAGGCAGCTGAGGGAGATGGAGAAGGAGAAGGAAAGAGAGCTGAACTCCTTGAGGAAAGAGAAAAGGGAGCTCCTCCACACCAGTCAAACTGCTCGAGAGGTCAGACTTTGCTTTTACTAATTTTGTCTTTTTCAGTGCTGACTGTTTTTTGTATCTAAGGGCATCTCAGGTCAGGATCTCCAGCAAAGTGTGAGAAGTTGTGTCCTGAGGTGACTTTTGTTGTGAATCGGTGCAACAGACACGAAGCAGATTGAAGGGAATGCCATGTAGAGTTTGCTCAGGTGTTTTGGGTCAGCTGGTAATGACTCAGCAGCGCCGGTTTGTATTCTGTTATCTATTTTAGTTCGCACTTTGTGACTCGCCTACAGGAAAGTCACATGACTCTGCAGGTCTGAGGAGAGAAGGCCTCCTTGTGTGTGTGTGCGTGCGTGCGTGCGTGCGTGCATGTATGCATGCGTGCGTGTGTGTGTGTATGTGTGTGTGTGTTCTGAATCTGTAGATGAGTAATTTATGCAAAGCACAGTTTGGCTGTAAACTATGGTGGCCGTGTTGGGTCATTGTTGCATCCGCACAGCTGTTGCTCACTGGATATTTTCTCTTTTTTCTCACCGTTCTCTAAAGCCCACAGATGGTTGTGGGTGATAGTTCCCAGCAGATCTGCATTTTTCTGAAAGACTATCCCATCTGGCTCCAACATCCATGCTGCGTTTAAATCACTTAAATCTCAGTTTGCCTTCCTTCTGAAGCTCGGTTTTAACTTCTGAAAGTCATCTTCACCACGTTTAAATGCCTAGGTGCATCGGGCTGGTGCTGTGGGAGTGGCTTATTTGGTATATTGACCTTTGACCTTAGCATGAGAGGGATCAGGACACATGAGCTACTTTAATTAAACTGATGCCTTAAGGACCAAAGTTTCTATTATTTGGTTGGTCTGGCAACTTTTAGCTTTTGCTCCATTAACTCATTCACTGCCAGCCGTTTCCTGATCACTAACAGCCTTCGCTGCCAGCGTTTCTCACCGTTTTTACTGTTTTTTTAAGAGTCACAGAACGTTGTGCGCTAGCATGATGTCGACGCCAAAACAACCAAAACAAAGAGGAGACTAACCTCTTACATCAGGAAGAAGCCGCGTGTTTAGAGCGTTATCCGTTCTTACATAATCCGTTGTCAAATTGTGATCGGCAGACGCTTTTCCGGTTCGCGCCTCACTTTTTTTACAGGAACGGCCCAAAACGATCTCCAAACACATGGACGTGTTGCTTCCTGATCACGTGACGTGTGACGTATGCGGATGAAGATCGGCATCAGGGCTGAGATGTTTGTTCTCTCAGCGCGGGGGCTCGTTCCGATGCCCAAACAGTAAAAAAAAATGCAAATGACGACTTTAGTCGTCATTGGCAGTGAACGGGTGGATCTAAAATGACGACTTTAGTCGTCAATGGCAGTGAACGGTTGGATCTAAAATGACGACTTTAGTCGTCAATGGCAGTGAACGGTTGGATCTAAAATGACGACTTTAGTCGTCAATGGCAGTCAACGGTTGGATCTAAAATTAGGGATGCACCGATACCGATACTGGTATCGGTATCAGTGCCGATACCGATACCAGTATCGGTATCGGTAAAAGTTAACCGATACCAGGTACCGATACCAATGCAGTTGCTTGAAAATGGCTTCACTGTAACTTGTAAAAGAGGTATCGGTGCATTCCTATCTAAAATGACGACTTTAGTCGTTAATGGCATTGAATGAGTTAAAGATTTTGCAACTTGTCATTAAACTTTGAGTTTTAATTGAACTCCTAGATATGTTTAGAGGACATCCCACTGTGCTGGTGCCGCTTTTATCATAAACACTTGCCATTCCAGGGAATGTGACTTACCCAGTAATTAAACCGTGTTGGGGCTTTATCCCCTCGGCGGTGGGTTGTCTTTGCTCTGCGCGCTCTGACAGCACCAGATCAAGTGATCAGCAGACAAGATCTGGAAGAGGAAAAAACAAATCAAATGGGCAGAGGGAGTTAGTCAGCGAGCACGACTCAAGCCGAAAGGAAGGAGGGAGGGAGGAGTAAACGACATGAGGGTGGGTGCTGTGGTTGTGTTTGTGTGTGGAAGGGTGTGTGTGTGTGTGTGTGGATGCATGAGAGAGGGAGAGACGGCCAGCTGGGAGAAGTTTCACATCCCTACTGTAAGTGGTAAGCTGACAGATTGGATACAAATGCATCTGTGTGTGTCTGAGGGATGTTAAAACTTTTTTTTTTTTAAGTTAGGGTGTTTTGTTAAAAATAGGATAGCCGAAACAGACGGATGACAGAGGGGAGTGGTGTTGTAGGGAAGGAGGAATGAGCAACAAGTCAAAAACGTAACAGAAAGGGAATGAGGAGTGTGCGGATTGTTGAGTCGTAGATGATGTTCGAGGAGAGAATCTGGTTGGATTACAGTGCTGTGAGAACGTAGATGGAACGTGTATGAGTAGATTTGACTCGTGGATGCTTTCGAATCCCTGGAAAACCATTCCCTGATACCATGTGTTGGTGTGAAACAGAAACGGATCAATGAGGGTTAAACTTCGGACGGCATGAAGTGAGTGAATTGCTCGTGCGTTTGTGAGCCGAGCCGGGTGGGAGGGCTCCAGGAGAGAGAAAGTTGCTGTGATGGTTTTTTTAACTCATTACGATCCATCTAGGAAGTCTTAAGTCATTTTACTTCTCAGCCAGATGTGATGGCAGCTTTTCTAGACGTGTTTGTCGTCCCCTGCCCTTCAGCTAAGCTCAAACAAAAACATATTTTAAGACGTCGTCAGTCTGTTGCTAAATTTTGAAACTGAATCTGGTCCAACAGGTTCTCAAGGAGAAGAAGCCTCTCGCGGATTGGTCAAACATCACCGGCTCAGCTCCGTGCATGATGTCACTTTCACCTTTGACTGTTCACAAGCCTCCACAGGTGTGCCCCGTACCACAGCTTTAAAACCACTCTGAAGTTTTGGGTGAACACAACTGCCAAATTTACAAAGACCACAAAGAAATACACAGATCCTGATCTGATACCCTCAGAGCTTCTGAGTCCACGTTTCCGTGGAAACGCTCTTAACTCAAAAAATGTGGTTTTAAAACTCAAATCTCTTCTCATTAAAGCTAATGAAATCAGCTTTGGACATTTGTTTGTACTTCTGATACTTTGGGACATTATTTATCGTTGTTGGTGACTGCTTTTATCTCCAGGAACCAAACAAAGATGCTTCCAGTTTGCCCAGAAGAAGAAGCTTGCATCGAAACAACCGTCCCAGTGACAGGCCCATGTCGATGCAGGGTGAGTTACGAGCTAATCTCATTTTTCTACCTTTCATTTTGCTCCTGGTGGCTCAAGCTTTGTAGTTCAGGACAATAAAGACTCTCTCTGTGTGTTCATGCCGTGTTTGTTCAGTTCCCTCCCTTTTAGTCAAATCAAAGGTGTGTCAGGAGATCTTGTTACTGTGATGCTGAGCACACGGCACACGAGAAACTCCCGTTTTTATGTTTTTGTCCCGACTACTCTGTCAGATGTTTACCTGATCCACCAGCTCATGTCAAGTCTTGCTAGGTTTTACCTTTACGCCCTGCTTGTGTCTCTCCTTCCACTTCCAGGGTTGGTGAGGTCGCTTCCAGACAGCCAGCCTCCAGACATCTACGTTTCCCCCGTCCCATCCCATAGACTCAGCAACAAGCACAGCAACGGGCTCAGTCCCGGGACCGGTAACGGCGCCGCGCTCCGCACGCCGTGCAACAGCACAACCAGCTCTCGTGCACCCAGGTCAGTTCTGGATTAATGCGATGTGCTTTAGCAAGATATAACTATGATTACAAAACGTAAAACTCTATTTATAAAGCTTCTGTCAAGACAGGATGAGTAAAAACAATCAATTAAAAGCTGATATTTTAAACACATCCACCGAGTCAACCTGCTGGAGTTGCTGAGAGGGCCTTTTAGAGATTAGGGCATTCGCGCTGACCCTTAGTTTTCATCCTGGTGCGAGGCACAGCCAGCAGGCTCTGATTGCTCGATCTCAGTGACATATTTCACACATTCTGTGATGTAACCAAAGGTTTGATTGTACAATGCCCGAAATGTCAAGAGCAAGATTTTATAGTTTGCACTAGACCGAATGGGAAGCCAATATTGCTTTAAGAGTAAGGGTGTGGCATGAGGGGCCTTTGGAGATTATGCTGCCACAAATTAACACTGGAGGCATCAGCGGAAAGGTATACGTGTGTACTTCGCTGCACGCCAATCCACACTGGGAGAGAGTCTCAGCTGCGGAGGGGCTTCTCTGCTGTCCTCGCCGAACTTGCGAGATCACAAAATACCTTGAGACTTCATAGATCATGGTTTGTTTATGCCAAAAGCAAGCATTCAAAAAGGAGGAGGAAATCACGTTTGGTGTGTATATATATATATATATATATATATATATATATATATATATATATATATATATATATATATATATGCATTAGGGCTGGCCAATAAATCGAAAATGTATCGTCATCGAAATTTCTGACTTTTATCGTGATCATTTTTCCCATGTCAATAAATCTGATAATAAAAAAATAAAAAGATGTGTGTAGGTTGGCAACGTTCCTGTCCCTTTAAGAAGCTGCACCACCTTGAGTCACAAAAAAATGTGACTCAACAAGATACACGTGACAGCCCCATCTAGTGGACAACTTTTGTTTCTGCGCATGCCTGTAGATATCCATTTATTGTTATCGGGGTGAAATCTTCATATATATATATTTATATATAATATTGTATAATATTGCTCCTCTCCACTGCCAAGATTACAGCCACAAAACGGCGAATCTGACTTTTCTGGTTTACAACTAGTTTACAACTAAATAAACATAAAGAAACAAATTTGAAAGATTTGAGGACTGATAATGACTGTCAGCTCATCTACCCAAAATGTTTATAATTAACAGAAAAGGAAATGCATGTTTTTCAATTACTGCTAAACTTGAAGATTTTCCCTCTGTTCGTAAAAAACTTCACACAGAATATTTGTTCTTGCTAACATGACTTGGAGCTTATTGATGGCGAATTCAGGAAAAAAGCCACGCGTTTTTGCTGCTGGTTCAATTCTTTTATATATTGGATTTAAGTATTGCACCAATTCACAACAAGAGTCGCCTCAAGGCACTTCACAAAGCAAACCTTCAAATCAAACATCCTTATCAGTTCATTATAACTAATTAATTAAGTTTCCTATAAAAAAAACAGCAGATTGCATCGAGTCCCTGACTTGTTGTCTCGGAGACTTTACAGCAGTCCAATATTAAGCAAGCATGCAGCGACAGTGGAGAGGAAAACTCCCCTTTAACAGGAAGAAACCTCCAACAGAACCTGGCTCGGGTTCTGCAGCCGCCTGCTGCTTGGTTTTGATGTGTTCTTGTACGGGACTGAATAAGCAAAAACTCTTTAGACTTTTGGCTTTCTCATTTATTCCATTTATACTCTGCAGACTTATTTAGATGATCGTTCTTACTGACAGTACTTAGATAATGAGTGACAAGCACAGGAACAGGTGATAATGGCTGATACTGTTTGCTCTCATTGGAGCATCCTCCCTTTTAAATATACACAAACGTTTTGCTGGATTGTTTGTTTTCAATTATTGTGTTCCTTGGCACTAAAACTAATGTGCTTTTTGATTTATTTGTTTATTATAAGATATATTATGTGTTTAATTTTCTGTTTATTGTTCCTCCTCCGCAGCCCGTGTCTTCTGGATCTGGTTGAGATTGAGAAGAAACTGAGGGAAGCCAAAGCAGAGAGAGAGAGGCTGCTTAGAGAGCGGGTGAGTCACCCGGCATGGGAAACTCTTCCCTAATCATGGGTGACACACCGCGTTAGGCACGGTCTGGTCCTGGCTGACACACACTCAGCTCACACGTGATCATCCAGCATATGGTTGGACTGTTAGCAGCACTGGCTAGTATCAGAACTGAAAAATGTACAGAAGTAGTTTGTTGGTCAGTTTTTGTTTTAGTAGAAGCAACGTTAGCAGATTCTAATGCTCGTTTGTTGGACCAGGAGGAGCGGCGGCGGATGGTGCTGCTGGAGGAAAGAATCCAAAGAGATCTTAACTCCACCAGAGAAGATCCACCAGAACCAGAGACCCAATCAAAGCCAGAACCAGAAGCTATTGAAGCGCCGAAGGTAGTTTCACCCCCAAACTCCTCTGAGGTATAAATAACATACAAACTCATAAAACAACATGAAATACATTATTTTCACATTTAGCAATTAGCTAAATTATAAAACTGATGCAGGAGTTCGTGCATTACTCAACATATTTGGGGTTTCAGAATGATGATGTGGTCCTCCTAGCTTCATCCAGCTGGGTAGGTTCACGGCCGAGTGTGAAACGGCTGGGATGAGGATCAGCACCTCCAAATCTGAGACCACGGTTCTCAACCGGAAAAGGGTGGCTTGCCAACTCCGGGTCAGGAGAGAGGTCCTACCTCAAGTGGAGGAGTTTAAGTATCTCGGGGTGTTGTTCACGAGTGAGGGTAGGAGGGATCGGGAGATCGACAGGCGGATTGGTTCAGCGTCTGCAGTGATGCGGACGCTGAGCCGATCTGTCGTGGTGAAGAGGGAGCTGAGCCAGAAAGCCAGGCTCTCGATTTACCGGTCGATCTACGTCCCAAGCCTCACCTATGGTCATGAGCTTTGAGTAATGACCGAAAGAACGAGATCACGGATACAAGGGGCCAAAATGAGTTTCCTCCGTAAGGTGGCCGGGGTCAGCCATAGAGATAGGGTGAGGAGCTCGGACATTCGGGAGGGACTCGGAGTAGAATCGCTGCTCCTCCGGATCGAAAGGAGCCAGTTGAGGTGGTTTGGGCATCTGGTCAGGATGCCTCCTGGACGCCTCCCTGGGGAGTTGTTTCGGGCATGTCCTGCCGGCAGGGTCTTGCCCAGGTCACGTTGGGGAGGTTACATCTCCAATCTGGTCCGGGAACACCTTGGGGTCCTGCCGGAGGAGCTGGTGGAGGTGGCCGGGGAGAGGACGGTTTGGAGCTCCCTAGTTGGGATGCTGCCCCCGCGACCCGGACCCGGATAAGCGGAGGAAGACGACGACGAGGAGAATTACCCATAATGCAACATAATCTGTATTATGACCTAAACTCAAGCTTTCATTTCTACTCACACTTTATTTAAAAAAATAAATAAACGCAGAGTTCACTGAGAAACATTTGAATTTTTAAATATGACTGCTCACTCTGAGTTTAACGTGGGCTAAACGTGAAGATCATCTTCTACCCCCGCTTCTGTACATTAGCCACTCTCACATTACAAAAGCCAGACAGATCTACGTCACAATAGCCGTTTTTTACTAAACAATGCCTTCAATTTGCCGCAATGCTGTGGCGGCATCAGGGAGCCTAAGGTCGTTTATAAGTGGTCAGACCGTGGCGGTAGTGTGGCGCGATCGTGTCCTTGTTATAAAAGATTAGGCGATGGTGGCACAAAGGAGGTATGGGGGCGATCCCTGCGCTGCAGCGGACTTCTATTTATCTTGGACATAACTTGTTTTTTATTGCAATTAAAGCCGCGATGGTTAAGTTTTTTTAACAAGCTGCTGCTAAAGGAGTCTCTCCCCCACAGTCCCTGTGCAGTGTCTGATGCTCTGAGCTCCAGCTCTAACAGAGAAATGCTCTAGGAGTGCTGCAGCGCTCCAGTTTGCCGTCTCAGCTGATTTTATTCGAAAGCAAAACTTACGGCTCGTGTTTACTTTCATTTTCAATATATTTACCGGCCGGAGCTCGGCAGTAACTCCCACGTCATCATGACGCCTCCCTCTGTTGCGCCAAGACCGCAATATTACCACCAAGCAAGGTGACACGAATGCCGCAAAATTTGCACAACGCCATGCCGGCATGGTGCGTTTATAAGACAACCCGTTGTGGTGATAATACGCCGATTTGCCAGCACTGTGTGTCTTGTAAAATGGCTACTGTCACTTAACATTCATGGACTCCTCTATCTTGATTGACGACAGGGAAGGCTGTTTTGTTTTAGCATCCAGGAAACGGCAGAGAAAGTCTTGGCTAGCAGAAGCTAACCATTAACATTAGCAACTGCACCACACAGCAGAACTCCTCCAGGCTTGTGTTATTTGTGGAGAACAAACAACAACGTCGCAAGTCAGTGGTTGACTGACGCGTTGCTGTCATCCGGTCCGAGGCGAGATGTACAAATATCAGGAAATAAGACTTCAAAACATGCCGCCTGAGGCTCAGCTGTGATGTAGGTCACTTTTGGTTCCTGTAACTGGTGCACCGAAGCTTTGTTTCCCCAGAGTACGACTGCAAGTGAATTGATTAAACACCTTTAAAATCAGCAGTTGGATTTTGGAATACAAAGCATGATGTCATTTGATCCATTTTTTTTTCTTTTCTTACAGTTTTAGTAAAAAATAGTGTTTTACCTGACATGTTTTAGCTAGTATCTCTAGCTGTCTTCAGAGATTGCCAGTGTTAGTGGCGTCACTTCCTTTTACCGCCACTAATCCCGGCGGTCTCTGTTGACGGTTAGAGATACTAGCTGAAACATGTCGGGTAAAACACTATTTTTGAAACTGTATAAGAAAAGAACAAAACATGAATAACAAAGATAAACACAGAATGGCCGCAGAAAAGAGATTGTCATTTTAGTTGCAGGAAAACATGCTAAGCAGGTGCAGCCTCTGTTGTTTCTATTGTTAGACTTCCTTTTTGTTTCAAATTCTTTCCAACTATCAGTTTTTGTTTCTACTGTGAGATTTCATTTCTAGAGTCTTCTTAGAAGTCAGTTTCTTGATAATAGCATTTATTATCATCAGAGTCCAGGTCGGTCCTGTAGAGACTTAAGCTGGGCGGACACTGCGCGACTTTTTCACTCGCAGCACTCAGCTTCATCTCAAACTGTACGACGTCCTCGCAGGGCAGATCTCACGAGTCATGCGCTCACACTGCACGACCCAGTTCCTCGGATGCGACCTGACTGCTCACACTGTACGTCTGGTAGCAACACGTCGGCCCTAAACATACCGGTATGCTAAAAATAGTAGTTTTTACACAACACGTCAGACTTTTTTGTGTTGTTTTGCCTGTTGTCCTTCGGGAGTGCTGCAGGAGGACACAGGGATTTATGGGGGTTGGATGAGGAAAACGAAATAAAGAAAGTAAATCTGTGTTTTGTGATCAGTTTAATTTGACATGAACACGACAAACACACTTTCTTGACAATATTTGTGAGTAAAAAAATGTGTAGAATTAAAATTGAACAACGTGTGTTATTAGGGAAATAGCGGGCGAGCGGTGCTGATGCAGGATTGCGCATGCGCCGTGAGCGGTTCTGGTACTTTTTGGGTTGCAGCTGCTCGCAGCGCCGCTTCAACAGTGCGATACCCTCATGAGGGACGATCAAAATATCAAACACGCCAGAAGTCCGTGCGAGCTCACGATTGCTGATCGGTAGCTGGTCATGTGGTGTTAATCGCCTCTCGTAACCCCCTGTACACTACACGACGCTCGGCACAAAACTCATCCCGATCTCGTGGATTCTTAGCCTAGTGAACTAGACCAAATTCTTGCTTTGCAAAGTTTGGTCTGGCTTGCCAGGCTAGTGGATTCTCGCACGAGTGGAAAATCGGCTCAAAAAAGTGGAAAAAGTCTCACAGTGTATGCCCGGCTTTAAAAACCAGAGCCTCTGTTGTAAAATGCCAATACAGTATTTCCATGTAAGCAGACTTATTTTGAGGCTCATTTAAAATCTTGTCCCTCCAGCAGCGCAGCCTGGCTCTCTTCCTCTCCCCGAACTTTGACCTCCGGGCCCACGTGGAGTCTCTGGGTCACGGAGTGGCCAGCTGCACGGACCTGCGGCTCACGCCTCGACGCTGCGCGGGCTTCCTGACCAAACGAGGGGGGAGGGTGAAGACGTGGAAGAAGAGGTGGTTCCTGTTTGACACCGACCACAGGCGGCTGGCCTACTATACAGGTTAGACCGGATCCCAGACTGGATGTGTGCTCTTGTGCTTTGCATTCGTGTGTTTGTACGAATAAAAGGCTCCTTTGTGCTGCACAGTTTGAGCTCAATAAAGAGGAGCCATTGTTATGAAATCACACGATCAACCGTCTGTTACTGCAAATATGTCAGAGGTCTATTCAAAGTCATCAGCGATTTAAGCAGCATGAAACAGTCGTGTAAGTGTTATAATCTTAAATCTTTGTTTCTGTTGCAGACTGTGATGAGAGGAAGCTAAAAGGAGTCATTTACTTCCAGGCAATAGAAGAAGTTTATTATGACCATCTACGCACCGCCACCTCTGTGAGTCTCATGTTTCATTCACTCGTTTAGTTTGTGGATCTTTTTTCTTCTATGAAGTTTTATTTTGGGTTTTATTAAAGCAAATTCTCTAAAAACATTTATAATCTTTTCATAAGTTGCACTTTTGGTAATTAATACTCAATAATACTGTTAATAAAAGGGACCCTTATTGTTAAGTGTTAGCGCGCAATTTAGATGAGCATGCACGGTTTCCACTGTAGATGTTGTTATAAACGTGTTACTAATAAAAACAGACCGAATTCCTTCACATGGAACAAGATTAAGAGATTACACTCTGAGATTCTGCTCCATCTAACTCTGCTGTAAACCCAACTATGATGCAAAACTGGAAAGGTCTAGATTCAAATTTAAGTCTGAATTTTGTCAAAGAAGAAGAGCCATAAATCAAGTTGAAAGCGGCTAAAACACCACAAACCAGAATGCTGTTTGTTAAATATGTATTATTATATGGAGAGATTTAGTGCAACAAGCAAGACTAAGAATAAAGAAGTTAAGGAAAGTATTCCCTTTGAAGTAAATATTACTCTTTATTAAAGGTGTGGGTAACTGAAAAGACATTTTAATTATTATTACTCGTCACTCTGAATTTAACATGCAGGGTGTTATTTGCGAATAAAACAACAACATTGCAAGTCAGTGGTAGGCGTTGCTGTTATCCAATCACAGGTGAGATGTCCAAATACCAGGAAATAAGATTCCAAAACCCGCAGTCGGAATCTCAGCCCTGATGTGGGCAACTTCTGGGTCAGAGAAATGATGCACCCGTATATTTGTTTCCCCCGAGAACGACTTACAAGGCATTCATCCTCACTAGGGACCGCTCCAAATGCATTGATTAATTGAATGAACTACTCCTTTAACAAAAAGGGCTTTTAAAACATTTTAGTATTTTGTATTGAACTAGAGATGCATCCCAGAAAAAGTCTGCTGGTGTGAAAGCGATCTCCCTCCGATTTCAGCCGCGCACACGTTCATTAGCTCAGCTTCACCGAGCAGATGAATGCATGAGTCAGTGCTTGTGTTGTAGTCCTGTTTACGCTCATTGCTTATGTGCTGATATTCAGGAGGGTGGTCCTCCTTAGCAACAGTGACTGAGCAGCTTCACGACGGTTGTACCACCTCAGCACAGCAGAGAGGGGAGCAGCATCGTCTCACAATAAGTCTACCTCATAGTTTTGTCCCACAGGGTGTTTTTATCTGCTTTGAATAAAGAAATTAGTTTAAAATATAATAAAAACTCATCTTAAATATTAAAACCAAATAGCTTTTGCTTAATATACTTATTCATGTTTTTCACAATTACTGGATCTTTTGTTTTCTTTAGTTTTCCTAGAATTTATCGTTTGATAATCCATCAAAATGTCTAAATATCAGCTGGTGAAAGAGCAGTCTTAATAGTTTGTTACAGTGTAAAATAGGCCCAACTGATAATTCATACTAACTAAAAAAAATAAATAAATAGTAAACGTAACTTAGGGTCCACCTTTATGTTTCCAAGACTTTCTGCCTATAGAATACATATTTGAACTTAATCTGAATGTTTAAAAAATATTCTGGTAATTTCTGTTCTTTAAAATAAAAATGGACAATTTTTGCATCAGTAGACCAACAGAAGATCAGAAATTGGTATTGGTCCTAAAAACCCACATCAAGGCATCAAGGCACATCTGTGTCTATAAATATTTGGGTAAACTATTAAGCAACTGATGGACAACAATGTAAAAGTATCTTGTTGTTTCATGTTTACATTTAAATGTAAGCCAGCAAAGCCTTTTATATTTAGACATGTTTGGAGGTGAAACATCCATTGATGGACCTTGTTCTTGTGAGGTAAAAGAGACCAGGTTGTGGTTTGTTTACCAAAATATTTCAGAGATCTGAGAGAAAACCTTCCAGGAATTCTTTCAGACTTTACGGGAGCAGCAGAACCGGCTTGACCTGCTTCAGTTGTGTGTGTGTGTGTATCGGTGTGTTGCTGTAATCAGTCGCTCAGATTCATGTCAAAGAGCTGATTCTTCATGTCCTTCTCCCTTTAGTCCCCTCGGCCGAGCCTTACGTTCTGCGTGAAGACGTACGACCGTCTCTTCTTCCTGGTGGCTTCCAACCCCGTGTCCATGCGGATCTGGATGGATGTCATTGTCACGGCAACAGACGAGCACAGTCGTTACTGACCTGCATATGTGACTCTGAAACGCAGAGAATAAACTACTGAGCACACAACTGTGGGTGATAGTTCACTCCTCTGTCTGGAAGGCTCTTTTAGCTGAAGATCTGACCTGGACTCATCAAACTGAAGGTGCAAGGTCTGGGGCACAGACGTGCCTGATGCTGTTACTGATGGAAGGAAGGCAGAAGCTTTAAAAGAAACGTTGCTACAGTTCCTCAGCAGCCTGCATGATACATGAGAATCTGTTACAAGTGAGTTCTACTCTGAGCTGGAGCTCCCCCTGCTGGACAGAGACCAGCTTCACAGGACTACTGTGCACTAACCACTGGTGGAATCTGGACCCTCACTTCTCTTTCCTGTGTCCACTTCCTGCCTCCCGAGTTTTCACATAGCCTAGAATGTTTGTACAACTTTCCAGATTATTTATTTTTTTGAAAATTTATATGACTTTGACTTTCAAATGAATGAATATATACTCTATCATGGTGCAAATAAATGTTTATTCATAAAACAAAAACCTTTGGGTATGCTTTTGGTTTTTTTATTTTTTTTTTTTATTTTTTAAATGCTTAAATTACAGTGCAATTTGTTAATCCACCACTAGTGAATCTTTTAACCCTTTAACTGACTGGTGAACTACTTAGTAGGTCATATTTAGTCCCTTAAAATTTTTAAAACATGCATTGAACTTCAGAAACTTAAATTACAAAGATATGAACATGTTCGGATAAAAAGCAGAATATATTATCTATTATTTTACTAAAAAGTTTTATATTCATGATAATTAGCCTTGATTTTATCACCTTAATTGTCCCAAACTAAAACTAAATGCAATTAAAAGGTTTTTGGTTGTGGACGTGATGATGCTAATGTATAGAATGTAGAGCTGCGACCCATGCAAATTAAAATTAGAGTGGCATCACGTTATAACATGGTAAGTGTTACAACAATCTAATTTTCCACATACAATATATTTTCACATTCTTAAAATGTAAATTGTAAGAATGTGAACATAAATAATAAAATAAAACTTATCACAATATAATATGTTGTCTAATTTTATTTTGCGTGGGTGGCAGCGCTAAACTGTTACATTAACATTAGAGTTGGTAATTCAATGAATTAATTACAAATAATTAATTAGAAAAAAATAACGTAAAAACACGGGCCCGAGCGCCCCCATCTGGGGCCCTGAAAAGTAGCATCAAAATCGATGCCCTACATATCAATAAATATCATCAAGCTGCAATTCTAACAAAACTGCAGAGCCCGGACTACTAGATCATATTAAACTTTTAAAAGTTGTCAAAACACAACTAAAACTACAATTAAGTTAATAATGTCAAAATACTCTTCATGAAGAAAAGAAAGAAAAAAAATCTACTTTTGTGTTCTAGTTGGTAGAAAGCAGGCCGGCAGTCACTTTGTTCAAGCAAACTTAGCAGGATGGACAGGCATACACACAGCATTCTACTTGTAACCCTCAGCAGAACTTCCTCTGAACTCTACACTACACCTCTCTCAGTTCAGTTCAAGCTTATTTATATGGCGCCAAATAACGACAAGAGTCGTCTCAAGGCACTTCACGTAATAAACATTCCAATACAGGTCAGTTCATTAAGCCAATCAGAAAAAAGTTTCCTATATAAGGAACCCAGCAAATTGCATCGAGTCACTGACTAGTGTCAGTGACTTAATAGCAATCCTCATACTAAACAAGCATGCAGCGACAGTGGAGAGGAAAACTCCCTTTTAACAGGAAGAAACCTCCAGAGGATCCTGGCTCGGTATAAGCATCCGCCTCGACTCACTCGGGATCGAGAAGACAGAGCACACACACGCACACGCACACAAAACATACATACTAAGTAATGTTTCTATGGTTACATTCAGGGGTGGACTGGCCTATCTGGCATTCTGGCACTGTCCCGGTGGGTTGCTTAGCGAAGTGGGCCACTTGCCCAGCTTGGGCCATCCCAAACCAAAAAAGAGAAAAACACTTAGAGGAAAAAGAAAGTTAACAGCTGAAATTGCAGGAAATAATAGTTAAGGAGCAAATTGTAGAAGAAAGTAGTCAAATGTAAAGTGGTCAGTATGTCCTCCAGCAGTCTAAGCCTATAGCAGCATAACTACAGAGATAACTCTGGATAACCTTGCCTTTTAGTTGGAGGCATGTTGGATGCAGGGGAAGGGAGAGCCGTCTTTATTGACTGTATACTCCACCTCTCTCTCTCTCTCTCTCTCTCTCTCTCTCTCTCTCTCTCTCTCTCTCTCTCTCTCTCTCTCTCTCTCTCTCTCTCTCTCTCTCTCTCTCTCTCTCTCTCTCTCTCTCTCTCTCTCTCTCTCTCTCTCTCTCCTCTCTCTCTCTCTCTCTCTCTCTCTCTCTCTCTCTCTCTCTCTCTCTCTCTCTCTCTCGCTCTCTCTCTCTCTCTCTCTCTCTCTCTCTCTCTCTCTCTCTCTCTCTCTCTCTCTCTCTCTCTCTCTCTCTCTCTCTCTCTCTCTCTCTCTCTCTCTCTCTGCAATGCTCTGCTGCCACCTAGTATTTAGTACAGATTTACAACAGTCCATGTCTATTTACACTTACATCAATAATGCACATACTAAGATTCAGACATCCCAACAAACTCCACAGTGGTTACTTTCATAATGAGACCAATGACATCAAATATACCTTGTGGAGTGTGGGTCTGTTATCTATGCCTCACTAAAAGAATTTTAATTAAAAAAATTGCTTGAACGCAATTTGTGTTGAACAATTAAAATGCAATTAATCAAGATTAATTACAAATCCTGTGATTAATTAGATTGATTTTTAATCTAGTCCCACCCCTAGTTATAACATAATATTGTTATAACAATACAATTTTCCATATATTTACAATATATTATCATGCTCTTCCAGTAGAATATGTAAATTGTTAGAATGGTGTTTGTTATGGAAATTTCATGTTTATTTATTCTTGATCATTGACTCAATCAACCGAATGTAATATGTATTGCTCTATGCCTCTTTGCACACACACACACACACACACAGTAGCGGTTTTAGGCACGGGCAGACAGGGCAATTGCCCGGGGCGGCATTTTTTCATGACACAAAAGGGGCGCACAAGCGCTGAGTGAAAAAAAAAAAAAAAAAAAAGGAAATCTGCGCCGCACCGAGGTTTTCTATTATCTGTCATATGACAGTGTCTGGATTGGAAACAGCAAGTTGGCGCCCCCTGCAGCTGCAGGTGCTCCTGCTGACTGAGAACGTTCACGTGCACCGTGTGTGCAGTAGCGGTTTTAGGCACGGGCAGACAGGGCAGTTGCCCGGGGCGGCATTTTTTCATGACACAAAAGGGGCGCACAAGCGCTGAGTAAAAAAAAAAAAAAAAAGGAAATCTTTGCCGCACCGAGGTTTTCTATTATCTGACAGTGTCTGGATTGGAAAGAGCAAGTTGGCGCCCCCTGCAGCTGCAGGCGCTCATGCTGACTGAGAACGTTCACGTGCACCGTGTGTCTATGAAGAACAGGAAGGGAAGGGGTGCGGCGGGGGAATTCACCTCTGCGTCTTTCCCAAATGAAATGAGCGTGCAGGGGCTGAATCAACTGTATTAACATGGCTAAAGTTAATCACATCTTAACGTTCTTCCATATTTCATTCATAATATCATAAACACAGGCCTATCATTCTTTCAGGTTACTCTGAATTGTGTGAAATGGCCGAATAAAAAAAGGAAAAACAAAACGATTTTGTGGTCACCCCCCCATCAAGGTCAAATAGTTTAGTCCTGACTAAAGGAAACTTACTGAGTCAGGAGCCAAACAGAAGAGATGAACATAAAAAGGCTAAAACCACCAAGTGCCCCATTCAGGGGGAAAAAAAAAGAAAAAAGAGGAGAAAGATAAAGGTATGTAGCTCTCATGATGCATGTTTTCAATTTTTTGAACCAGTTAACTGGGATTTTAACGGTTAAATGCGGTCAACTAATTGCTAACAGAGCTAATAGGGCTGAAATATTGAAACAAATATTCAAATGGTTCGAAAAAAGTCCTTGAATCGTTTTTTACTGATTCAAACTAGGATTTGTTAAATGCTCGCTGCAGCCTGTGGCCTGCCTGAACAACAACAAACACATGTTGATCATGTTCACATAATAATAAATAAAACAACTCTACAAGCAGAAGAAAACACCCCAGTCATCACTAACTATCCTGTTTATTTATTGCAGATGGCTGCACTGATTATTTTACATGATTTGTTCTGTAAAAGTTGGCATTTTTGGTAGTCTACAGTTATTTTTATGACAGTTTAAATTACAATTTCAGAGGCAATTCTAAAATATTATGGATCATGAGATCTATTGGAGATCTACCCCAACTTTTGGACTGCTCTGCCAGTCACTGTGGCTCAAGCTGAGCGGAGCTTTTCAAAACTTGATCAAGTCATACCTGAGGTCAGCTATGTTTCAGGGGCGGCTCACTAACCTGGCTCTGATTAGTATCAATCACTCAGTAGGGGAGCAGATTTCATGTGATGACATTATTGATGACGTTGCATCAAGGTTAGGTTTTAATTTTAGTTTGTGTTTTCTGTTCTAAGTGCAATGCTGTAGTGATTATCTTTAGTTTGTTATGTGTGAAATATTTTTGCTATTTAGAATATTTATTATCTATTATGTTCATATATTCTTAATATTTAGTTATTGTTTGTTTTTGTATATTTGATTCTATATATTTTGATACAGTATATAATGTATAGTGCTTTACATTCTGACAACTTCATAGTAATTAATGTAAATATGTGCAACTTAGAAAAATGAATGTTCAATAGTCGTTCTAATAAACATGCCTGTTTGTAGAAAACATGCGTGTGTTCGTGCAGGTGGGGTGGTGGTGGTGGGGCGGTTGGGGGGGGCTCAAAGGGGGCCTCGCCCGGGGAGTAATTCGATGTAGAACCGCCACTGCGTGTGTGTATGAAGAACAGGAAGGGGAGGGGTGCGGCGGGGGAATTCACCTCTGCGTCTTTCCCAAATGAAATGAGCGCAAAATGAGCGTGCAGGGGCTGAATCAACTGTATTAACATGGCTAAAGTCAATCACATCTTAACGTTCTTCCATATTTCATTCATAATATCATAAACACAGGCCTATCATTCTTTCAGGTTTCTCTGAATTGTGTGAAATGGCCGAATAAAAAAAGGAAAAACAAAACGATTTTGTGGTCACACCCCCATCAAGGTCAAATAGTTTAGTCCTGACTAAAGGAAACTTACTGAGTCAGGAGCCAAACAGAAGAGATGAACATAAAAAGGCTAAAACCACCAGGTGCCCCATTCAGGGGGGAAAAAAAAGAAAAAAGAGGAGAAAGATAAAGGTATGCTCTCATGATGCATGTTGCATGATGCATGTTTAACGGTTAAATGCGGTCAACTAGTTGCTAACAGAGCTAATAGGGCTGAAATATTGAAACGAAATTCAAATGGTTCGAAAAAAGTCCTTGAATCGTTTTTTACTGATTCAAACTAGGATTTGTTAAATGCTCACTGCAGCCTGTGGCCTGCCTGAACAACAACTAACACATGTTGATCATGTTCACATAATAATAAATAAAACAACTCTACAAGCAGAAGAAAACTCCCCAGTCACCACTAACTATCCTGTTTATTTATTGCAGATGGCTGCACTGATTATTTTTACATGATTTGTTCTGTAAATGTTGGCATTTTTGGTAGTCTACAGTTTTTTATGTCAGTTTAAATTACAATTTCAGAGGCAATTCTAAAATATTATGGATCATGAGCTCTATTGGAGATCTACCCCAACATTTGGACTGCTCTGCCAGTCACTGTGGCTCAAGCTGAGAGGAGCTTTTCAAAACTTGATCAAGTCATACCTGAGGTCAACTATGTTTCAGGGGCGGCTCACTAACCTGGCTCTGATTAGTATCAATCACTCAGTAGGGGAGCAGATTTCATATGATGACATTATTGATGACATTGCATCAAGGTTAGGTTTTAATTTTAGTTTGTGTTTTCTGTTCTAAGTGCAATGCTGTAGTGATTATCTTTAGTTTGTTATGTGTGAAATATTTTTGCTATTTAGAATATTTATTATCTATTATGTTCATATATTCTTAATATTTAGTTATTGTTTGTTTTTGTATATTTGATTCTATATATTTTGATACAGTATATAATGTATATTGCTTTACATTCTGACAACTTCATAGTAATTAATGTAAATAAGTGCAACTTAGAAAAATGAATGTTCAATAGTCGTTCTAATAAAACATGCCTGTTTGTAGAAAACATGCGTGTGTTCGTGCAGGTGGGGTGGTGTGGTGGTGCTGGTGGGGCGGTTGGGGGCGCTCAAAGGGGGCCTCGCCCGGGGAGTAATTCGATGTAGAACCGCCACTGACACACACACACACACACACACACACACACACACACACACACACACACACACACACACACACACTCTCTCCTTTCTTATCTCTTGGTATAAATAAACTCTGTGAAATGATGTTCGGGGCATTTTGCTTCTTGCATTATGCCACAGTTCTGTTTGACTTGTTGTTCATTGTCTCATTCTCTCTTCACTATAGGAAATGGGTTATTGATAAACATAATGATAAAATTCATGACAGTGTTATCACAATATAACATTTTATTGCTCTGATTTTATTTTACATTGGTGACAGCTCTACATGTTTATATTCAAATTCAAATCCAACTAGCATTTTTTTATACTGATTAATGCTTAGAAATTAGATGTATTTGTTAGTGAAAACTAGAAAATTGTAATCACTGAACTGAACGCAGAGAATGCCTGTGTTGGGTGTTTTTTATTTTATTTTGGGGTTGTATTCTTTTTTTCTTTTTCCAGCAATTCATTAACCATCTTAAATTTATATAAACAAAATGTATTGGGATCTAACATCCATATCAGGTTTACTAAACAGGACAAAGAGTTTTGACAGATTTTTCCATTTTTGCTTTTTTTTCTTTGCAACGGTTTACATTTTTCTCAAATTTCACACAAACTACAACTGGGGTATTGGAGAGAAAAAGCTAGTTTCAACACAAGATCCTAAACTCACAAATGAAGGTTCTAGTAGAATCTATAATTGTACTTTTTTCTAACCCCGTCCCCTTTTTTGCTCTTACGAGTCTTCCTGTGTACGAAACAGGATGCAGCACTAAGGATGTGGTTAATTTTATCAGTTCATCAGAACTTCCACTGTCAAATCCCTTGATCTTTATTCTTTACTCTGATTAAGCTTTTTTTGAATCAATTCCAGTAAAACTTGGTCTGTTTAATTTCAGTTTGAATATAAAAAGATTTCCATTACCATAAGATATTATTATGAAATGCTGAATCCTTCTGAACGTCTCTGGGGTTGGTTTTCCTGTTTTTGTGAAGTTCTCGCTGAGACAGATAAATTTTTAACACGTAAGCATAAGAAATGTTTCTGCAGGTCTCAGAAAACATTACCCTTTAGTTGTGTTTTTAGCGTGCAGCTTCATTGTGTACTGGAGACTTCCATCTACAGGAAAAAACACAATTTATCACTTTTACAGTTCATGTGCGTCCCTGGGGTATTTAAAAATCCTTCAAACTCTTAAAACATTTATTCTAAACCAACCCTGAGCTCTTGTTGAGATGTGGTCCTTTAGCTGATGCACAGACGGAAAAAAAAATTCTCTTTGTTTTTGCAGAGCTCCAGTCACACACCAGCAGCCGAGTGAGCATCAACACACTCCGCCTGTGTTACGCAAAACACATGTTGGATTATAACGGAATCTCAATGCTGGTAAATGTGTTTATTTATTGTTCTTTTCATTAGTTTATGTTTCAGATGTGTGCTGAACCTTTTCTTTTCCTTGCTAACAGACTCTGACTGCTGAATTACAACGTTTTTAAGCTAAAGTCTGATCATTTCCACCAGCATTGATTTATTTATTTAACACATAAAATACTAAATTTAGAAATTTCCTGACCTTATCCCTTCTTTGAACTGAAACTTTATATCTTTAAGTAAAATCGTTAGTTTTTATAAATATTTCTCTTTTATGACCTTATTATGGCATGTAAGAAAACAAGTATTTTAAAGCTCTGTAATAAGAAGATATTTGAAAATTTATCCTTTAATATTCAAACAATTTACTTAAGTTTTACAGACATTAATAATCTGTCTTGAACAACGCAGTGGGGGTCATTTGACTTAACCCTCAGGCTTCACTTCAATTTTCATACAAAAGAGTCAATAGAGGACAAAAACGTCCGCTTGTAAAAGTGGTTATAAAAAGTGTATACATTAATATTTTTTTACTTTTTTCATAGATCTGATGAACAACTTCAACCCTGCTCAAACATTAAAAAAATTTAATCTTTTAGAGACTTTTAACCCTTGAAATGCTAGTTTGAATACTCAAAGTCATTGCTGTAATTTATGAAAGAAAAAATAAATAAAATAAAAAACACTAAAACCGAGTTTTTTTCTAAAGAAGAGATTTTTTTTTGCCTGGGGTGTTTAGTACAAATCAATCTTGATATGTTATGAAATATCTAAAATGTTTTATTTTTTGCATTTATAGTTTTTACATAGCAACAGACAAAAATGTCCCTAATGAAGCCTGAGGGTAAAAAAAAAGGCAAATTTTCCATTTTTAACAGTCAGACAAGCTGATTGTGAAGTACTCTTTATAAGTGAATACAATTAAATAGCAGCGATGTCCAATATTATCAGCTGATACCGTCATTAAGATGTTATTTTTAAAATGGTCGGTATCAGTTTCAGTAACACACCCTAACTCTTCGGCCACTTCTCTGACTCAGAATGACTGACATGATGTGAGGTTGTGTTTTGTTTGTTTTTAGGGACTATTTGAGAAGAAATAAAGATTTTTGCCCTGTGTGGTGGGTATTTGTCAGTATTATCTCAGGGAGAATGGGATTCAGCTGCTGTAACCAAACCTCAAGTTGTCATTTTTCTTTAAAACAGTTTTTAAAGTTTAAGTTCTGATGCAGTGGTTAGAGCTGTTGCCTTGCAGCAAGAAGGTCCTGGGTTCGATTCCCGGCCTGGGATCTTTCTGCATGGAGTTTGCATGTTCTCCCTGTGCATGTGTGGGTTCTCTCCGTGTACTCCGGCTTCCTCCCACAGTCCAGAAACATGACTGTTAGGTTGATTGGTCTGTCTAAATTGTCCTTAGGTGTGTGTGTGTGTGTGTGTGTGTGCATGGTTGTTTGTCCTGTGTGTCTCTGTGTTGCCCTGCGATGGACTGGCTCTCTGTCCAGGGTGTACCCCACCTACTTGCCCATTGACTGCTGGAGATAGGCAAATAGCAAAAAGAAAGAAATCAGAACATATAAACGAGAAAAAAATAAAGACGGTAACTAGTTCCTGGTAGCACCGGGCGCAGTCATCTTTAAATTGGGGATCTCAAGGTCCTATGGATTCATTGCGTCATTTCCGGCTTACGTACCTTGGAAAAAACGAGTTCCGAAGACAACTGAAAAGCACAATTAGCTGTTGGAGACAAAATGCATTTTTCCTGTTGCTAGCTTGAATTGAAGTAGTTGTATTTTTGCACAGAGAGTGTTTAAAATGAAAGCGTGATAGGAGATATGTGATGTTAGCAACCAAAAATATCGATCTCGTTTTTTTTGGTATCAGAAATTAAGAGAAGCAATATCGGTATATTGAAAATCTGTAAAAAAGCCAGTACTGTGCATCCCTTATTGTTGTTTTTTTTTTACATTTCTATATCTTGGCAAAAATCTTTATTCCAGGATTGACACCTGACAGGAAATCATGATACTTGTTGGAAGGGTTTTCTATGTTTCCGTTTTACTTCAAGGTGAGCCTTTCAGAGTTTGTTGAATCTGAGTCATTTGTCATTACAATTCCTAACATCAAAATTATTTACTTATTTATTTTTGTTTCTGGTCAGTGTCTTTCTGCCAAGAGTTTGACATCTCCACACCTCAGTCAGTGGAGGGTCTGAGTGGGTCTTGTGTGGCCATTCCCTGTAATTTCAGCGTGCCTTCCATCTGGAATAAAAACCTGGATGAGTCGTGTAGGGCCATATGGAGGAGAGGCTGGAGACGGACGCAGGTGTTTGATTCTGGCCTCATTGGAGAAAACGTGAAACAAAACATCATCCAGGGTCAGCTGATGGGGAATCTGCGTGAAGGCGACTGCACTGTCATCTTTCTTAACCTGCCTTCAAACAGTTATGATGATTATTACTTCAGACTGCAGTGTGACAACCCGCTCAAGTACAACTTTCCAGCATGGGTCCGTGTCACCACCCAAGGTCAGCTCTGTGTTTTACTCCTGACCTTGTAAATTCACACATTTTATTTAGACAATATGTTTAATTATTGTTGTGTTCTTTAGTTTCACTTCCTCGACCAACGATAACTCCGTCCACGCTACAAGTAGAAGAAGGAACTCCAGTAACTCTAAGCTGCTCAGCTGTTTCTCCTTGTCCTATTCTTCCTCCTGTGTTGACATGGACACCCGGTCTCGGTGACTCAGAGAATACTCCAACAGCAAAACATGTGATCTCTGTCATGAACTTTAATGCTTCTTACCTCCACAATGGACAGAAGGTTTCCTGCACGGCTCTCTACAGCCGACAAGCGGGATACAACAACATATTTTTTGAAAAATCTCTAACTGTGCATGTTTTTTGTGAGTATGTTTCAAATGTTTTTGCAATGTTAGTGTAACATTACCCCCTTGTAAAGCTATTTTAGGAGAGTTCAATCTCTGCAAACAACAAGAACCTTCTAGAAAATCTTCATTTATCTCACACATGACTGCCAATTAAAAAAGAACTACAGCATTAATGAGTTAAATCCAATAAATCAAATTTAAAGGAACAATTTGGAAGAATTTTACAGTGAAATAATCACTAAACTATCCAGTGTCTCATCCACACTGAAAGAAAGGTTACATTAAAATAGATTTATTTCTCAGTTGTCAGTTTTTCTCCTTTCAAAATGGTTAAAGAGGGACACAATTTTTGTTAATAATATGTGAGCCAATGAGGTTGCAGAGTCTGTGCTGAGTTAATGCTGCGGCGCCATTTGTAATTCGACATTGATGAACAAAAAGCTCCAGAATTGTTTAAAGAACTGAAGGAGCAGCCCAGAAGTTACTTCTTCTACCCCTAAGAAGCCACAGCATCCTTTTATTTTACTCTAATATCAGGTGAAGCAGGCCAGACGCTAACATTGAGCTAACAATGCTAACGGTGAATAAGAAAAAAATAATTGTCGACTCTATAAATATCTCAAGCTACATTTTCAACTGTCAACAACTCGATTTTAAAGGGAAATGTATGTATGACGTGAATAATTAGTCAATCATGACATTTTACTTCCTTTAATTCAATTCAATTCAATTCAAAAATACTTTATTAATCCCAGAGGGAAATTGATTGCTGTAGTAGCTCAGGATAATAATAATATTAATAATAATAATGAGTCGTTCTGAACTTTAGCAGCAAGCTAACAACAAGACATCGAACTCCTCTTAAGCCGTAATAAGTGTAGTAAGTGTTCCCTACCGTAAAACATTGAATAACACCAGATATATCAATGTATTTATCTACTTATCAACTGTATATGAATCATCTTTGCTTGTCATCTAGAATATTCTGGTGCTGAGTCATAACTGTCAACTGTCATGAAACTGACCGAACAGCAGTGAGAAAGTAATTCATTTATTTATTTTTATAAATTGGCTGCAGTACCCACATTTGACCACAGGGTGTCATTATTACATATTTCACCTTTAAGGGTTGATTTCAGACATGTTGAAGTTCTTTTGACCAAATCATTAAAACATCTCTAGACTGGAATCAAAACAAAAGAAACCAGCCAAACTAGTTAAAACAAACCTGCACTGATTATGATATTTAATGTGGACACATACAACTGTACAACATGAATATATATATATATGTGCTATATGCTAAAAAAATGCTACTTTTTAGTCCAATGGGTTGCAACTTAGTCATTGTTTCAATCACTTAGGACATGGGTGATCTCTGATAGTCAGTATGTTTATTTTTTTGTAAATATTTGCTGAAATTTAAGAATTTTCTCCTTTTCTTTCAAGACTCCCCACAAAACACATCGGTTGGTAATCCTGGTCCAGTTATAGAAGGCAGCTCGGTGACTCTGACCTGCAGCACTAATGCGAATCCAGCTGTGGATGACTACACCTGGTACAGAGTTGATGGAGAGGAAGCAGCGGAGGTTGGATCTGAGAAAACACTTTCAGTCAAAGTCACAGAAGCTGACAACCAATTTTTCTGCAGAGTCAGTAACAAATATGGATCCCAGAATTCCTCCATTGCTCAGATAGACATTCTGTGTAAGTCAGAGTCACACAAAAACATGAACCACGGTCTTTTTTGTTGCCCAGAACAAGTGAGCTCATGTGTGTTTGGGTTTTTTAGTTTTTCCGAAGGAAACCGCTGTGGTTTTTGAACTTTCTGGTCCAATTCTGGAGGGCAGCTCAGTTTCCCTGCTCTGTAGGACCCGTTCAAACCCACCAGTGACCAACTATACCTGGTACAAGGATGATTATGTGGTCCAGGAGGCTGGACCAGTCTTATCCATTGACCGAATTGATCCCAGCTACAGCGGTAGCTATCAGTGCATGGCAAGGAATGACCTGGGAGAAGAAACGTCTGCAAAGATCCAGCTGAATGTTCAGTGTAAGTTTTCTTATAGTCACACTTAAGTTAAAACAGAAAACAGAGCAGCATGCTGTTCTGTACTGTACACCCAGCTGTGCTCCCGCAAACCAAAGAATTATTCACAGGGCACCATTAATGTCTGAAACATGGACAGTAATGGATTGTCATGCGAGGCAAAGCTCTTATGTACCCATGTTTGTTTGGCCGGTCTCATAGGAGACAGTTTTTGTCTCATCTCATAGCTTTTAAGAAAAAGCACTAGTTCCAGACAGGACCAACTATTTAGAAGCCAAGCTCACTTTCAAACTGCTTTTGTTATTTTTTGAAGAGTTTTACATGCAGGCTAAGCATGAGAGTAGCTTTATACCCCTATTTCCTGCATTAGCTGCACACAGAAAATAGATGGGGAAGTGCTTCAATGAGAGAAGTCAATTTGATGTCACATTGGCATTCATGGACTCACCCGTCCTGGCTCATAACGGGGAGGGCTGTTGTTGATTTAGCGGCCAGAAGAGAGAAGAACACGTCTCGGCTATTAGAAGCTAATCATTAGCATTAGCAAACCAACAGCATGGCTGATTTCCTTCAGGCTTGCGGTTTTAGTGGAGATAAAACATCAATGTTAGAGTCAATGGTAGAGCCGTGTTGCTGTTAGCCAATCAGAGATGAGATTTCCAAATTTCAGGAAATATTATTCCAAATCTTGCCGTGTTCTGCTCCCCTCTACTCTGACTCACTTCTAGTTCCTGAAACCGGAGCGCCAGAGCTTTATTTCTACTGAGATCGACTCACAAGACATTCATTCATGCTAGAGAGCGCTGCTAATGTGAACTTGGTCTTTAAAACTCCCACCTTACTGTTTCAACTGCTCCACCAAAAACAATCCAACTTGAATCTTAATAGCTGCAACATTTCCTCCATGAAGTAATATCAGAACAATGTGTTTCTTCTAGATTCTCCTAAAAACACCTCATTCTCAGCTGACCCTCCTGGCCCAGTTCTGGATGGGAGCTCTGTGACTCTAACCTGCACAACCGCTGCCAACCCAGCAGCAAACTTCACCTGGTACCGAGCTTCTGGTGGGGAAAAGGAAGTGGTCGGATCAGAGCAAGACTTCACCTTCAACGTGACTAAACTCTCAGAGGATCAGTATTACTGTGAAGCTCTTAATATCCATGGTGCTGATTACTCAGAAGCTGCGAGTATTGATGTCATTTGTAAGATAGTTTTTATACTTTAACCATCTTTTCAATCCAGAACTGTGCATGTAAATAAAAAAGGCAGCTGATCTTCTACGTTTCAGTTCCTCCAGAGATCCTACCTTCTTCTGGCTGCTTGAAGATTTTATCCTGGTTTCGATGCTACTGCAAAAGCCAGGGTAATCCACTTCCGTCCTTGGTTTGGGAATTGGCTGGGGAACCGGTCAATCACTCTGCTGAGATCCCGATCCGAGAGGTGACCATGGGACAAGGGACCATCAGGAGTCTCATAAGCCTGTACCATCTAAATGAGGACATGCCCACTCTGGTGTGTCTCAGCAGCAACTCGCTGGGCTCTGATAGTCTGGCTTTTAATGTCTCCTCCTCTGATACACTAGGTAGGACCCTACAGGATGCTGCTCTCATATTACGCATCTCCTTTGCTAACTCGTGGTTTTGGGACATTTTCAGGTCTCCACTTTGTGTCTCTGCTGATTGGTTCTGGTGCTGGAGCTCTGGGGATGATGGTGGTTTGCATCCCATTGGTATATCTTGGCAGGTAAGAACAAAATGCAAACAGCTCTATTAATAACAGACATATGAAACAGTTTGTGTTGTTAGCTGGGACATACATGTTCCTTTGACCAATTTATCGTGGGATTATTTGAGCATCAAGATGCAGAATCATGTTTGACAAACGTTCATTCTGGCATTTCAATCAAACTGAAGATTGGACTTTGTATCTGCAGCACTTTGTACCTTTTTTGTTGTAGATCCTGGAGAGCATTGTCTTGATGCATGACTAAATTTTGCACAAGCATAAATAGACAAAGAAACCATTTCACTCTGAGTTTTTCACACAGACTCCACATGAATAGAAAATGGAGTTCTACTCCTGTTGTCTGTATTAGTTTATTTATTTATTTATTTGATCAATTTATTTTATTTATTTAACGTATTCTTTCTTTATATGTGCTTTTTAAACAGTTTTTTTACCTTGATTTATGATCAACATTATTTTAATATCCATATCACTTTTTATATTACAATTCTCATTTTAGCTCTTTGGATTTTATATTTTAACCTTAATTTAACCTTTTTCCAGTGCTTCCTCTGTGGGAGCCCTCTGCCCCGGCGGCGGTGGTCAGCTGTTGCGGCCTGGGTGCTTTCCATGTGTGCCTGGGTGGTGGTTGGGGGTCTCTGCCCTTCCTGCCCTGGATGCCCAGTGTCGGTGCCTCGGCTGCTGCTGTGGATCTGCTGCTGTTGGGGTGGATGGCTCCCCTGATGGTGTTTCCTTATCCTTATCTTAGCTGGTCTGGCTCATCTGATCTCAGCCAATCGTGTTTTTTTTTTACCATGGGGAAGGGGGCATGTATGTATGTGTGTGTTCGTGTGTGTGTGCGTGTGTGCGTGTGTGTGTGTGTGTGTGTGTGTGTGTGTGTGTGTGTGTGTGTGTGTGTGTGTGTGTGTGTGTGTGTGTGTGTGTGTGTGTGTGTGTGTGAGTGTGTGTGTGTGTATGTGTGTGTATGTCGGTGGAGGAGTGTTGTGAAAGGGTTTTTATTGACTGTTTTTAAAATTCTGGGGATGGGAGGGAATGTGGGTATGTGGGACCTTTTTAATTTGCACTTTGAGTTGCATGTATTGTAGGTTTAAGTGCTATATAAATAAAGTTGATTGATTGATTGATTGATTGATTGATTGATTGATTGATTGATTGATTAAACTCGATTCAGTGAAAGTGCCCAGAACTTGCAGTCCACATCATTAACCCTCTACTCACGTGCCCAATAGTTAGTATGAATGTTTTATGTAGTTTTTGCCTATATTTGGCTTTTAGCAAAAAGGAATGCTACTTAATATCTCTGTTTTGAAAAGACCCCCCCCCCCCTCCACACACAGGCACACTTTTTATTTTTATGAGCTTTCTGACTGATTCCAATCATTTATAACGATGCATATAACTTAAATTATATTTGTTTTGTTATAGAAAAAGAAAAGGCATCCCTTTATTTAACAAGAAATTGACGGGCACCGCAGAATGTGTTGTCACCAAAGTGGTGAGTATAACTATTGACAGTCACACACACACACACACACACACACACACACACACACACACACACACACACACACACACACACACAGGCAGCATTTTCCGTTGGTGTTCCTTGACTGCTGATAGGCAGGTAGGTGTGGGTGGGACAGGTGTATTACCGTCTCTTTACGGGACTTAGGGGAAATTCACAATAAGCCACGCCCCCTCGACACATAATCCACCTACAGAAATAAATGCTAGAGTGGTGCCCCTGGGCCTGGACATAACATAACTTTATTAATAATTATATAATATATAACATAATATAATATACTATAATATTATATTATATTATATTATATTATATTATATTATATTATATTATATTATATTATAGTTACCGTAACATTTTAACACAATATTTTTGTCCCTGTCTTTTTTTGTTACAAAACCATCTCACTGTTGTGTCATTTTTAGGCCAACTCTGCACCAGTGGATGTGAAAAATGGAAATAAGGTCACTGTCGAGGAGGAAGAGTTCCAAGACAAAGATGTTCTCGTCTATGTGAACGTGGACTTTGATAAACTCCGGTCCGCATCAGAGGGTGAGGTCAGGGAAAGGGAAATCAGAGGACTGGCTTCAAAAACAGCTGAGTATGCTGAGATTTGCCTTTGCAGCAGAGGAGGTAACCACAAAGAAGCAAAAGAGGAACTTGCAGACACACATTTGGAACAAGAGCACAGCATTGATGACCCTACAGAGTAAATTTGGGCTGCATGGTGGCACAGTTGTTACCACTGTTGCCTCGCAGCACGAAGGTTGCAGGTTCGAAACTCGGCTGCGGCCTTTCTGCGTGGAGTTACGTGTTCTCCCCATGCATTCGTGGGTTTCCTCCGGGTACTACGGTTTCCCCAAGCCCCCACAATGCGGCTCAAAAATTGAGGCCAACCCGAGAGTACCAAAAATTGCAGTTCCACCCTCATCCGCTGGGGGCTGGTGTCAGAAGCGAACAAATCCTCATTGACTCCCATGTTAAAAATACCAATTTCACAGCAGAAATAAACATGTTTACAGCCTGGTACCAAAGCATGTTTTTGGTTTAAATGATCTAGTTTACTCTCATGACAACTCTGAGGGAGGTGAATTTTTTTCTTACTCTTCTGTTTAGGTGTATTAAAAGCCTAAAATTCTGTATAATTAATGAGCATCAGACCCACGTGACCACAGAGCTAGCTCCGTGGAAAGGCCTCAGTAGAGCCTCGGTCTGGCTTGGAAACTGTTCAGGGATTTTGAGTCTCTGTGTTTGTGTATTCAGTTTTGGATATTTTTTGTGCAATTGTTGGACAAAATGACTTGCTGTGGTATTAATTGCACTAATAGAGCATCCAAGGAGTCTCCACTTCATTTTTTTCGGCAAGTAAAATTATATTTATGTATTTTAGGTCACTGCCGAGCTGAGCTTAGATTTTAACATGTACTGTTTAACCATGAAATTTAAAGGCAATAGGGTAAACCCCAGTACATTTAACATAATGCTGCACTTTAGAAAATGGGTTGAAATATAACATGTTGGTGAAGCTGGGTTCCGACTATCGGCTTGTGGAGCTCTCAGGAGACCTCTGTTTTCCACCCGTTTCTCCCCTCCCCGCAGCTCGGCGCATCTCTGTCTGATCGCGGCTTGTGTCTGCTGCGCGGGCTGCCGGCTTTCAGCAGCTTTCGGGAGACCTCTGTGTTCCACCCGGTTTTACCCAGCCATGGACGTAATTTTGGGGGGGTGGGACAGGGGGGACATGTCCCCCCCCCCCCCCTCCCACATTTTCCAAAGTCAAGTTTTGACCCCTGCACTTTTTACCATCCAAAACAATATTACACTATATTAAATTAACACTGGATGAGCTCTAGGACCAAGCGGAAAACAACCGTTTGTGTTGAAGTCTGTTTCCCATTAGAGCATACCGTAAAGATACCCCTCCCCCCTCCTCCCTCCCCCGTGTCCCCCCCACTTCTAAAGTGAAAATTACGTCCATGTACCCAGCGGTCAGCCCGGCGTATCTCTGACTCAGAAGCTCTGGTGTTGTGCACAGTTAACTCCGGTTGTAGCTAGGTTGCTACCTCTGTTAGCTTAGCTCCCACCTCCTCGTTAGCTTTAGGTTAGCTTCAGGTTAGCTTGTAGCTAGTTCGACCGGGTGTCGTCAGTTGATCCCAGCCTTACAGCCCCACCCTCAGCTCCACCTCTCTTCCCTTTTGTGGAATTGTCTGGGCTTGACGGAACCTGTGACACGGTCAAAATGGCGGTGGTGGCCACCTCCCATTTGGCCTCAAAAACGTGTTATTGGAGCCTATGGAAATGAATTGTCCAGTATTTATATGTCGATGGGTTTCCCCCACAGATCACAACATGCCCTACAGGTTATAAATTGTAAGTCGCTTTGGATAAAAGCGTCTGCCAAATTAATAAACACAAACATAAATTTAGGTGAACTTGCATCAGAAATAGAAAATCCTGGACTTTGGTGCCGCTTGGCTGTTTTCAGGTGCTCAGCTGGAATTGTTAAACTGTAAAATCTTCCCATAAGTACAGATCGGGATGCATCCTAATACATCTTAAGTTTAGGAAGTTTAAGTTTTTTTCTATTGCACAAAACTAAACAATTACAGAATAGAATAATCATATCTGTAACATTACTGTTAATGTTTAAAATGTTCTGCTAACTTTGCTTTAAAACTTCCTCTGTACTAAATATGTTGAATGAAAATAAAAACCACAGAATTTCCGTAAAACACTTTTTTATTTATAACTTTGTGATGTTGATATATTTATATCTGCAGCTACAACTTTGAACAAAGCAGTTAATGATGTGAAACAGAGCACATTTGCAGTTTGTACACATTAGCATGAAGCATCATCAAATTATTCTCATCATCACGTTAAAGACCAAATTCACTCTTTTATCACATTTGCAGTGGTTTCTAGTAGGGATGTCCCAATCGGGTTTTTTTTTTGCCCTCGAGTCCGAGTCCGAGTCATTTGATTTTGAGAATCTGCCGATACTGAGTTCCAATCCAATACTTTCGATACATAAAAAAAAGAAAAGGAAGAAACGGTTCCAAAATGTTCCTTATTTTTTTATTTAATTACCTTTTTATTTTAATTTTTAACAACAGATCAATTCTGTGAGGTAGCTTGAACAATCAAGTAATAAATAACATAAATTCTTCACTTTTGGACTTTATTGCAAATATAAAAAGTCTAATATAAAAACAGATAGCACTTCAACTTCAACAAATACCTGGCAGGGGTCTATTTTGCCTCGGCCCCCAAAATGCTTAGATACATCCCTGGGCATGAGACGGAGTTTTGCAGATGATCTGAATTGTATCAACTATATAAATACTGCATGCTGATAAATTATTGCTTTATACAGGTACAAACGTGTAGTGGGATAAATCTACCTAGATTTTATTTTTTTAAGAACTTTGTTTTGTTTTCTTGGTTTTTATTTTCCTATCTTCCTGTCCTGTCTGTCTCTGATCTTCCTGCATCTCCCAGTCCTCCAGAAAAACTCCTGCCTGCTTCCTTCTTTTTCACCTCACAAGTAACTTTTTAACTAGCAGATCAAACTGATCTATTGACCGCAAAAAAAGCGGAGTGTGGGCCACGCTGCCCGGCTGCATCAGTGACGAGCGCTGCAGCGCGAGCGCGTCCACACGTCATGCTCAAATACAGACAGAACTTACCAGAGAGAAAATGAACGGACACGAATGACTGTGTGTTAATTATATATTTTTGGTGACGCCACTTAGAAACTTAGAAAATGTTACTGTGGCCGTGTGCAGAAAGCAGCTGGAGTTCATGAATAATCAGCGGTCTGCCTGCCGCTCTCTGCATCTCTGTTCAAAACAATCCCGCTACTCTGAGTCCAAATAAATAATATAATATAGGTAGAAACTGGATCTATTTTGAGCTTCTTCTGGGTGTTTAAGTTAAGGGCATCAGGGGAGCCTGACAACCTTTAAGGAGAACCAGTTTGCTCTCCTGTAATTTGAACCCAGTGTCCAACTCCGAATCGGGGTTTGGATCGGGAAGTAAAGCCCGAATCCCGATTGAGTCTGAAACCACGTGATCAAGGCCGATTTCCAACCATGTGATCGGATCGGGACATCCCTAGTTTCTAGTCTAAATGAATACCTTGTGAGTTGATCTCTGAGAGCAAAAGAAACTGTTTCAGAAACTCAAAGTGAGCCAAAAGATTGGCAAGCAAAACACAGCAGGATGCAGAATCTTATTTCCTGGTAGTCAGACATCTTGCCTCTGATTGGCTGGCAGAAATGTGACTCTACGACTGACTGTTGGCTTTACAACATTGTTGTTTTTGCTCCACAAATAACAGAAGCCTGAAGGAATTCTGCCATGTTGTGGAGTTGCTAATGCTAACGGTTAGCTTCTACTAACCGAGACGTGCTCTGCTCTCTCCTGGAAGCTAAATCAACACAGCATTCCCTGTTGCAAGCAGATGGGTGTCATATTTGAAAAATAACAAAAAGGTTTCTCGCTCCGGCTTTAAAAAGACAGCTGCTAGGTTAATTCTGAACTTTCATCATTTTTCTTGCACTAAAATGAACTTTTGGAGGAAAATAAATTCTCAGTACTAAAACTAATTGTACAACTCCACAATTAAACAGACATGTTCTTTGTTAAAAGGGTGTTTCCATTAGGAAGAGTTCATCTGAGCTCATAATTTAACCTGAGAGTACTGAATACCGTCCTCAGAGCTGCTGGAGTGGTTGGTGGTTTTCTGGTGGCCAGGCTTTGCCTTAAAATTCACTTGAGTGTAGTGAACCTCCACTTCCTCTTCACTTGTGTCTGAGTCATAATCATTTTTAGGTTTGACCTTAAATGGACTCACATTCTCATAGTCCTCTTGTTCCATCTAAAGAAAGAGGAAGACAAAAACACATTTACTGAAATCGGGTTGGATGTAATTACAGAGAACACACATTTTTTTTTACGCCCATCATTGTAGCAACTGAATATAAATCATGCTCGTTTGAAGTATCTTACGTCTTTTGGTTTGCACACTTTAGAGTACACAACATCGTCTTCTGAGGACTTTGAGTTGCGGACTCTGGAGCACTCAGGATCCTTGTTAGGTTTCCTAGAAAAGCACATCATCATAAAAAAATCACATCTAGACATACTCATCTAAACAAATAAATGCGAAAACCAAATTCTCACTTCTTTTTCTCAAAGTGTAGAGAAGCATAGTTAAGAGAGTCATCATTCTTGTTTTCATGCTTTTGTCCCGCTGGTGTTGGTGCAGACGGAGCCTGAAAATGGCAGGTATCAGTGAATGAATCGGTTCATTCACATCCAATATAAAGGCTTTAAGTCGATTCATTGCTCTCCTGTTTCTAAATGATGTGCTGACAAACACCCAGACACAGAATAAACATCTACAGTGTGCAGGAAACAGCTTGATCACTCAGACACTCTTCCGCTTGGATTCAATGGGAAGAAAATGAAGAAAACAGCTCAACTGTAAATATTTGAAGCCCAGAAAGAGCTTGTGTTAAATAAAGGGAAGAATGGGTTAATTGGTAGGTATTTGAGGGGTTTTGCCATAAAACAGAAGCAGATGCTCAGTTGATAGGTCATCTAGAAAAAAGAGGAGAGAACCCCCCCAAATCATCATCATCATCATCATCATCATCATCATCATCATCATCATCATCATCATCATCATCATCACCATCACCATCACCATCATCATCATTATCCACAAACTTGGTGTAATTTGTCCAAAAAAGTAAAAAAAATAAAAAATAAATCCAAATTCAAATTTCTGAGCGTTAAAAAATACTAACTACACAGCTGATCTGTTTCCGGCCTACACTCGTTAATTCAGTAAATCTGCAGTGGTCTCTAGTATAAATGAAGTCATTTTAGGTGGAGAAAAAGCTCTGCTGCTTCTGTTTCAGGAAGTAAAATTTATTAGAAGAGAGGATTTGGAGTCTTCCTCATTAATATTCAAGATATTCAAACATTATGTGCACTTTGGTCAGCTCCCATGCTGTTTTTAAATGCGCCATATAATAAATATGGTGTGGTATCTCGCCTCTGATTGGCTAGCAGCAATGCAACTCTTCCACTGCCTCCATTCATTTAGCAATGTTGATGTTTCATCTCCACAAATAACACAAGCCTGGAGGAGTTCTGTCATGCCGTGGAGTTGCTAATGCTAACGGTTAGCTTCTACTAGCTAAGATGTGTTCTGCTCACTCTTGGATGCTAAATCAACAACAGCGTTCCCCGTCACGAGTCAAGATGGGTGAGTCAAAGAATGTTAATTTTCAGTGTGACATAGATCTATGTGACTTTTCTAATCCAAGCGTTTACCCATCTGTTTTCTATCAGCAGCTAATGCAGGAAATAGAAGAGGAAGACTATTTTCCCAATCTGCATGCTTTTGAAACTCGCCTTTTTTTTGGCTCCAAAAATATCTGAAATATAAATCAAAGCAGACTCTGTTGGTCATTTTCTTTCTATAAAAATCTAAAATGTCTTTCCATTGGAGTTCTGAAACCACCACAAGCTACTCTCTTAAAGTATATTTTTTCTTATTTATTCTTCTGTTTAGACTAAAATACTGCAAACGTCATATTTTTAATAATGCATTGAACTTATGTAGCGCTTTTCTAGACACCCAAAGACGCTTTTCACACACTCTCACATTCACACACTGCTAGTGCATAAGTAAAGGTGCTGCTTGCTGGTCTGACTCACTTGTTGTCTTTGTGGCAGATTCACGGTAGCGTAAACCATGTTGGTGTCGGTCGAAGGCCTGCAGAACAAGAGTACAGAAAACAACGAAAACGCTCCATAACTGTTTATAAAACTGTACAAAACAGACTCGTACTGTTCCACGTGTTTGTGTGATCTCAAAAGGATCCTTTGTCTTTAGAATCAGTAGAATCATCTGTCTCCCGGTCCAACAGTGTCCCTTGTTGTGTTTGTCTGAGCGAGGACGCTGCACGCAGCTGCAGGCTTACGTGGCGTCTGGATGAGGACAACGCAGCTGCTCTGCCAAAAGTTCTTCTCTGCTCCTGGACGGTTCTGTCATTATTGTCTCGTTCATCCCCTTCCTTCTTCTGGATTCCTTTTGAAAAACCTACATGAGTAAAAAAAGAAGATTTGTGTTATTCTGTTGAGATTTGTTGAACAGAGTTATAGAAAGACGTGCGTTTGAGCCATCACCAGGAAACCGCAGCAGGGGGCCATGTTTGTGCCTCGGGGATTGTATTTGTTCTTGTGTCTGGGGAAAAAAAGAATAAAGGTTAAGAACAGCTGCTATTAATGTGTTATGTGTGTGGATTATTATTTACCTGTACACTAAGAAAATTAGGATTATAACGACCAAAACGAAGCAAATAAAGAAGATCCTCACAGTTCTCCCGATTCCGCCTGGATCGAGGAGAAGCGTAGACATAAATATCACATAATTGTGGATATTAAGAGTTTATTTAAAATGAACAAACATCCCATAAACAGTCCACGACAGTTACTCACTATGGAACGCCCTGATTGGATCAGAGTTTTTTGTACCCAAATCATTCGCTGCCACACAGTAGAGCTCTCCTGGTTGGTGCGAGTACACCATCACAGTCTGCTTGTCAGAGAATTTGGTATTTGTAGTTGTGTTGTACCAGGAGTATTTAGCCTGAGGGTAGGACTGACTGGTGCATTCCAGCTCAACTGAAAGCCGCCCATCGGACCGACTTTTTTCTTTTCCCCTCATGATTGTTGCGTGTTTTGGGGCATCTAAACACGTAAAAAATAGAGACCTTGTGAGTAATTGTACTTTATAGTGAGTTGTACTACAGTTTATGCACAGTAACGTACTCACACTTGACCTTAACCTCCACAGGCTGAGATTTTCCAGTTCCAAGTGTGTTTCTGGCTTCACAGCTGTACCATCCACTGTCAGAAGGGCTGGTAGCGTTCACAAGGTAGATCTTGGTGTTTATTTTTACTTCTTCATTATTTTTTATCCACGTGTATGAATCAATGGATGGGTTAGATCGCCCCGTGCAATCCAATGAGAATGGCTCATTTTCCTTCACTTCGAGACGTGGCCGAGGTTCTATTCTCACGTCTTTGGGAGAATCTGAATTTGCAGAAATATGGTAGAAAATTATATAAAAAAAAAAAACACATTACTTCATATGATGAAACAAACATTTACCAAAAATGATATTGTTTAACTCTTTTGGCTTGCTGACTGAAAAACAAGACATGAGTATTTAGAATTTTTGGTAACGCTTTTCAGTAAGGGTCCCTTTATTAATGTCAGTGCATTATTAAGCATTAATAAACCTTCAAACTATTAACAACTGTTTAACTATATTACCCCCCGGCCCTTTGTCCTAACCTTAAGGACTCTTCATAGTTGGTTACCATTAATAAAGGAGACCTTTGTTAATTAATGTTTAATAATGCACTAAGCAGAGGTGTGGACTTGAGTTACATGACTTGGACTCGAGTCATTATTTTAATGACTTCTGACTTGACTTGATAAAATCTATAAAGACTTACGACATGACTCGGACTTGAACACCAATGATTTGCGACTTGAATCGACTTGCATCTGTTGACTTGATGATGACTTGAGCATATTTGACATTTTGCTTGTTTGAGCAAATAAATGAAGTTTTAAGAAGCTTTATTTCTGGAATGTATTTATTATCATTGTCATTAAATTGAAGTTGGACAGATGACTTGATTATGACTTGAAAATTCAAACAAGGACTTGGACTTGACTCGGACTTCCACATCATTGACTCAACTTGGACTTGGTTGTCTTTGCCTTGGACTTGACTTGAGACTTGACTGGAATGACTTGTTTCTTACAAAGCAGTGACTTGGTCACACCTCTGGCACTAAGTAACATTAATAAAGGGATCCTTAAGGTAAAATGTATTTTTACATTTTTTATTATTTTGCAGCATGATTTAATGTAGGTAGATAATACAAAAAATACAATTAAGAAGTGGGTAGTAATACTAATGCAGGTTAGGGGTAGACCGATTTATCGGGCCCATGTTTACTGTCCTTAGTAAAGCCAATTTAAAGTCAGGCGTATCCTCTGGCAGTCCAATGCTGGTGCAGAATTTAATCTAAATGTATTTTTATGTTCACTAACAACATCTAAATAAATACTCTAAATTAACTTTATTTAGGTGTCTGACGTTGACACTGAACAGTGCACAATGTCAAGACTGAACAGTTGGTTAAATTCAAAGTTCAAAACTGATTCAGCTTCAGAAGTTTTGTGCATCAACGGATGGTTTTAGTGTCAACTTAGCATGAAAATAAGGAGGAAAGAGTCTGGATATCAGCCATGAAACCCGTCCCATACTAATCAGCTGACCATGTCTCCTACATACTGTATCAACACTGGTGTCGGCAATAGAAAAACCAAGATTGGTCAACCTTTAAGGTTAATGTAATGTTCAAACTTCCTCATATTTTGAACTTTATTTTAAGTTTAGTGGAGGTTTGTTGCTTTTAATAAGATGAGGAGTGAATTGTGCTCTAACAAGTGGTTGAGCTGGTGGGTTAGGAAGGAAAACAATGATTGGAAAGTAAAATATTCTTTACAGGGGTTAAAAATAATTAAAATGTAAAATAACAAAAATAAAACAGAACAAAATAAACCGTTACTGTTGCTTTTAGGCCTTTGAACGAATTATTTATCATTTCTAAATCAACTAAAACTATTGCAGGAAACTTTGAATGGACACTTTGGTTTGTGTGCTTCACCAGATCACTCACATTCAACGTTTAATTTGCTTTCAGCGCTCACGTTGGTTCCTTCGCTGTTTGATGCCACGCATGTGAAGACGACCGCGTCGGCTGACGTTGCAGTTAACGTGAAGGTGACGCTGTTCTCTTTGTCACCGAGCTTAGGATTCAAACTCTTTGACGACGGAGATGTTTGCAGCTGAAACGTCGACGCTGGGGAACTTTCAGCGCTGCATCTGATGTTGACGGTTTGACCTTCTGTGACTTTGTGAGGTAGAGACAACGTGACGTTGGTGGGAGGAACTGTGGAGAAAGAATCAAAGGGAAAATCAGCCGTGAAGTTTTTTAAAACATCTTGGGTGAACTACGAATCCATCAACAGGACGTTTGCAGAGTTTGTTAGAAATTACTTTGGATTTTTTTCAAAATGTTTGAAAAATATATAAATAAATGAATAAATAGACAACTATGGCATCTCAAAGTGAATTCAATAAAACAATATTTTTTTACTAAATTGTGTGCATTACACAACACAACTAAAAATGGAGTTTGCTTTAATGTGTGAAAACATGCAAACACGACGATTACTTACAGAGAACTCGGATGCACTTTGGTTTGCTCATTTCGCCTTCACCGACGGCGTTGGACGTGTTGCACAGGTAACAGGCTTCGTCTGATCTTTTAATACTTTTAATGATCAGAGTCTGCTGGTGGGTTCCTAGTGGTTTCTGCTTTGAGGAGTCAGAACGACGGTGCCGGTACCAGGAGTACCATCCTGAACTTGGATTTGCAGAAGTGTCACATGTAAACGTGACAGAGCTGTCAATTATCACGTCATCATTAAAAGCACCAATGATGGAAATGTGGCTTCTTGGTTTGTCTGAAAATGAAAATTGGAATCTGTTTGACAGAATCGGATAAAACACGTGGAACTTATTCACGATGTGAAAACTTACACTGAACATCAAGAGATCGGTCGTTCGATTTCCGAGAACCCACAGAGTTACGGGCTTCACACCTGTAGACACCATAGTTCTCTGGCTTTACACTGAGAAGATCATATGACTTCTTCTGCCCTTCTGAAACCCTTCTGTTGTTTTTAAACCAAGTAAATCTAGTAGGTGATGGTTTACTTCTCTTCACATTGCAAGTTAGAGTGACCTTGTCTCCTTCTAATACATGATCCAGGGGTTCTCTAGCTGGTTTCTTGGTGACCTCCACAGTAACTTCAGGTGGATCTACAGATGCAGACATGTTTATGATCATTCTACCGAGAGCCGTGTGAGAAAACAATTCTGATGAACAAGAAACAAAGAAAATGGGATTTACAAGTAAAACAACAGTTTAGAAACAAGGAAGAACTTACAGAACACCTCAACGCTCATTTCAGTGGAATCGATGACTCCAAGTGTGTTTGTAGCTCGACAGTGGTACGAACCGCTGTCTGATTCCTTAATTGATGTGAATTTCACCTCAGCTCCTGATTGGTTAATTGTTCTATTGTTTTTGAACCAACTGAAGGAGACCTTGGGTTGACCTTTGGCGGAACAGTTCAGAGTCACTACGTCGTTCTCCTTCACTGTTTTGTGGCTCTTTGTAATCTGAACTTCTTTAGGAGCATCTGTGATCACAAAGGTAAAGCAGAAGACTTACCCACACATACATGAATTTAGTTTCAGCATAATCTAATAAAATAATAGTAATAATTCATCATTTTGCAACTGCAAGTCAAATAACATCATAAATTATTGATGGACGTACGCTTCACTGTTAAGGTGAGATTCCGGATTAGATACTTGTCGGAGTTTCCAGTTGTTTGGCATGAAAACACATTCCCATCATTCATCCAGCTGGCGTTGAAGCTGTGTGTGATGCTATTGGGTGTCTGAGAATTTTTGTCGCCAGGAGTGAGAAGGCTTTGAGTTGAATTGTAAATTTCTGGGCGTGATGTACAAAAAGGCGAGGTGGAACAGGTGAGTGTCACCTGCTTGTTTTCAGTCACAGTCGCTTGTTTGTTGAATGCGATGGGGCAGGGATTCTCTGAAATATATAAAAAAAAAAAACAAATCCGCTGAAAGGTAATAGTAAAACAGTTTTTCATGTTTGTTTCAAAAGTTCAGATTTCTTATTGCTTTAGTTTTCAAAACATTATAAAGCTAAATTCAGCCTTAAGGTTTTGGTTTTCTTTGTTTGATTTCAGCCTTGCTGAGATCAGAACCAGAAAGTGGAGTTGTTTAGTAATTTCTTTATTTTGCTTTTGTTTGATCAAGAATGTGATTCTGGAAATCTTTTATTTATTTATTTTTGGTCTAGGATTTGTTTAATCTTAAAATCTACATTTCTACATTTTTGATTCAACCAACTGAATAAAAAAAACAACAACTTAAAACATGATTGAATCTAATTGGGTTTTCTTTTCTTACCTTTCACTGTTAGCTGTGTTGGTGGATCTGTTACCCATTTAACATCTCCATTTACATATCTGAATTTATATTCTCCACTGTCGGTTTCATTCAGGTCACAGATCACAATGTTGCAAAATTCTTCAGGTTTATTGTGATTTTTCGGTGGGGAGACGGTGCTTCTGTTGCTGAACTGTGTGCTGATGGGTTTTATCTGTAGATCTGTGCTGTAAACGATTGTGGCATCGAAGTCGTCCTTCGACCACTTTGCATCTTTCATCCAAAACCAGTAAGCCGCAGTAGAATATTCAACACCCGTGTTAGGTTTACATTTAATTTCAACACACGATCCCTCCTTAGCTGTTAGATTAAGGTTTTCCAGGACAAAGGGATTGGTTTTGGCCCCAGAAACATCTGCAAAAGAGACGCATAATAAAAGTTTATTTCTGCGGCAAAACATAGTTATTTCATGTTTTTTATGCAGAAGAGCAACTTACTTTTCATTAGGGCCAGAAATACCAGCCACCTCACTGTAAGAGGAATCATTTTCACGTTGGTCTGAAGAGCTTTTATTTTTTCTTTCCTTTTGCTGCCTCCTTGTTTACAGTTGATGAGTTTCCTTCCTCATTTCAAGAAGCTTAAAAAGGAAATATAAGCTGCTTGAATTAAAAAATTAAATAAATATCACACACACACACACACACACACACACACACACACACACACACACACACACACACACACACACACACACACACACACACACACACACACACACACATACACACACAACTGATTTAGATCAAAGTAAATGCAAAAACCCCATCAATATTCTTGTTTTGTGTCTTTAATCTGCTGCATATATTTATTCTTATACTTTTCGTAGATTCACCAGTCATGCAGTCATGAACTGACAATTTTCTCTGCATGATAGAAACCAGTCAACCGTCCTTCTCTGGTGCTTTATCAAGTCCAATGACTCCAAAGCACTTTCCATTACAATCATACTGAATTGCATGTTAACTTGTTAGGTTCTGCATTATTTAAATTCTGTCCCGAGCTTGTGTTGACCCATCCATCCATCCATCCATCCATCCATCCATCCATTTTCTGAACCCGCTTTGTCCACGTAGAGTCGTGGGGGGGCTGGTGCCTATCTCCAGCGGTCAATGGGCGGTCAGGCGGGGTACACCCTGGACAGAGAGCCAGTCCATCGCAGGGCAACACAGAGACACACAGGACAAACAATCTTGCACACACACACTCACACACACACCCACACCTAAGGACAATTTAGACAGACCAATTAACCTAACAGTCATGTTTTTGGACTGTGGGAGGAAGCCGGAGTACCCGGAGAGAACCCACACATGCACAGGGAGAACATGCAAACTCCATGCAGAAAGATCCCAGGCTGGGAAGCGAACCCAGGACCTTCTTGCTGCAAGGCAGCAGCTCTAACCACATCTTGTGTTGACCCTATAAAGTTAAATTAAATCATAATCAATTCAAAAGCTCTCAGTGCTCTCAGGAAAATAGGGAAATCTCAGACAACAAAATGCTAAAACAAGTTAGTTCTTATAAAGGTTTTAATAGTTTCGCAGTTTTCAGGCTAAAATTAAACCGAAGCACGTTTTCGTTCTGGGAGCCCTCGTTGCGGTTTCAGCTAGTTTATATTTCTTGCAAAGCTTCATTCTTAATTTTAATTTAGTGAATGAAAAAGTTTTACTACTAGTTTTCATACTTTAGTTTGTTTTTGGGGAAGATAACCGTCGTTCTTACCTCAGAAGAGATGCTCATAGCTCGTTGTGACTCAGATTCCTTCTTGAAGTAAAAATTTGAATTTACAAAAGGAGGTTTTCACAGTTCACATCATTTGCATGTGAGAGCAGGCAAGAAAAAACTTTAAGAAATCTAAACTGAGAGATGTGTGTGTGTGTGTGTGTGTGTGTGTGTGTGTGTGTGTGTGTGTGCTCTCTTTCTCTATGTGGTATTTTCTTTCACTTCTGCTTTTCAAAGGTTTAATAATCAAAGGTCTTACTTCTGGGGCACAGAGAGTCTTTTAATACTCCATCAAACTGAAACAAATGCAACACTTTTCAATAGAAAGAAAACAATCGTATTATTTATAAACTTCATTAAGGTGATGTTACAGGAAACTTGATGCTTGCAAACTTAATGAAGATTAAAACAACTGTCATTTTCCCTCCCCCACAGCTGCTGCCACTATCTTCTCAGCATCTGCAGCCATTTCATCAACAGCGCCGTTCAGAGCTTGAAGCATGGCGGCGAAGGAGTGGCCGACTGAGCGAGCATGTCGAGGCATCGCCATTTCCAGCAGCTTTGAAGAAACGGTGGACTGTTCCCTCTCTGCTGCTGCTAGTCGTCTTTTCACCTCTGCTTTAGTGACCTCCACCGACAGCACACACGTTCGCAGCTTCCTAAGCTCTGCCCCTTCCCTGCCTCGCCGCCGGGCCAGACGGTCAACAGATTCATCGTCCAGGCACAGAGAGAGCTGTGCCTTAGTGAGAATTCGCACTGCAATGCTCGAGTCCACCATAGATGCCACGAGAGGAACGGGAATAGCCGACACCCCGCCTGATAACGAGGCGGCGGCAAATATGAGAGCTTGGAAAGCCTCCTTTTTCTGGGTGACCAGAGCTGGAGTGAGAGTTGGGAGAGCCAGGAGGAGAGCGTGAGCTCGGATCTCTGGAAGGTCCTTACTCATGTCCACCAAGAGGTCAGGGAGGTCACACCTCTCCAGGGTGGAAGGTCTGACCAGGTAGACTTTAGTCTGTTTCACTCCCAGGGATTTCAGCACCTCCAGACTGGCTTTCCTCTTCTCTTCCAGGCTCTTGTCCGTATCTTCTACAGAAGCTAAGAGGATGAAGTAAACATTTTGTCGCGGCAGCGATCGAGCCTCCATGAAAGGTGCCACGCTGTTGGGTTGGAACGTCTGTGTGAATGTCATAAAGACAGCATTGTAGCGGAGGAACTTAAATCTGTTCATGTATTCTTCTGGCTCAAAGTGGAATGTGGTTGGGAAGGCTGGGAGATCCCAGATGCGGAAGTCAGGGTGTTTGGGATTTGGGTAGCCAGCTATTTCCTCTGGTGGAGCAGGGGGCGAAGAAGGAGCTGCACCATCATCATCAGGCCCAAGGCCACGGAGCGAGTTTATGAAGGAGGCTTTCTCAGCTCCACGGTCCCCAACCACAGCCAAGTTAATCCTGCTGATGAGGAGATCTTCCACTGCATCTTTAACATCCGACAACTTGTTAGACTCTAAAGACTCTTTGAGGGTCTCAAGTAGATTCAAGCTTCTGAAGACATCAGCCATGCCTATGTGAAGAGGAGGATGGAAATGTTATTGTCTCTGGTGGAACTACACAAACATTACTGAAGAGCCAAATGGCACACAAGAAGACGCACAAAGCTCTAATTATCCATCCATCCATCCATCCATCCATCCATCCATCTTCTGAACCCGCTTTGTCCACGCAGGATAGGCTGGTGCCTATCTCCAGCAGTCAATGGGCAATCAGGCGGGGTACACCTTGGACAGAGAGCCAGTCCATCACAGGGCAACACAGAGACACACAGGACCAACAACCATGCACACGCACACACTCACACCTAAGGACAATTTTAGACCAATCAACCTAACAGTCATGTCTTTGGATGGTGGGAGGAAGCCGGGGAACACGGAGAGAACCCACGCATGCACAGGGAGAACATGCAAACTCCATACAGAAAGATCCCAGGCCAGGAATCGAACCCAGGACCTTCTTGCTGCAAGGCAACAGCTCTAACCACTGCATCACTGCGCAGCCGCTCTAATTGTCCATTAATATTAATTATTTTTACACCGCAGTACATCATACTTCGTGATTTGCAACCCTGTGGGGTCAAAAAAAGTTGGGGGTTTCCTTTTTGTAGACTTTTGTTGAAAAATTTTATCAAACTACTTCTGTTATTGAAGCAGAGGGAACATCAGGACTAGTACCTTCATTGTAAGTCCAGTCCTTTATGTGTATACTGACCCTTGGTGAAGTATCTACAAGTATAAGGGGCCAATTTTATTTCTTTATTGCTCTCATATTGTTATAGATGCTCATAGTAAAATAAAGTAAAATAGAATTCTGTTCTATTCTATTACATATTGTAACAAAAACATTAGCCAATAATTGAATGAGTTTTTATTGCTACATTTAAAAGTGCATTATGTAAGAATGACAACCAGTGGCCAAACGTGGGTACTGCAGCCCATTTTCTAAATACACAAGTGACTCTCTCACTCCCTTGCCACGAGTTTCATGGATGTACAGGTCGGCACCAGAAGATTCAGTGAAAATGAGTCATACACAGTAAGTTATTTGGGTGTTTTACGGTAGGGAGCACTTACTACACTTATTACAGTAGTTTGTCTCCGGCATTACAGAAAGTGTGGTTGTTAGCTTGCTGTTACAGTCCTGAACGACTCATCAAAGAAAGTAAAACACTACCATTGACTCATTATTCACTTCATGCATACATTTCATTTATGGAGTTGTTGGTGATTGAAAAAGTAGCTTGATTTGGATTTTTTGGAGCTGACCACTTTTTTCTAATTCACCGTTAGCATTGTTAGCTCAACAATGGCCTCTAGCCTTCTTTACTCGATATTAGAGCAAACCAAAACGATGCCGTGGCTTCTTAGGGGTACAAGAAATAACTTCTGAGTTGCTCCTGTTTACTGGCTTCAGCTCTTTCCAAAACGCTGCTGTGTTAGCTGGCGCAGATTTGGTAACCTCGCAGGCTCACAGATTGTAATCAAAGACTTCCCTCTTTTTTGGCTAAGTTGAAAAGATATAAACTAACAACCTCCCAGTCAGCTGTAAGTAAATCTGTTTCAATGTAACCTTCCCTCCAATGAGACATTATTATACCTTTAATTAATGTCCACAATATGACACATGCTGGGCTCTTAATGGTTAAATGTGTATTTTTTTTTACACTACAGCTTCTTTGGAAGGATCATATTGACCAGGGAATGCATCAGGATCCCACTGGTGGAGCTAGTGAAGATTACTGAGGAAAAGGTGGTTTGGGCCTCTATTGGGGCTGCTACCCTTACAGCCCACACCCGAACAGGTAAAAATAAATAAACAAATAAATAAAAACAGACGGACGGACGGATGTAGGTTTTGTACTTTCACTTGATTTCAAGCTTGATTTTCTATCTCTCCAATTCAAACGTTTCACTAAAATGTTCAAAAAGATTCTGCCTTTTTCCTTCAGGAGGACACCTGATTACTAAAGGGTAGCTAAAGACCAATTCTTATAAATATTCAGCTTTTAACTAAATCTCTAAAATTGAATGAGCTGCAGAGCAATTATATCAGTTAAACACACTCACCTGTGTGTGTATAGCTGAGAATCCTCTGGTTCTGGTTCTTCTGACGTTGAAGCCCTGAGTCGAGCTCTATTTAAAGCATCCGTCCATCTAGTGGAACTTTCTAATCCTCTTGGCTCAACCTTAATCCACCATGAACACTGTGTGTGTGTGTGTGTGTGTGTGTGTGTGTGCATGCAAAACTGCTGACACATGTTTGTTTACACAGATATAAACACTCATGAACAACTTTTTTTTATTGTGAAAATGTGCAATTCCTTTTACATCTTAACCTTTTTTGCATTTACGCGCAGCGTTACATTCCAAATTCCCTCTAAAGAGCAAGAAAATATGAATTATAATCATAACATACAATATAATATGGAAAAAGCTCCATTTTAACTAAGGTTGTGGAACACATTGACAGCATATCAGTGTATAATTGTGTTTTCCACAGATAGAAATAAATACAATAGAATTATTTTAGCTGTAAACATTTCTGGAGATAAAATAAAAACAACGCCTTGATGATCTGTTTCTCAGCCACCCGTTTTCATGTATCTGCGAACACCCAGAGCTATTCTCCTTCAACTGTAAATTGCATGCATTTGTTTAGAGATAAAGAGGAACAGTGTTATGGAGGTATGCACCGCTGTTCAAGCCTCCTTTAATTTGCACAACAGAGTTTCACTTTAATTCATCCAGAAGAACCAAAGATGCAAAACACCCGGCGACACCTGCTGCTGCATCGGATTCTACTTTTTGTTCCCTTCTTTTCTGATTCTTGTCTTTTTATCAGGAAATGTCTGATCTGTGTGTGGCTTTGTTGGTTTACATTAAAAACATTAAATCTGGCTCACATACAGAAGACGTTTGTTCCTTCAGTAAAACAACTAAAAATAATCAATTATGTTTAAATAAATCAACAGTTTAGTATTTTTTTATTACTTTAACGCTCCAGAACATTATTCTGAGGTGAGGGAATCCATTTTCTCTTCTTTTTGATAATATTCTCCCCTGGTGAACTGATTGCAGGCACAAACACACCTTGTAGCTGCCATCTTTAGATTTGGTCCATCAGTTCTGACACGTTTGAGTAAACAGCTAAATCTTGTCCCTTCACTTCTTCAGCACAGATGTTTAGCTCCTTCTCCTCCTCCACTTTGTCTCCTTCATCCAACTTCAGCCGTGTTTCTTTTGGTTTTATTTTAGCATAATCTGTGTCTGAATTCTCTTTTTTCTTTCCGTTTTTGAAGGAAGATTGTTTATTCTCTACCGCAAAGAATTTAATATCGGAGTAATCGACATCCGTCGTTCCACCTTCCATCCCCTCGACTTCTTGACCCTGGAACTGCCCGTACTCTATTGGTCCCCAGTTGTTTGTCTGGGGGATGAAGAAACAGTAATCAGTTAAAGGGAAGCTTCAACAAATCAAAGAACAAAGATGGGAATTCTGTAATTTCACCACTAGAGGTCATCAATCTCATATGACACGTACCGGTGGATTCTCTTGACCCATCATCTCCATCTCCAGAGTCTCAGCTGGACTCATCTTTTGCTTTTTCCTACAAAGAAATCATTTTTAAGACCAGAAATTGGTAAAATAAATAAGTAAATAAATAAATAAATATGCTTTCAACACATTTTACTATTAATGGTCTTTCCATGCACACATTTCTGCATTTTTCTCCCATAATTATGATTTTAAAATTGAGCTACATGAAGAAGACATTTGAATAAAAAGGTGAGATGCACCTGCAGCACCATCTGCACAAACAGAGAATAAGCGCTGGCAGCAGCACGCCGATCACAAAGGGGATAATTGTTCCTGGCTGTGTGACGAGTTGGAGAAATTTCACAAACTGACCTGCAATAAAAACAACAGTTATGAAAAACCCATCTGTTCCAAAGGTGAGTCCACAGATCAGCTACCTGCTTCATTCACTTTCTTTGTCATCAGATTCCTTGTTAATTTCCCATTTTCGTTCCAGCTGACACACACAGCTGAGGCCCTGCTGGGTTTGTTCTCAGTCAGAACAACGGTGCTTTTGACTGTGTGGGTGGAAACTTCGGTGTTGAAAGAGTAATCGGTTTGCTTCTCCTGCAGCAGCCATTCGATTCTGGGTAAAGGAAACCCCTGACTGATGCACACACAGGTCAGGAGGTCCCGCTGAGCCTCGCATCCCGACTCGTTTAGGATCTTTGGTAACACTGGAGGGAGGCAGAACGGTAAAGTAAGTCTGATGTAAGCTATTTTTAGACATCTCACCGCCGATTGGATAAGAGCAACGCAACTCTACCACTGACTTGCAAAGTTTCATCTCTACCAATAACACAAGCCTGGAGAAGTTCTGCTGGGTGGTGGACTTACTCATGCTAACAGTTAGCTTCTACCAGACGAGACATCCTCGGCTGTTTCCTGGACGCTAAACTAACAACAGGCCTCCCCTTCGTGAGTCAAGATGGGCGAGTCCATGAATGTTAAGTGACATGTGAGGCTTTTCTAATGCAGTAGATAGGTGTAGGAGACTATTTTCATCTTCAGCCTGCATGAAAGTGACAGTCAGAGTGACCGATTATAATCAGGAATAAGATTTAAATAATGCTTTTTCACCTTTAAAGCCATGAAACACCACGGAAACGTTAACAATCCTGCAAATGGCTGGTTAACAAAATCAGCTTAAGCAAATCAAATCACGAGCTTTTTGATCATGTCTGCAACATTAAATAGTCCAGATGGAAGACATTGTTCAAAAAGTCTGAAAACAAGGATCAAGTAACTAAATCCTATTGGGTAAAAAAAAAAAACTCACTTTTCACTTCAATGTTCACTTCTTCCCTCAGAGTTTTGTTCAGATATTCGGCGGTGCAGACGTGCAACCCTCCATTCACAGCTGTCACGTTGTAAATGACGAGTGCTGCAGCTCCGGTGCCGTTCTTTGAGCTGAACCCAGGTTTGGTCCAGGTAATAAAAGACAAAGGCCAACTATCGATGCTGCAGGTCAGGTTCAGAACTTGACCCTCTACAACAGCTGTCTCTCCGCTGATTCGGAGGCTTCTCTGGTCTGTAACACATGATTTTTTTTTCAAATTATAGAGAGAAATCACAACATTCACACATCTTAAATAACAGGTAAGTGAGTCTCACTACCATTAACCTAATTTTCTATAGTTATAGATCTAATTTTAGCATACATTTGTGTATTTTGGTTTAGTATTTGTCAAATTAAAACTGCAAACAGCATTATGTTGTTAACATCTGAAGAAACTTACATTTTACTTTAACATCCACCCTCTCTGTATTGTTCAGGTGCTCTGCTGTGCAGATGTACCGTCCTGCATGGTCTGACGTAACATTAGAAATAAAAAGGGTGGCTGATCCAGTTCCATTGTTTAAGATGCTATTAGAGCTAAGTTTGGTCCAAGTGAGGAAGGTTTGAGGAAAACCGTCAACGCCGCAGCTCAGATTCAGAGAACGACCCTCCATGACATCCAAGTCTCCGGCAATCTTCACTTTTCCCAGAACTTTAAGACAAGATTTAAAGCAAATTATGGGCATCATTCAAGGAAATATCATGCAATAATGAATTTTTTTGTACAGAAAAAAAACCCAACAAAGTTCAACCTTACTGATGACAGTTACGTTAACGTCTTGTGTCAAGGTGTTTAGATAGTTTGACGTGCAGAGATAATGTCCAGAATCTTCTGCTGTCACGTTGTGAACAAGAAGATCAGATGTTCCAGAGTCAGGTGCGGTTTTGTTGCTCAGAGTTTTGTTGGTGCCAGATTTAGTCCACGTGATTAAAGACGGAGGGAAGGTATCAGCAGTGCAGTTCAGAGTCAGAGTATCGCCTTCTTTAATCACCGTTTTTCCTGCTATCTTTGGTTTTCTCACATCTGATGAAACAAATGTTTAGATTTATTTGAAAAAGTCTAATTAGATGTGGGTCTTGAACGCTTCACAAACTTACATTTAACTTTAACGTCCACTTTCTCTGTCAATGTGGTGTTCAGGTTTTTTATTGTGCAGATGTACAGTCCAGAATCCCCTGCTGTCATATTAGGAATAATCAGGGATCCGTTTCTGTTGACCAAGCTGGTGTTGAAGCCAAGTTTGGTCCAGGTGATTAAAGATGGAGGGGAACTATCAGCAGTGCAGGTCAGAGTCAGAGCATCGCCTTCCTCAACCGTTGTTGCTCCTGTGATCTCCGGCTTCTTCACGTCTGTTAAACCATAGTTTTGGACATATTTAAGGAATCAGAACATTTGGTTATAATTTGATCTTCATATATCAAAACAAAGTTAAGAAAATTGCATGGATTTGATTTTAACTGATTTATATTGTGTGTCTTGACACTTTGTCTCCCCCTTTTGGCTGATAGAGAAATTGCACAACCCTTTTGGACTCGTGCATCTGCATATACAGGAGGACACGAGCCTCTGAGTTCGATAAAGAAATCATACTTAGAGATAAGAGATTATAAACTTTTTGATGTGCAAGATTTTGGATAACTCCTCCCAGATCATCTCATATTCTGACTTTAGATGACACAAGAACTTTATTGGTAATTATGCTAAAGGTGAATGAAGTAAGAATGGCCTCCTGTGGCCAAATTTGTGTACTGCAGTTGTGTACAAAGCCAAAAAATTGCAGACCCACCCTCATCCACTAGGGGCAGGAACCAGAAACGAGCAAATGCACATTGACTCCCATGTTAAAAATGTTAACTTCACTGCAGAAATACACGTTTGCAGCCTGGTTCAAAAAACCCAGAGTTTATTATTACTTTTTTAAAATAACTCTTCTGTTTAGATGTAATTAAATGCTTGAAATTATGAATAATTAGATTTCATTGGTAGCATCATTGCTAGGGGCTAGCTCCGAGGAAGGTCTCAGCCTGGGATTCACACTGAGGGACAGCAGTAGCTCAGGAGGTACAGCAGGTTGTCCAGCAATTGGAAGGTTGCAAGTTCGATCCTGGCTCAGACTAGAGAATGCTGCTGTTGGGTTCTTGGGCAAGACACTTGCCCCACCTTGCCTGCTGGTGGTGGTGGGAGGCACTGGTGGCACCCAGCAGGCCTCACCTCAGTCAGTGTGCCCCATTGCAGCTGTGGCTACATCGTAGCTCATCATCACTATCATGTGAATGTGTGTGTGTAAACACCTTCGTTTTAATCAGGTGTTTTAATAGCCCTTCGTTCGCTTGGGAGCCAGCGGTGCAGGGGTTCTGCTGTTCTCCATGATTTTTGTTTTAACCCCTTCGTTTGTTCGTTCGTTCCTTTATTTTTATGAGTTTAACTTTAAAGTTTAAACTCTTGAGCGATCCTGTGGGATCTTGTATTCGTGTGTTCGTTTGCTTTAAAGGTTAACTTCGTTTGTGGAATATGATTGACTTCGGTTTTAAACACCTTCGTTCCGGTTGAACTTTTAACTAAGTTTTAACCAGGTGTTTTAATAGTTGATCATTCGTCTTTAAATGTTAACCTTGTTGAGAGTTTGTGTGTGTTGCATTATCTTTATGATGCTTGTCGTCTGTGGTGCTCGTTTTTAGAACCTTTTTATAACAATAAAACCCTTTTAATATCCACTGTCCAGTTCTTATGTTATCCCCATCCTTCACATTTTACCATCTCATGTCGGGGACGTAACACTGTAGCGCAAAGTGCTTTGGACTCCTCTTACCGTAGTAGATGTTTGGCCATTTTGACTCTCTGAACTTTAGCTGTGTCCTCTGTGTGTTTGTGTTTGGATGTTATTCGTGGAATTATTTGGACAAAGAGGGCAAGCTGTGGTAGAGCAATAACAGATCATCCAAAAAGTTTCTGCTTCATTTTTATTAGTGAGTAAAATTATACATCTGTACTTTATTTGGTTGAATGGGGAAAACGCTGCATTTAACATAACACTGCTTACACACAGGTGGCCGCCGCCAGCTGATCCTGTCTCCTGGGGCAGCCGTGCCACTCAGCCGCAGGCCCCCATGTGAGGCTGTAGTTGTTCTGACCACCTGTGGAACTCTGACGGAGACCACAGAAATGCCGAAGCTCTTTGAGTCAATGCATGCTTCACATTTGAGTCGCTCAACCGTGTTTTTCTGGCTAAGAGCGCCCAAAAACCTCAGTTAGCTTTGGCTGGCTAACCCCCCCCCCCCCCCCCCCCATTGGCTCCTAGCTCCATGCTAACTTAAAGTTAGCTTGTAGCTACATTGGATCAGAGTTTGATGGGTGTCATTCATTTGCTTCAACCCTCACAGCCACACCTCTTTGTCCATTTTTGGATTAGGCGGTAGTGACGACACACGCAGCCAAGATCGCGGTGGTGGGATTTGACTTCAAATGAGCCCCACAGAAAGCTATGAGTGGGTTTGTCCATTTTTTTAAGAGTCACTGGTTCAAAAATTGAACACATTAATAACAAGAAGAACTGCATTTATCTTAGATATTTATCTTTGACCAGTCATTAATTCTGTATTTAACTGTTAATATTCCACACAAATGTAAAAATAAATGAAAGCTGTATGCTTATTGAACATTTTATAAGATCTATAGTAATTTAAAGCACAAAGCAACACCAGTAGCCTGTTTTACTGAGAAAAGGAGCAGTAGAACTGAAGGGAAATAGTCATTCACCCTTTTCTTGAGTATTTTCCACTCTTCGAGGCAGCATGAGCATGGACGTAGTTGTTTTGGGGGGAGCATGGACACATGTCCCCCCATTTTTTCCGAAGTCAATTTTTGTCCCCTGCACTTTTTACCGTCCAAAAACAATATTATGCTATGTTAAACACTGGTTGACCTGTTTCCCATTAGAACTGTCCATAAGCTCATCTATTGGAGACTTGCTAATGTGCGATTGGCCATTCCTACCACCTGTGCATTCCTGGCATTGCGTAAAAGAGCCTCTAGGCTGTAGTTTTATACATATTTTTTGTATAGTTACTGTAAAGACCCCCCCCCCCCCCCCCCCCCCGCCCAGGGAATGAGAGCTATATTCAAAATATTTTTGTTGCTGAACAACGACTGCAGTAAGGTTTACCTGAACTAGAGCTGATGTTTGTCACGATGAAGAACAGAGTCGCCCCGAGGACAATCAGCATTTTGATTCCGTGATTACGAGGTCCAGTAACTTTTTCACATGAGTTTTATGATTGAAGAAGACAACAGGAAGTCTGGTTGATCAAACTGGACCATGGGAGCAGCCTCACAGCTGCCAACACAGATGTTAACACAGGATGTTACATTTTCATATGAATCATGTGGATGCCTCCAGCCCCCTCGGGACCAGTTTCACACATCTAAGAAGCTTCAGCATCTGCTGCTGTGCTTTTTTAAGCCCTGCGTTTTACCACAACATTGTTTTTACGAGCATTATGTGTGATATGCTACAGAAACACACGGAAAAGAAAAGTACAAGAAAAATAATGTTTAAATGTTGAGTTTTACCTGTAAGAATTATTTCTGTCTTCTCTTGCTTCCAGTAACGTCTACTGACTCTTGGTCTCTTCACTTCACGCTCTTCCTTTTTGGGGGGGTGAAAACAATTGTTGCCAAGAGTTACTTCTCTTCTCACCAAACTGCCAGCATCTTCAGGTGGTTAGAAACTAAAACTATAGCAATGTTATTTTCGTTTCAAACGAGGATTTTTACCTTTAAAAATAAAGAATTCTTGTTTGCTGTGTTGTAGAGAAAGGGAAATGTGTGTGTGTGTGTGTGTGTGTGTGTTTCTTACGCATTCACAAAGACAAAAACATGTTGAAATGAGTCTTCTTGAGAAAGCAGTGAGTGTTTTTTGGTTTCCTCATCATACATCATGCTCTTCTGTCTTTTGGATTGCTGTTTGTATTGAACTACAAAGTCAACATGTGAAAATGTACATTTACAGTTTCAGATCAATAATGATGGTTGAAACGATTTAATTTACTGTATGTGCAAAAACATCTTTTGTCATCCTAAAAAAGACACCTGTACAGGTGTGATGGAACAAAATAATTTAGGCAACTTTAAATATCCCGTTCATGCAACACATTCTAGTTTGTATGTTGTGAAATAGCTGCGTCTAAAGCGATCAGCAAAGTCACCGTGGTGACCATAACCATACTTCCCTAAAGAGCATCTCTCCATTCTAAGTGTTAGTTCCCCATTCTCACAGTCTGCTTTTATACTTTGAAGACCTTAAATTACTTTATTAAATTGGTTCAAAATAAATAAATAAATAATAAAAGAAAGAAAGAAAGAAAGAAAGAAAGAAAATCTAACTAAAAATCATCTGAAAAGTCGCCATCAATGATGTAAATACAAGACGTTGAAACGTGTTGCATTAAAAAAAGGAAAAAACAAAATGAGTGGAATGTGTTGCACAAGAGCACCAAACACCTCTCCAGTCGCAGCGAGGAACAAACTCAGCATTTATTTTAATTTGATTTCAAATACAGTTATTGCTGCAACTCAATTTCATTTTAAATGTCACATTAATGCATATAAATATAATTCATAATAAAATGTGTCTGCATGCAGAAGCTCATTTCAAACAACAGGATTTCAAAACTTTTCCTCTATTTACATTTTTTGAAACACGTATCTTGATCGTGGAGCTGCTTTCTGCGTACGATGCATGCATCACCTCCACCTCATCACACAACCCTCTCCTGCTGCTCTGATCCATCACAGAGTGGATCGTTGGTGTGGACGTGTGTGAAGGGTGTGGTCATTTCAAGCGTTAATCGTTCACGTGTTTGACCTTTGCACACTATTTACTAAAAAAGTAATTTTGCGATTGCTAGAAATGTAAAAAAAAAATATTTCTTATTCTTTGCCTTCAACTAATTCCAGGTCAAGATGCAGATCTGATAAGATGCTATTGCATTACAATGTTTTCCCATTTACTTTAAAAGTCCACCCTTGTGATGTTCTTTTTGATTCTTAAAAAAGACTAATATTCACTGAAAGCTGCAAAAAAGCTCACTCCTTCCAACAAAAGCAACAACTTGAAAAACTGTTTTCAATTCTTAACCATTACTCTGCTGCACCATCTCCGCCACCAACCCCCTCAGCTAGAAGGCTTTGTGTCACCTCTTCAGTGTCTTCTATCATCATCATCATCTCTTCATCGCCCCCCATTACCTCCCCACCCTCCCCACCGTCTTGTCCATCACCGTTTTCTCTCTTAATCTCAGCGTACTCGGTCTCAGTAGGATCTTGCTCCCTTATGTCAGCTGGACTTTTCCCTTTCATTGCAGAAAAGTCGATGTCCGAGTACACAGCCTCTTTCGGCGCAGTTTCATTTGGTGCCTCGTTTGAATCAGTCGGACATGGCCAAGTAGATTCATCTACTCTTCCTGGTTCCTGCTGACCTTGGGTCCCATCCTCTTGTTTCTCCTGGATTCCATTCTCCTCCTCCTTCTGTTGTCAAACAATTAAAGCAGACCAAACATAAAAAAATGTGCATGAAAAACAAAACTAGAAGTTTTTCCAACATGATTTTGCATTTGCACAGTTATTTATTTCATTTTTTTTACAACAATACTTCTTTCAGCAAATATTCAGTCATGGCATCACTTTACATTTATTTTCTGATATTTAAAGGGTTTAGACTTAGTTCAGCCACACGTCCTGTTTGAAAAATGCACCTAAAGGAGGCGTTGCCTGGCGAACTGAGAGATGGCACCCAACTCGCATCCCCTTCTGTGTCAGGACGCGCTGGTGAGTGGAGCGGAGGTAAGGATCCAAACGCTGGGGAGGAAGCAGGCAGGCAGACAAACTAGAAAACTCAAAAGGGTTTTAATGATATCTGGACACAGGACATGGAAACAATGAGGCAACAAGAGACACAGAACTGGATGGGGTTTAAATACAGGAGGGCTGGGAGCTTGGGTGATTGGGAAACGAGAGGCAGGTGGGAGTAATCAACAGAGACGCAGGCTGAACCAGAGAGACGGGACAAGGCGTGACAGTACCCCCCCCCCCCCCCTCTCCCTCAAAGGGCGGACTCCAGACGCCCACAGGAACACAGAGCAGGGCGGGCGAAGGGGGACCCGAAGGGAGGGCCGAGAGGGACCGAGGGACCGATGGAGAGGAGGCAGGGACCAGTAGAGTCCGGGGGCCTGCGCCTGGGACAGAGGAGGCGACGATGGGCTATTTGGGGCCAGCGTCTGAGGCAGAGGAGGAGGCGACGACGGGCTCTTGGGGGCCTGCGTCTGCGGCAGAGGAGGAGGCGATGACGGGCTCTTGGGGGCCTGCGTCTATGGCAGAGGAGGAGGCGACGACGGGCTCTTGGGGGCCTGCGTCTGCAGCAGAGGAGGAGGCGAGGATGGGCTCTTGGGGCCCGGCGACGGGGGACCAGGAGACGGGACCAGAGAAGTCTAGGGGGCCGGCGACGGGGGACCAGGAGGCGGGACTGGGCAAGTCATGGGGGCCGGTGACAGGGAACTAGGAGGCGGGACCAGAGAAGTCTTGGGGGCCGGTGACGGGGGACCAGGAGGCGGGACCAGGGAAGTCTCGGGGGCCGGCGATGGGGGACCAGGGAAGTCTCGGGGTAGGGGGTCTTGGAGGAGGAGGACGAGGACGAGGAAGGGTCTCTGGAGACTCAGGGGACTGGAACACTGGTGACCGGGCGGCTTGAGACTTGAGGGACTGGGGCACTTGTGACTGGGAGACTTGGGACACTGGAACAGTTGAGACTGGGAGACTTAAGACTTGGGACGGGGACACTGGAACACTTGTGATCGGGAGACTTGAGACTTGGGATGGGGACACTGGAACACTCGCGACTGGGAGACTCGAGACAGGAGACGGGGACACTGGAACACTCGTGACTTGGGAGACTGGAACACTTGTGACTGGGGAGACAGGAACACTTGAGACTTGGGAGACTGGAACTCTTGAGACTGGAACACTTGAGACTTGGGAGACTGGAACACTTGAGACTTGGGAGACTGGAACACGTGAGACTGGAACACTTGAGACTTGTGAGACTGGAACACTTGACACTTGTGAGACTGGAACACTTGAGACTAGTGAGATTGGAACTCTGGAGACTTGTGAGACTGGAACACTTGAGCCTTGTGAGACTGGAACACTTGAGACTTGTGAGACTGGAACACTTGAGACTTGGGAGACTGGAACACTTGTGACAGGGAGACATGAGACAGGAGACGGGGAGGCTTCCACTTCAGAGTTGGAAGCGTCCACTTCAGAGCTGGAGGCGGGAACGTCTGCTTCAGAGCTGGAGATGGGAACGTCTGTTTCAGAGCTGGCGACGGGAACTTCTGCTTCAGAGCTGGAGACGGGAACGTCTGCTTCAGAGCTGGAGACGGGAACGTCTGCTTTAGAGCTGGAGATGGGAACGTCTGCTTCAGAGCTGGCGGCGGGAACGTCTGCTTCAGAGCTGGCGACGGGAACGTCTGCTTCAGAGCTGGCGACAGGAACGTCTGCTTCAGAGCTGGAGACTGGAGGCGTCGACTTCGAGACAGGAGACTGCGTCGACCACTGAACTGGAGACGGCGGAGACCAGACCTCTGGACACTAGGGAGCGTCGACCCCTGGACACGAGGGAGCGTCGACCTCTGGACACGAGGTAGCGTCGACCTCTGGACACGAGGGAGCGTCGACCTCTGGACTGGAAAGAGCGTCGACCTCTGGACTGGAAAGAGCGTCGACCTCTGGACTGGAAAGAGCGTCCACCTCTGGACTGGAAAGAGCGTCCACCTCTGGACCGGAAAGAACGTCCACCTCTGGACCGGAAAGAGTGTCGACCTCTGGACCGGAAAGAGCGTCGACCTCTGGACTGGAGAGAGCGTCCTACTCTGGACTGGAGAGAGCGTCGACCTCTGGACTGGAGAGAGCGTCGACCTCTGGACTGGAGAGAGTGTCGACCTCTGGACTAGAGAGAATGTCAACCTCTGGACTGGAGAGAGCGTCGACTTCCGGAGTGGAGAGGGCGCCGACCTCTGGAGTGGATGAGGCGTAGACCTCGAGCCTGGAGGCGTCGACCCCTGGCCTGGGGGCGTCGACTTCCATCGACTTCTGGTCCGTCGGCTCCTGGACCACCGGCTTCCGAACTGCCGGCTTCCGAACTGCCGGCTTCTGGACCGCAGGCTTCCGGACCGCCGGCTTCTGGACCACCGGCTTCTGGAGTGGAGGAGGAGCCGCTGCAGACGGGACCACCCGGACAGGCCGGATCAGATGCTGTGCGACCCCCGGGACCACCGCTGGAACAGGATACGGCGCGACCTCCGGGACCATCGCTGGAACTGGCGCTGACTGGACTGGTGGTGCAGGACCTGGTGGAGCTGGTAACTGGAAAAGCAGGGAGGATAGATTGTCCAACTGGAAATCCTGGACACTGAGGATCTGACGGAGCCGGACCAGCTCAGCTCAGAGACTGGCGAGCTCTGCTGGGTGGACTGCAGGCTCGCTTCTCTGGCTCTGAGACGAGGGAGCCGCTGGCCGGACAGAAACCCTCTCCTGGAGATACGGGGAGGATAGGGTGTCCAGCTGGAACTCCCGGAGGCTGACGAGCTGACGGATCCGGCCAAGCTCCGCCTGGAGACCGGCGAGCTCTGTCAGCTGGGCTGTAGGAGTGGTTCCTCCGCCTGCAGATGACGGAGGTGCTGATTGGACCGGAGATGGAACAGCTGATCCAACTGGGGGCGGTTCCAAACCGGGGTGCTGAGCCGGGGCAGCTGCGAGCTCGCGGCTCCTTCCGGGGACACGGGGTGACGGTGGAGCCCGGCATCCTTCCAAACGCCGTGGGCCAACTCTGGGGGAGCACACAGCCAGTCTGGTGCCCACATAGCAGGAGCGGTCCATCTGCGCCTCCTTGTCCAACTCTCCCTCCGGCTCCGGGAGGGTGGAGAGGATCGCCGAAGCCCGGGCTCGGCGGCGGCGACCGCGGCGAGGCGATGCCGGAGGAAGAGGAGCCGGCCGGTGGTCCGAAGGTAAAAACTGGAGCAAGCACTCCCAAGGGAGAACCTCCCCGCGGGATCCTTTACTGGGTTGCCTCATTCTGTCAGGACGCGCTGGTGAGTGGAGCGGAGGTAAGGATCCAAACGCTGGGGAGTAAGCAGGCAGGCAGACAAACTAGAAAACTCAAAAGGGTTTTAATGATATCTGGACACAGGACATGGAAACAATGAGGCAACAAGAGACACAGAACTGGAGGGGTTTAAATACAGGAGGGCTGGGAGCTTGGGTGATTGGGAAACGAGAGGCAGGTGGGAGCAATTAACAGAGACACAGGCTGAACCAAACGGGGAGACAGGACAAGGCGTGACATTCTGCAGCCCTCTGCTTCCCCTAAACCACACTTATAAGTTGTGTGATTCAGGTAGAAACATTAGTGGGAGGTCTCTATAGCCGCTTATCCATCTGCAAGGTTCACCATGGCGTGGGTGGAGTTATTTTGGACCGGCGTGTTCCGGTATGAGTCTGCAATTTCAGGAGACTGTTGCTATTGCAGTTTTGGCTCTCGCTGCCTCAGTTTGCCAGTCTGTGACTATAAATAGCATCCAGCGCGTTGCAGCACCTCGGTGTATTTGTCCCATTTCCAATCAGAAAAAATAAAGAATAATGTTTATGTTTATTTATTTGGCAGACGCTTTCATCCAAAGCGACTTACAATGTATAACCTATAGGGCATGTTGTGATCTGTTGGGGAAACCAGAGTACCCGGAGGAAACCCATGCATGCATGGGGAGAACACGCAACTCCACGCAGAAAGGCCGCAACCGAGTTTCGAACCTGCAACCTTCGTGCTGCGAGGCAACAGTGCTAACAACTGCGCCGCCATGCAGCCCATAATAGTAATAATCCACTCCGGTAGTTTCATTTCATAACTTTACTTGGGCTTTGATTTCTTCAGCTTGGCCCGACACCGTCTTAATGTCCGCTCTGATTTTTCTCGGCTGCCATCCGCTGAGAAAAAAAAATCCTTCCCTGTCCACCTAGCTCCTTCTGAGTGTGGACTCTCACAATGATGGTGAGAAATGTATGGAGCTCTGAAGAAGAACAAAACTTGCTGCTACTAGCAGGCATTTTTTCAAATTCATGTACAATTAATGAAAATACAAACAATGGAACTCTGTTTGTTTTGCTAGTTGCAGGTATTAACGCATTTCTGTCAACCAATCAGTTGACTGTGTTGTTGCTTTACCCTAACCTTACCGCTCCAGAAATTTCTGGACCTACAACAGAAGGGGTCCAAAAAAGTCCCATGACTGGCGCAGTCCAGTTAGATTGTCTGGAACGGTTTTACAATCGGAACAGAAAAACGGTTGATGGAAAAGAGCTATAGCTGCTTTACGGTAATAACTGTTTACTAAACCAGTAGCTCATATAAAAACTAGAAGTTAGCTTTTTCATTTCGCCCACTGTCAATAAAAAGCACAAGGATAAGAATCTTTATTTAGCATCATGTCTTTGGAGGCAAAGCAAAGAGCAAAAACCAGATTGAACATTGGTGTGGCTACGCTTGTTTAAGGGAGCTGAAGGAGGCTATTAATGACTGCTGGTGACCTGGCTTTGTTGTACAATACCTGTAAGTAATATTTTCATCCAACATGGGATCTTTTTACTCCATGGCTTATTTTAATATCAGTTAGCGTGTGTAAGCGTTAGCTCATTGTTTGCACTAGTTACAGCAGGCCGTTGAAGGTTTGTTTACGACAGTTGTATTTCTGTTTTCAATCAGTAGGAGGGAGTAGTGGGGACACTTATTTAGCGTTGTTTTAACCAGTTCAGTGGCCTTGTGGTATGAGTGTCTGCCCAGAGACTGGGGGATCATGCGTTCAAGTCCATGGTCAGGTCATACCAAAGACTTTAAAAATAGGGCCTAAATCCTCTCTGGTTTACTTTCAGCATTAAGGGGTTCGATTGGGGAGTTAAACCACCAAATAGTTCCTGAGTGTGGCCGTGTCTGCAGCTCACCCCTCTCACAAGGGATGGGTCAAATGTGGGGAACACATTTCACCAGTATGCGACGACTAATGGGATTTCAACATAAATTCCCATTGTGGTGCAATTAATACAAGACCGTTGCAAGGAAAATACTCAGTACTAAACTAAATTTGCATTTAAACCAGTAATAATATAAACAGATTACCTTGGCAACACTCTCAATAGTTACCATCTCCAGCCGCTCATCCAGATTTTTGGAGGTTTTTTTTCTGTTAAAAACAAAGAAAACAACTCAATAAAGATCACAATAAACATGCTATGATGTGTTCATTTATCATGGTGTATATATAACTGTAGATAATCATTGACCATTTCATTTAAAGTTCCAAAAAAGAAAAAATCCACAGTCAGCCGGGAGGAGACTTGACCTAGAGAACGTTAACCCATCATTTCTTAGATTCACATACAGAAACAAACAGTACCTGAGGCATTTTACAGCCAAACAAGCAATGATGGCAGAAAGTAAAATCCCGATCAGAATTCCAGTCCCAAGCACAATGACGAAAAGCAGTGGACGCTCTAAGACTTCGTTCAATAGTTTAAAAACATCTAGGTGGCCTAGAAGAGAAAAAATATCCATGTTATTTGTTACTGAATGAGCTGCAGTCTGGTGCAAATGAAAAATGTTGGCCGTAAACTAGAGGTGGGACTCGATAAAGATAATGAATCTAATAAATTAGAGGCCTTGTAAATAATTGATCTTAATTAATCACATTTTAATCATTCAAGACAATTAGTGCCCAAGCAATTATTTTCTATCAAAAATGATGTAAACACTTACTTGTTTTGTTTGTTGTGTTTGTTGTGATTTCTAAGATGGTTAACGTTGCATTTCCTTCACCAACAGTATTTCTGCTGACACACTGTACCATCTTGTTTTGGGGATCTTTATGAGACACAGTCATGGTACTGTAGACATACTTCTCTGACACATTGGTCATGATGGTGTACATAGGACTGTCCTCGAACAGCGTCCACTCAATGGTAGGTAGAGGAAATCCCTCACTGACACACACACAGGTCATGACCCCAGACTGGACCTTACATGTAGATCTGTTATTCAAGATTAAGGCAGAATCTAAAACCACAAAGAACACACATAAACGATTGTGAGTCAAATTGTGCAGAACTACTTTGAAGGCAAGTACAAACTTATATTTTCTAAGTAAAAGCAGTTTGTTTTGCATTTAACATTCTTAGAATTTAGTTTTTCGACAGGGAAAGTTCATATGCAAAAACTCGGATGATTATCCGACTAAAATATGGACTACATTCAAATTGAGGAAACAAGCTGTTTTAAATTGTTTGTACACATGAATTTGAGCAAATGTCCTTTGTATATTCCAATCAACATGAGAATGGTGTAAAGCACTTGTTTAAACATGATAATGTAAATCTACCAGTTGAACTCGTAATAAAGCTCGTAATGAAGCTTGCAATGAAGCTCGTAATGAAGCTGGGAAGAATGATGTCCAAGGTGTGTGGACTCCATACACATTAGTGATGGGAATAACGGCTCTTTTTAGAGAGCTGGTTCTTTTGGCTCAGCTCACCAAAAAGAGCCGGCTCTTTCGGCTCCCAAGTGGCTCCTCAGATTTTCTGTTGCGTAGAGTACATTTATAACCAAAATAATGCAAAACTATATGTAAAATTATTTACTAATGTAAAAAATGCAATATATCAAATAATTATAATTTCTATGGATTTAATAACTGAACACTTTAAGAAATGTCCACTTTCCGACTGCTGGCGCTCATTTTCTCACCGTCTTCGTCGCACTCTCCTCTCTCTTGCTCGCCTTTTTCCTCTTCCTCATTCCCTCTCGTCTCCCTCCACCCGCATGTGCTCTGCTGTGTGTCTGAGTCTGATCCTCCCTCTTCCCCGCCCCTACTGCTCTGTGTGTGGACAGTCTGGACACGCAGTCACACATGTTGACCTGTAGCTTTCACCAAAGCAAGAGCGGAGGGGGGAGGGAAGGGGACGGCTCCCAATGATGAGCCGGCTCCCGTCATTCACTTTAAAGAGCCAACCCTTAGAGCCGGTTCGTTCGCGACCGACACATCACTAATATATATCAGGGGGAGTTAACGTCAGGACAATTCAATGAATTTACATCACACATAGTGCCAGTTCCCAACCATGCTGTTCGTCAGATTGAATGAATTGTTTACTCTTCTTCTTCTTCTTCTTCTTCTTCTTCTTCTTCTTCTTCTTCTTCTTCTTCTGTGTTTCATGGTAGTTGGCAAACGTTACCCCAGTACCGCTACAAACTAGCTTGGAGTGCGGACCAGAACGACTCTCACACCAATCAACCAAAATGAAATAAACATCTACTTCACTTGATTAGTCAGGTGTTAATTATATAATTTATTGATTGACAAAATGTGTGGAAATAATTAGGTCTGTGTGTTTAAATGGTAACCTGACAAGTCACCCTATATATTTATGATGTCCGGCCAAGACCCTCACTGCTACAGATGTCAGTCAACTGAGCAGTCTACCATACACTGTTCAAGAAGATGCAAATGCATCCTTTATTAAATAAAAGACTTAAATACCTCCAGTCCAAAGTTGATGCCAAAACTGTTTCATCATCATCTTAGTTGTTCAGCTTTGTTGCATCATTCTGCCCACCAAACCCAGTGGAATGCTGTGATTGGCCCACCAAACCCAGTGGAATGCTGTGATTGGCCCACCAAACCAGTGGAACCCTGTGATTGGCCCACCAAACCCAGTGGAATGCTGTGATTGGCCCACCAAACCAGTGGAACCCTGTGATTGGCCCACCAAACCAGTGGAACCCTGTGATTGGCCCACCAAACCAGTGGAACCCTGTGATTGGCCCACCAAACCAATGTAACCCTGTGATTGGCCCACCAAACCAGTGGAATGCTGTGATTGGCCCACCAAACCCAGTGGAATGCTGTGATTGGCCCACCAAACCAGTGGAACCCTGTGATTGGCCCACCAAACCAGTGGAACCCTGTGATTGGCCCACCAAACCAGTGGAACCCTGTGATTGGCCCACCAAACCCAGTGGAATGCTGTGATTGGCCCACCAAACCAATGTAACCCTGTGATTGGCCCACCAAACCAATGTAACCCTGTGATTGGCCCACCAAACCAGTGGAACCCTGTGATTGGCCCACCAAACCAGTGGAACCCTGTGATTGGCCCACCAAACCAGTGGAACCCTGTGATTGGCCCACCAAACCAATGTAACCCTGTGATTGGCCCACCAAACCAGTGGAATGCTGTGATTGGCCCACCAAACCCAGTGGAATGCTGTGATTGGCCCACCAAACCAGTGGAACCCTGTGATTGGCCCACCAAACCAGTGGAACCCTGTGATTGGCCCACCAAACCCAGTGGAATGCTTCGATTGGCCCACCAAACCAATGTAACCCTGTGATTGGCCCACCAAACCAATGGAACACTGTGATTGGCCCACCAAACCAATGTAACCCTGTGATTGGCCCACCAAACCAATGGAACACTGTGATTGGCATAATGCAATACTGTTCAGGCCTGCTGAGGCTTCTATGGAGCGTGACCAGACCAACATGCATAGCAAAATCATTTTTGCCTTTTCAACTGTCCATCTAGGCTTGTAAAATATTAAGCGGCCTGTTTTGGTATATTGTTTACTAAGGTTCTACAACCCCCCAAGGCACTCTACAACACAATCAGTCATTTACCCATGCACACACACACTACCTTGTAGCCACAGCTGCCTTGGGGCTCACTGACAGAGGTAAGACTGCTGAACACAGGCACCACAGGTCCCTCCAATCACCACCAGCAGGCGAAGTGGAACAAGTGTCTTGCCCAAGGGCACAACGGCAGCAACAGACCGGGCTTGAACTGGCAACCCTCTGGTTTTGGAGTGGGCACCCAACTCCTCTGCCATCTCCCACTACTAGGCTAGACAAAATGAACCCAAGTGTGATGAATCACTGTGAAAGTGTGTTTTAAAACAGGGAGCAAACATTGTCACAAAACACCACGTCGCTAATAAAAACCTTCACTTTGCATTTTTCTTTGACTAATTTCAATTTGTTTGATGATCTGAAACATATAAGTGTGACGAACATGCAAACAAGTTAGAAACCAGGAAGGGGCAAACACGTTTTCACACCACTGTCTCTACACTGCTGCAGCATTTCCGTTGTTGTTGTTGTTGGTTACGTTATTTTCTGCACACCTTTGTGCACGATTTAGCATCTGCTCATGCAATGGCATGGGTATGAAAGTGTTATTTGTTCATCATGTGTCTCTGGTGTGAGACGCTGACGGTTTCTCAGAGTACACTGTAAGTGTGACCGATAGATTTATAACTGTTTAAGCATGCTTACACAAGCCATTATATTAGCATGTAGCTTTGCACTTTTCCATATTACCATACTAATAAAATGTATTGGGATTTTTGCATTGAAAAAAAAACGTATCCCAGATTTCCGTGCTTGTGCATGCGGCCTCAGGAGTTTTGAGCGAACTTTAGATAATAAAAAGCATGTAGTGCCTTCAGCTGAGACCTGTTGCTAATCTCTTTTGAGAACCTATGAAGTAAATAGAGTGATAAAGTAAAAAAAAACTCACACTTCACTTTGAGCTTTTGTGTCACGTCTTTCGTGTGTCCAGCACAGGTGACCCTACAGGTGATCTTCTTGTTGTGATGATCAGCTGAGATGTTTAGGGTCAGAGTCGAGATGTGGTCCTGAATTGAATTGGTCACGTTATTAACTGTAGGGTCTGTGATGTTTTCTGTGATGACTCCTGCTCCGCACAACATCCAGGTGAATTTGAGTTGAGATTCAGAGCAGAGACCACCACCACCAGCAGCAGCAGTGCAGGTCAGGTTAGTTGGCTGTCCCTCAGCCAGAGGAGGAATCGTCAGTGTGGGTGTTTGATTCAGGCATGGATTCGGGGCTGGTAAAAAAAACAAAAAACAAAAAAAAAAAACATGATAAGGGGTTAGGTTATGCATGGATCTGGTTTCAAAACACACCCGAACTGTCAGCTCTGTTGCCAAACATTTGGAATTTCTCGATAAGACAGCCATGCTTCCCAAATAAGGAACAGTTTAGTCATCACACATGTATGACTCCAGAATTAGTTTATAATAATAAAAAAAACTAAGTTCTATATATGGATTTAAACACTAACTTCATTAAATGCTATAGAAACATCACTGTGTTTTAGTTTTTACTGGTTTTTGGTACCTGTAGCAGAGACATCATCCTTAGAAACACATTTGCAGAAGCTGTGTGCATTAGCCTCTTGATATAACACAAGGCCAGAAGTTTTGAGGCTGTTGATGATGTTGCTGCAGTTTCTTGTTTCCATTAAAGATTCCGGCACAGGCGCTGATACATCAACCCCCAAATAATTTCTTAGCTCTTGTGTGGAGTTAATTGTGTTTTTGTCACAATTTCCAGATGAATTACATTTGAACACATTCAAACTTTGGAATGTATCATCTACTGAAGAACATGTAAGAGCAATGCAAGCTGCTAATGATGCATTCGTTGTCAGAAGAGTGGTATTTTGAGTGGTACCAGTGTACTCCTCTGAAGCACCTGAAAGACAAACAAGAAATAAACAACTGGAAACAGTTTAAAGACACACTTAGCAGTTTTGCTTGTTTTTAGCACCCCTTAGTGTCTGTTATTAATTCTCTGTGATCCAACCAAAAATAAAACCTATGTCCTCACTGTGCGTTTGTCTTTTTAATACCTTAATCTAACAGCTGAAATGTCTCTCCAGACTTCAGTCGTGTCTACAGAAATGATTCATCACTAAAACATGCAGGAAATGTGCTGGAAGCATACTGCAGCAGTCAGCTTAGTTTTTTTTCCTAAAAACTCTGAAGTTGCAAATGCGATATTTTGGCCGCAGGGGGCGGTGGAGGGGGGTCTGAGTGACATTTCATTAACCCTCTAAAGGGACATTTTATCACATACTGGCTCTAGAAAATGATTTAAAAATATGAAAAAGTTGCAAAGTATAGCTTTAAATGAAACAAAAAGGAGCTGCGAATTATGTGGTTACTCTTAATTGTGTGGATAGTAAGTTTTTTAATTAGATTTAGATTTTTATTTAATTTTATGCTTTTATCTTTTTTATTTGTTCTATTTGTTTTTACATTTTGTTTCATTAATTGTATTTAATGTTTGGTTGCTTTATATATTTATTATCTGGACCTAAGAGTCTGTCAATAAAGATTATCTATCTATCTATCTATCTATCTATCTATCTATCTATCTATCTATCTATCTATCTATCTATCTATCTATCTATCTATCTATCTATCTATCTATCTATCTATCTATCTATCTATCTATCTATCTATCTATCTATCTATCCATCCATCCATCCATCCATCCATCCATCCATCCATCCATCCATCCATCCATCCATCCATCCATCCATCCATCCATCCATCCATCTATCTATCTAAAGGCAAAGAGGTGTTTGTTTGGTTTTTGTTTTATTCTCTAAACTTGCAGATTGGAGTGATAAATGAGGCTGGTTTTGCAGAACAACAGGGGGAAACCACAGTTTATGTTGACCTGTTAGATTTAACGTAGTGGTTGACTTGTTTACAGTAATCAATACAAGTGGAGTGGTCTCCACTAGAAATTAATGCCTTTTTAAGTTTTACTCTGGGGGAAAAATATGCCGAGGCACCATTGCCAGAAGCTAGTAGTGACCCACATCACAGCCGAGCTTCAGACGGCAGGTTTCGGAGTCTTATTTCCTGATGTTTGGACATCTTGCCTCAGATTGGATAACAGCAACGCAACTCTACCACTGACTAGCGTTTTATCTCCACAAATAACACAACAGCCTGGAGGAAGTCTGCTGTGTGGAAAAGTTGCTAAAGCTAACGGTTAGCTTGAACTAGCCAAGATGTTCACTGCTGATTCCCAGACATTAAAACAATAACAGCCTTTTCCGTCGTGAGTCAAGATTAGTGAGTCCATGAATCTGTGAGGAATTTCAAATCCTTGCATTTTACCATCTATTTTCTATCAGAAGCTAATGCAGGAGGTAGGCGTAGGAGACTATTTTCATGTTCAGCTTGTATGAAAAACTCAGAGTGACTGATTATAATGAGAAATAATCATAAAAAAAGTTATTTTGTGTATGTGTCTCACACCTTTAAATGTGGAATTCTGAAAAAATATGAAATTTTGCACACTTTGCTTCCAAAAGAAATGTTATTTATTACCTGCAGCAAGACAGAGAAGAGATGTCCAGATAAGAGTAAACATTTTTGACTGGAGGAGAGAGAAGGCCTGTTGATGCAGAAACAGAAACCAGAGAGACAAAAAGTAAAGCAAAAGAAAACGATCTGGATGGAACTGGTTCAAAAACACCTTTAAGGTTGGCAGCAGGGACCTGCTGACAACACTTTATCGTTACAAATAAAAACGTGTTCTGAGTTTCCTAAAATTCACGAATCTGGTTTCATAAAAAAAATTCAAGAAAGTTTATCAGAGTAAAACAATTCAAGATTATTGTAATTAATTATTTTATAATAACCAACTTCAGACTAAATTTACCAGTTTATTCCTTTTTAGAGTTTAAGTAAATCAACCAGACGTTATTTTCTAAATAAATTTTACCTTTCTTTGTTCTGATTCTCCTGCTCGTTTCCCTTGATGATGTCTGCTCAGCCTTTCAGCTCTGAACTGAATCTTCTTCCTCCTCCTTTTCTACTGTTTTTTTATGTAAGCTTCGGTTTGCAGGAAGCTTCTTTCCACTTCACAGATCACGTTGTTCCCTCTCAGACTGGATGCATGTGCAGCAAAAGTCCCAGCCATGCATGCCCATCTGTGTAGTGTTTGCATGTTCTTCAGTTTAACACTTTTAGGTGCAAAAATGTACAAAAGAAATTTGAATTAATAAACCATTTAGATCTTGATAAAAACTGAAAAGGGGAAGTTTTGTAAATTAAAGTGATGAGTCACGTTCTCTGAGTTATGCAAATAAGAAATTAAGATGCTAAAATTAATCCCACAGATTGTAAAGGCGTCAGTGATCCTATAGCTTCACTTTGCCTCTTCAGCATGTTGCCAATAATCATTTTACAGAATGATTATCGACAATCAAATCATTCCTTTTTTCTACTATCTGAAATGGCAACAGCATGTTCTATTTAAAGATGTTTTCGCTCAGTAAAGTTTCAAAAAGTCTTTATTCTGCCTGGTATTTTTACTTTTCAATAAACTCTTCTGACATGTTAGACTTGGCAAAATGTGGGTTACCTGAGACCGTCTGCTTTCTTTGTGCTATTTTTGGCTTCTTGTTTGTTTTAAAAGCAACACGTCTGTGTCGTTGAAAGGGTCACATTGGACAAAGGTCGACAGTTTACTGAAAATTCTGGTATTTGTTCATCCTAAAATGGGAAAGTCTCGAGGTTTTTACAGAAATGGAACATTTGTGACAGTCTGATAGTTCTGTTCTCAATGGCGTGCATTTTCATTTCCTCATTACTCGTGAACATACCTTTTACTCACAAGCTTGCATCTGTGGCATATAGCGTGGCCAAGCGGGGACCCGGTGAAAGTTTTGCTTTGGGTCTTCACACGCTCAAACCGCCCCGAGGTGTCAAACCACCAAATACTCTACGTGTGATCGATCTGATCTAGGACGGGAGTGTGCCGGGTAGGATACAAGTGCTTTTCTTGTTGCATAATAGATATTTTTGTCTAAATGCAACAGAAAAGCACACACACGCATGTACGCACGCACACACACACGTCTGTTTTTCCTACACAAAAGTTAATTCACTCCATTTATCTAAAACCACGTTTTAGGGTGTTTTGTCGTTGTGCGGACCAGCCAAATGTCCCCACAATGTGAAAATGTCCACACACTATGGTTAAAAGTAAAAATTTGTCCACATAAACCCATAAATACAAGTACACACACACAGTAATTATGATGGAGGGTGCTGATTAGCTGTGTGATCAGTAACAAATTTAAAATCCAACCAAGCAGCTACCAGGTTAATCAACTAGATTAACAGATTTTCATTGGAAAACAGGAGTCACACTTCATTAATGGGTTTACATAAAAAAGCTTTTGGTCACATCAGTACAATCAGCAGAACACCACAGGGAATCGGACCCTGTGTCATTCTAGAGAGTACAGTTATAAGCGCCTTTAACTTTTTGTGTTGACAAGGAAAAGCAAAACCTGCAGCAAGAAATACAAAAACTACCTCAAATGCACCTTTGCTAAAGAGTTTCTGCCTGATTCAAGATGGCTGATTTCTTTTATTTAAAATTTTGGGGGGCGGTTAACTTTTTACATTACTTATTCATTTCTGAACTGGAATGTCAACACCTGCTGCACCGACAGACCCTACATGCCTGAACTGCATACGCAAAACGTTATTTCATCATGGTTCTTCACCCAGAACACCCCTTCAGAGATAAAACTGCTCCATAAAGCAGCGTCTAGGATCGTTGGGACCCTCGAACTCACCCACCATGACATATTAATGGGTTCTCCAAATAAGATTAGAATGGAGCAGGACACAGATGACGTGGACACTTTGCCTATCTATTGAGGTACATAGAGCTGAATCAAAAATTAATTGATCTTTTCAATAATGACTAAAAGAAGGAGGTCACTGAGACAAGTGGCTGCAATCAGCTTCCTCTGTGAAGCAGCTAGAGTCATCATCAGTGAAAGGGAGAGGATCTTGGCTATTGAAGGGGAGCACAGAGAAAAATCGTTGCTACTTCTTCACATCCAAAGAAGACAGATGAGATGGTTCGGACAGCTGATAAGGAGGGCCTTTGGATCCCTTCCAAGGAACTGGATGGACATGATCAAATGACAGGTTTCCCTCCATACGATGTGTGACATTAAAATAATTAAACCAGCTAAACCCTGATAACAGTGGCAGTTGGCGGGGGTTTTGTTCTTTATAAGTTTTCACATTAATAATCATTCATTTGCTTCCTTCAAATGAGCAGTTAGGCTTTAATAATATTCAAATGAAATACACAAGTATGACAGGAACACTCTACAAAACATTTAAGACCAGCTGCTGTCCATAATGTCCTTTTTTTGTTCTTATCCACACTTTGTTGTCATAACTTAGGACAACCTTAGGACTCCCAAGGTTGTTTTGTAGGCTGAGATTTTCGTCTCCAACGTTTATCCAGTGTGCAACACAAAAATCAATACCCAGTTCTACCAGAAGGTGGCAATAACGCCACACAAATATCAAACAACGTATCCAGTTCTATTAAACATTATAATCATGTAAAATGAGAACAAATAAAAACATTTTATTGCATGATTTGAGCTGGATCTGTACAAATCAACAAAGGAGTAAATGAAAGAAAAAAAGTGATCCAATTCCTTCTAGCATGCTATTTCCTGTAGCAAATGCCTATTCCCCTGCTCCTCTGAGACATTAACTACACTGATGCCGGAAGTGTAAAAGGCAGGAAGGTACTTTTATTCATTCTTTGTGGTCATGCTATGTTGTTCAACCTTTTTGGAAAAAAAATATTGAATACAATGCAAGAGTGGTTGGATATACCGCTACCGGAAACTGCTCGACTTTGTTTATTAGGAGACTTGTCGTGTGTACCGAACATGTCTACAACGGCAGGGGCCCTGGCTCTTACAGGTTTTATTTCAGCAGCTAGAGTCATACTGCGTAAATGGAAAAGTTTTGAGGCACCTGTTTACAGAGACTGGATAATAACATGACAGAGATTGCATCTTATGAATTATTCATTGCTAAAATGAAGGAAAAAAGACTCATATTTTGAAACCTGGAATGATTTTTTGTTTTTTATTGGTAAAAAGATATAAAAGTTGTTGGACAGCATGTTTTGAAATTATTATGAATTGTGGTTGTGTGTGGTTTTGAGCTAGCTTGTGCTGTAAGGGGGAGGGTTATTTTGGTGTTTTGTTTGTATTTTGGTGTTTTGTTTGTATGTAAATATTTGGAAAACATAATAAAAATACTTAAATAACAAAAAAACAAAAACAAAAAAAAAAATACGCTCTTGCCGATCCTCCAGAAAATCTCAAAGTTTTCATAGAAACCAAACACGATTGGCTGTTTAGCTGCAGTTCAGGGACACTTTTGCCAACGCCCCAGGAGTGATGTTAGTGCGTCTGTTGGGGGAAAGTCACTGTTTAAACAGAGACAGCTAGTGAAAATGGCATGTAAATGACTCACACAATTAAGCTAAACTAATACATTATATTTGTTCGTTCTGTGTTTTGGTCTTCCAAATTACTACACTGTGCTAAATAAGGAAAAAAACTGACTTAAAAAAGATAATAATACTTAATACAAAACATAAATTTCTTTGCAGAAATCATTTCTCACATAAAGCAAATCCAGTAGCTTTATTTTTAACTTTTTAGTATCTTTCAGAATGAGCCGTTTCAGTGCTCAAGAAATCAAGCTGAAGCTGGCCACGCCCACCTACTCCAGGCTTAGGCTGCTATAAGCTGAGAAGCTCTGATACCTAGGAGGGGCTTGGAGTAGAGCCGCTGCTCCTCCATCCTGGAGAGGTGAGGAGGGGTTTTATGTAAATTTCCCTGTTTGTGACATCACAAACTAGGACATTTTGAAACAGCTCATGTAAGGCACACTATTCGTCAGTAAAAACCCACATGGCAGCGCCAAATGATAAAAAATGTGAGTTTTGCATAATATGTCTCCTTTAACTTCAAGCTCACAGAGACTTTTCCCTACTTTTCACCAGATGCAAAAGTGGTGTGTCATAGAGGCATTTTACCTGCAAGCCCCCTTCCAAATGGATCATTTTAGATGCAACACAGGAGCGAATGCGTTCTCGCAGCTGGTCTCAGGAGGGCTACATTAGAGTTAAATCCACATCTAGATTACTGAGAATATTAAAAACACTGAAGAAAAACACTGTTCTAGTTCCAGCCCACAAAGAAATGACTAGATTTGTAACATTTATACATGAAACATGTATTTCATTGTTCTTCTGGCCGGTTTTGATTTTAGACCGTGATAGATTTAGTTTGTCACAGAATAATAATCTAATCTGATCCGATCCCAAAAGCCATCCAGCAAAATGCAGCTCAGCCCTCAGATTTCCATAACATCCTTCACAGTGGAGTAAAGAGCCTCCACTTGAGCTTCCTGCTCCTCTGAGACACATTGTTTTATGCCGTTATCGTCGTCCGTCACCAGCTCCACCTCTTCACTTCCCAACATCTCAGCGTCTTCTTTATTGCTGGCGTGTCTTTGCTCTTTCACCCCCGTCTTAATTTCTGCATATTCCGTCATGGTGGCCTCTCGCTCCTTCCTGCAACTTCTTTTCTTCAGCTTGGAGAAATCGATGTTGGCGTACTCCACGTCTCTGGGGCAACGGTTGGGTTCAGGAGCACCTTTCTCTGCAGCCACAGCTTGATTCTCGGTTCCTGCTTGGATGTGGATGTTGTTTCCATAAACTGCTTGATCATCATAAATCTACCATGTACAAAAAAAAACATTAGACAGTTAACTCAATCAAGATCCACAGAACGTATTGAACCCACATTTTAATTGGTTTGATAATCATACGCTAATGTATGCATCGCTAAAACATCCTTTCATTAGCTTCTAGTCAAGACCTGCCGTGGGTTGGCCTTGGGGTGTCCTCTTGGAAGGACATGTCCAGAACACGTCCTCTTGGATACCTCCAGGGAACCGCCTAACAAGCCTCTACTGGCTCTTAAGTGGAAGAGCAACAGCTCAATTCCAAGTTTTTCCAAAATACCCAAACTCCTAACCCTATTCCTAAGGCTGCACCATGCAGAGGAAAAGCACGTCGGCTGCCATGTGCCTGTGATGTTGGGCTTTTGCTCATTATGCATTACTCGTGAACAAGGTTCAGGGCTAGAACGTAAATCTAAATCTTGGCCTCTTTATAACAGACTGATTCAAGCCCTCTCCTTCTTTCACTCATGAACAAAACCCTTAAACTCGTCCAGAATTGATGCCGGGCCTCTTGCTGACCCAGAGAATGCCAGTTTAAGCCACATCTAAATACAGTTTCAATGTTATAAAGCTCAAAATGTAAGATATTTTTATCCATCTTCATTGTGGAGAAGCAAAAAGGGGGACGGATGTTCATCTTTAACTGTCAGCTTAAAAAAATGCTAAACCAGCTCAGTGGCCTAGTGGTGTGAGTGTCCACGCTGAGATCAAGAGATCGTGGGTTCAAATCCACGGTCGGGTCATACTAAAGACTTTTAAAATGGGACCCAATGCCTCCCCGGTTGACACCCAGCCTGCCAGACTCCTCCTCTGTTTAATTCTGCACAGAGAACAGGTCTGGGAGCTCTCCTAGTCAAATAACCCCACCCCCTGAGAATTCTAACCGAGCCAATCAGCGCTGAGCAGCGTACGTCACACACCACAACGCCGAGTTTGTTATTAACATGGCGACCGAAGCGGGAGTTCGCTGTGGCTCTTTCCTCTGGTCTAAATGACTGGGACACGTCTTTAAAACCACAACAAGTAGAAGCGCTAAAAGCCTTTCTTCTAAAGAAAGATGCTATTACGACGCTAGTTTTTACTACAGCTAAAATATGACAGCGTCACGCGGCACAGTCGGCGTTTCCGTCTTTTTTCTGATTGGTTATTTTTTAGTTGGCTAGTCCCGCCCCTCATGTGTCTCTCTGCCTGTGTGTTACTAGACTCTTTGTGCAGAATTAAACAGAGGACGAGTCTGGCAGGCCAGGCTAGGTTAAACCACCAAATGGTTCCCGAGCGTGGCGACACACACACACACACACACACACACACACACACACACACACACACACACACACACACACACACACACACACACACACACACACACGCACACACACACACACACACACACACACACACACACACACACACACACACACACACACACACCATTGTGGCAACTACTGAGAGTTTAGCTTAACTTGACTTAAAAAGTACTTCATGGTGCAAACTGCTACTTTCAGCTCTCAGCAATATTTTTATGCACATAACGAACATTTTACTGAAGTAAATGACTCAACTCACATATTTTTTATGCTTTATTCTTACTGACCATTATTCTCACTCTGTTTTGCGTTCTGAGTAGTATCTGTTTACATCATCTGACCCAAGATTTACCATCGGATGTCAAGCACCTGTTTCAGCTCTGAATCCTTACTGATTGTTAAGATTGTGTCTTTTGAAGCGAATCTGTTTTCTGCCATTGCACGTCATGCTGTTGTTTCATTGATTTCGAAATGTTCCCCTTTTTATGGCTAAAATGTGAACAGATGTTATCACACTTTGGTTCACACATCCAAAAATAACAGTCTTCTGAAATGTGCATCGTTTTTAGAAGGCTGAGTGAATTAATCAACCTAACGTCCTGTACACATTTCTGCCTGTGCACTTATGAGTGGCATCAGTCTTAATATTGTTCAGAGAGGTAAATTTATTAGAAACCGGTACCGGTGGATCCTGTTGACCGGCCATCATCTCCATAGTTGTCTCCATATTTTCAGGATTCTTCTTTTTTTTTCTGCAGTAAAGTATGTTTTTACATATTAAAACAGATTTAAATACGTTATTCTCTAAAAAGCACTTTAGCTTACCTGCAACATTTCATTGCTACACAGAAGATGGCAGCAGAAAGGGAAACCCCAATCAGAAAGGCTATAATAACATTCAGGTCTAAGGAATTTTGGAGCTGATCTACAATTAGGAGTGAGAAAATATAAATTAATACCACGACATGTAAATTACAAAAAAATAAATAAATAAAATGCACGACTTGAGTCATGTGACCACAGAAAAAGGGATTAACCTTTTGCATTTTCAGAGGTGACTTGCTGGATTATGAGGTTTTCTGTTGCTTCTCCAACCCCGTTGCTGCTGAAACACTCAACGCTGATGTTGCCATGGTGATGGATGGTAACGCTGCTGTTGACTGTGTGGTTTGACACCTTGGTAGTGACAGAGTACTCAGTGTGGTTCTTCAGCAGAGACCATCTGATGGTGGGTAAAGGAAACCCCTCACTGACACACACACAGGTCAGAACCTCGGACTGGAGAACACATCCAGAACCTTTTAGGATATCTGAAAACCCTGAAAACACAGAAATGAACTTATAATACGTCATGGATGAAGTTTGAGTCTAAACATCACATGTTAGAGGGGTTTACTTACAAGTCACAGTTACTTCAGCTTCTACGGAGACTTTCTCATCCAGACGTTCTACTGTACAGATGTACCTTCCAGCATGTTCTGTTTTTACATTTGGGATGAGAAGTGAAGCTGATCCGGAGTCAGTTTGGACATAAACTTTATTTTCTGAATGTTTGGTCCACTTGATGAGTGGCGGAGAGAAACTTTCAACGCTGCAGGTCAGATTCAGATCCTTCCCCTCCTTAACCGTCGTCTCTCCTGTAACCCGAGGTTCTCTATCTGTGGAGGACATGGCGGGGTTTTAGCTTGTACTTTATCTTAAAATTACAACTGCGCGCTAAAAGATTCTTTTGAATGTGACAGAAAACAGAAAATTATGCGTAAATGGTGGAAAATGATGAAAGTTACTGCTACGACAGTCACGTTTTCACTTTAATGTAAAAATTAAAACTGCATGCTTTCTGCACTTGATTATTAGATCGAGACATTAACACAATTCCTTATTTTAACCTGTCAGAACCTTTAAGTACTGTGTACTCACATGTGACTGTTACATTTATCTTCTTTGTCAAAGTGTGGTGCACATGTGCTGCTGTGCAGATGTAAAGGCCTGAAACGTTCCTGGTCACGTTGGAGATGGAAAGAGAGCTTAATCCGTCTTCCTTCGTGTTCTGGAAATGGTTTCCTGTCTCATCTTTAGTCCACGTGATGACTGACGGAGGGAAACTTTCAACGCTGCAGGTAAGATTCAGAGTCTCCCCCTCCTTCACACTGGTCTCCCCATCTACTCTAAGCTCCTTTACATCTATAAACATAAAAGTCATGTATAAGAAGCCTTATGGAAAAGGACTACTAACCCTTTTTATCTTCAGGCTGCAGTTCCATGTGAATATTATTGTAACTTTGTAATAAAAATAGCTGTTGTCATCTGTAGATCATCCACTAGAAGGCAGTATAGATGAATAGGACTGGATACCCGGAGTCGACTATCGTAACTCCCTATATGTCGGGCTGCTGCTACTCTCTCGAGGCTCCAGATGGTCCAGACTTGCAGCAAGGTTTATCTCAGGGGTGATAAAATGCAAGAGCATTTCTCCAGGTTTAACCGCGCTACAGGTACCGTGTAGAAGTCATGGTACTTATTTATGTTCCAATCATTGTCCCCCTACCTTTCATCTCTTTTGGAGAATTGTGTACGCTCAAGATCTCTTCTCTCTGCTGCTGCTGCTGATCTTCTGGTTTTCCCAAGGTCTGAGCGCAAATATCAAGGAGATAGAGACTAACCGTAGCCCCAAAGCTGTGGCCTGGCAAGCCAGACTAAATAAATGTATTATTTAGTCTGGCCATGCTCCATTGACGGCTCTCGGTTGTGGGGCGGGTTCTACCGTTGTCTTTCAAATGATCTCCGCATTCCACTGGACAATGAATGTGACATACTCTTGTTTCACTCTGTTGCATCATCCCACCCACCAGGCATATAGAGTGCCCTGATTGGCCCACAAAGCAGATAAAGCTCTGTGATTTGTTCACTAAGCAGATAGAGCACTATGATTGGCCCACGATTATGGACCAATCACAGCTCTTTATGTGTTTGAAACCCCTCTATAGAGCTGTGATTGGCTAGCCAGAGTCCTGGTAGGAGCTGCGGAGGTTCCAATGGAGCATGCCTAGACCAAACTTTACAAAGCAAGAATTTGGTCTAGTTCACTAGTAGGCTACCAAAGCTGTGGACCCGCCTGCCACGCACAACTAGACAAGCAACATCCTTGTGGTCTTTCAGAGCTAAACTGATGACATACTATGATGTCATAGAAGTATGTATTTAGTGTCTCATGTTGTCTGATTTTTATTGTTCTTTTTGTTTTTTGTTTTTTCGTGTATGTGTTTTAAACTGTTGACAGTTCTTTAAACTGGATTTTAAGAGTAATTTAATAGGATGATTTAGTACTTGAGCTGTTGCCTTGCAGAAAGAAGGTCCTGGGTTCGCTTCCCAGTCTGGGGTCTTTCTGCATGGAGTTTGCATGTTCCCCCTGTGCATGCGTGGGTTCTTTCCGGGTACTCCGGCTTCCTCCCACAGTCCAAAAACATGACTGTTAGGTTGATTGGTCTGTCTAAATTGTCCTTAGGTGTGTGTGTGTGTGTGTGTGTGTGTGTGTGTGTGTGTGTGTATGTGTGTGTGTGTGTGTGCGCGTGCGTGCATGCGTGTGTGTGTGTGTGTGTGAGAGTGTGTGTATGTGTGTGATTGTTTGTCCTGTGTGTCTCTGTGATAGACTGGCTCTCTGTCCTGGGTGTACCCCACCTGATTGCCCATTGACCGCTGGAGATAGGCACCAGCCCCCCGCGACCCTACGTTGACAAAGCGGGTTCAGACAATGGATGGATGGATGGATGGATGGATTTTGTTCTTGGTCTGTTCTTTTCCTGTTTTATTACTCTTTTAACTATTGTCTGTATTATATCGTGAGCTGCCTTGACTGGTGGTGGGAAGATGCTTCATAAATGAATGAATGAATTTGGCAGGTTTAGGATAAAGGTACTTAAGGGCAGTAGAGATGTATGGAACTGCCTGTGGCAGGTTTAGAGATGACCTGTCCCTATTCTCCATCTGGATGCTGTTTGATGAGAACTTGTAACAATAATCTATAAAGAAGAAAATTATACTCACAGGTCACATTCAGAGTCACGGTCTCCTCTGTGGTTGTGTCACCTGTGAAGCTGATCTTACAGGTGATGTTGGTGCCGTGGTGTTCAGCTGAGGGGTTAAAGGTCAGAGTGGAGCTGTGTCTGTGGGTGACAGCAGTGATGTTTCCTGTGATGTTAAAGTCCTCCTCTTCTTCTCCTCTCCACCTCCAGGTGATGTTAGGAGGAGATCCAGGGCAGAGACCAGGAGCGGTGCAGGTCAGTGTGGTCTGCTGTCCCTCAGTCAGTGGAGGAACCACCAGAGTGGGTTTCTGCTTTAGAGCTGATGAAACATGGATCATAAGTGGAACTGGGTGATGTTTCTGACTTGTTTTTAATTACAAACATCATTTTCTCACCCTAGAGATCATAATCATTTTAACGTCCAGAAAGGGTCAATTTTCATCTATATTTTGACCTACATGGTGACCCTTTAATCCACAGGAATGAATCTATTTCTGTGTGTTTTCTAATCTTCTGAACCAAGAGAGATTCTTCAGTGCTTGTTGACATTCCAGGACACGAGATTGTCAACAAAGTGTTCTTCCCCAATCAATAGCTTTTCCCTTATCTCAGACTACTGGATTTCTCACAGAATAAAAGTGAACTTTTATAATAATGAATACTGAACGATGAAATGAAATACGTAGATAATCATATAAGTATGAACAAGGGGTTAAATGAAATGTTTGAATAATCTGTGCTAAGTCTATTAAGCTGAAATGAATATTGTTCTTGCAAATGATCCATTTATCTTATTGTCAGTGTACTTGACGTGACAAGTTAATCAACCACACTCTCACACACATGTGACACAAGGTTAAAGTTAACATTACTGCACATAAAGTCTCTTTATCCACAAATCAGAGCATCTTCTAGCTGAAGAAGGAGAGTTTCTGAGGTTCGTTTGGTAAATCCTCCTCGACATGGCACGTTGTGATTTGCCAGAAAATCATAACATAGGAATGAATAAAACTCAGATCACTTCCCGAGTTGAGTAAGTTTGTTTCCAGCTGACACCCCGATTCAACCAAGTCAGGAAAGAAGCCTCTTTGAAACAACCTCTGTGACCTTAAGTCAAAACCTTGCCACGACCTTGCAGGTGATTACAGACACAACAGCTCTTTTGAGAGCTACCACACACCTAATCTGCAGACTCCGGTTTGCATCTCATGGCCGGAGAAGCTGAACTCAGAGGAAGCTACTAATCCCTTGAGTATTGTGGTTTCGACGTCCAGTCGGTGACCTCACCACTCTGACCGCAACCCTCCGGACCGCCGGGAGCAACCCATGCAAGGGTATCGTAGACCTGCATACTGGTGTCTGGTGCCGTTTTATTAATAATCAACTCTCTAGTTTATAGCAGACTAAATTCTTTTACACCGAGAACTCACAGTTTCTTCCAGATACAAAGGTTCTGATATACATTTACTTTACATCACATTCCATCACACTCATCACACATCATAATTCATATCTTGTCATGTATTGTAATTAGAAATTAGCAAATAAAGTTTAGTTTTAATTATATACTTGACTCTGTCTGAATTAATACGAAGTGTGTTTATGGTCCCTGAATAAACAAAGAATGCTAAATTCTTCTGGTAAAACATTCAAAGAGCAATCATCTTGATATTTTATATTTATATAGAATCATCACATCTTATTGCTCATGATTTAACCCCCCAATCTCCTTACATTACACCATAAACATAATGGCTTTCCATACCTCTAACATGAACTGTTGTCCTCGTGTTGTATGTAAATCCAGTTCCCCTCCCATTGAGGTAACCATTAACTCTGAGCTGATATGATCCAGAATCAGACTCCTGGAGGTCGCTGATGATGATGCTGCAGTTCCCATGATGCAATCTGGGCTCCAGCAGGGAGACTCGTCCTCTAAATCCAGACTGAACCTTGTTTTCGTTGTTGGTGTGAAGTATTATATCAGACTCTCCACATTTGCTTTTAGATGATTCACATTTGTACCAGACTAGATTAGTAGGTTTGAAATCAGAACTGGTAATGAACAAACATGAGATCTCAACACAGAGTCCTGCCTCTGCGTTAATGTTCTCATAAAAATTAACACAGAAGTCTGACTGACAGTGCCAAGTTCTTCTTACTGATGCTTCTGTTAATAAAAAAAGACAAAATAATAGTTAATATTTTTGGAATAACCACACTGGAACATTTCTGTTTCAGATCAGCTGTTTGTGAGTTTACATAACAGGTATTCAAACATTAAAGGAAATATTCTTAGTACAAAATATTTATGCCAAATGAAAATAAGTTTAGTATGAAATCAGTTTGTGAGAGTAAATGCCTTTAAATATGAAAACCCACTTAATTGTTATGAAATAAGTCATTAAGAATCTGAAGTATTAACAACATGAAAGCTCCTGTCATACCTGAGTTAGCGGTGATGACTCTCACAGAGCAAAGCAGAGTCACCCAGATGAGAACAAACATTTTTATTTAATGTCCAAACTTTTTATCTCTGCATCAAACAAAGAGAAATTCACATTTCAGAGAAGGGGATGTAGGAAAAAGCAGAAACAGGATTAGTGGAAAGTCCAAACTTGAATGTGTTTAATACAGGATGTGGAAAGTTTCTGTAACGATTGGTTTAACCAAAACTATTTTACCTTTTTTTCGACTTTAAACTGTAGAACGACCTAACAACATCATCAGACTGTTCTAGATCATAACCCAACCTTATGTTACCTTCATTACATTGATGAACAAATAATTAGGATTAAAAGCACATTTAAGTTACCTCATCTGGTGACAACATGCAAAACACAAAGATTTTAATCAGTAGTTAATAAAAAAAATAAAATAAACTAAGGAAAAGTTTTTTTTTACCTCGTCTGTGTTCTTTTCTCCTTACAGCACAATCTTCTCTAAGCTTTCTCTTCCTTCCTTATTTTTCCATTCTATCTTTGCACAACATCAAGTTCCAGGAAGTCGTCACAATTCTGAATAACACTCCTCCCTGAAAGACTGCCGTTCTGCTTTGTCTTTTTTTTATTCTAGTTTTATTAACATTTACATCCAGGATGATTTTAGTGCAGGGGGAAGTGCTAGCTAATTTTCACGCTTTACTTATTCATTTGTAGCTTACTTGATACAAAAAATGAAACGGTCTATTTAGCATCTTTTCATCTTCACCATCAGCGAGAAGAGGCAAAAGCTACTACGCAACAGACCAGAAAACCTTGCAAAACCCTGCAAACCAGTGCAATGGCCTTGGAGGTTGTGCAGCCTTCCTCTTTGTAACACGAAGCAAAAAGGGGCTCCACGTAGTCATGAAATCTGCCGAAGGAAATTTAAAAAGCAGCTTTGTTATTTATTACCACAGAATTGCAATGAATTAATTCATCACCTTGTTTAAAAGCAAACCCACTAAATTTAAAACAAAGGCTAAAGAAGACCAACAGAGGGGAAGCATTTCAACACCAGCTACATCATATTTAAAGGTTAAAAGTCGCAGAACAGGTTAAAAATATGAACAAAATAAAAGTTATAAAAGAGTTTGGCAGGTTGCACAAAAACATTTAAGATTTACGTGCACTTGTTTCTGCTGAGCAGTAGAGAGAGCTATTTATATAAAAACATCACAGTTGAAAAAGGAACCAAATCAAGCACATGTGGCTGGATATTTTACAAAAGCCTTTAGGCATCTACAAAATCCATCATGGTCCTCAGATTCCATACACTGATTTATTCACTTTGGAGTACACTTCCTCCCTGGAATCATCAATGACTTGGTAGTCTTTTGTCTCCTTCTCCTCCTCGATCAGCACCTTCTTAGCCTCATACTCCACCTTCTTTTTTATCTTAACTTCAGCGTATTCTGTCTCGGCGTTCTTCTGCCTCTTTGCTGCAGCTCTAGGCCTCAAGAGAGAGAAATCGATGCTTGCGTACTCCGGTTCATTTGGAGCACCGGTGAGTCCAGGGGCTGCAGTTCCATTCTCAGCTGCTACTCGGCCGTCGTGGTTCTGTTAAATTGAAGGTAAAAGGTTTGAGCCACACAATGATTATAATAAACCAAATAACAAAATAAAGATTTTTTTAAATAGCTGCTGTTCTGTATAATGATGCAAATCATTGTTTAGAGCAGGGATAGGCAGTCTTGGTCCTGGAGTACTCCTATTCAGCATGTTTTAATTTCTTTCCCCTGTTTCAACACGCCTGATTTTAATCAGTAGGAGGCATCTGCAAAGCTGAATGACTTAGTTAGGTGAATCAACCATTCAAGTGTGTTGAAGCTAAGATATTTCATCTGTTTCCACAGTTAGGAACATATTGAATAAATGAAAGGTCACAGGCACAGTTCAAGTTAAGGCTTGAAGTGGCAGACCAGAAAAATCTCGCATAAACAGAAGCAAATAATAGTGAAAATAGTCAGAGTTGACCCACAGACCAGCACCAAAGACCTAGAAAAAAGACTCTTGCTGCAGATGGACTCTCTGTGCATCGTTCAACTAGCGCCACTTTACACAAGGAGATGCTGTATGTGGGAGAGATGCAGAGGAAGACTTTTCTTTGCCCACAGCACAAACAGAGCTGCCTGAGGTTTGCTAAAGCACGTTTGGACAAGCCAGCTTCATTTTGGAATAAGGTGCTGTGGACTGATGAAACGAAAATGTGTTATTTGGGCATAAGAAGGGGTGTTATGCATGGAAAAAAAGTACACAGCATTCCAAGGAAAACACCTGCTACCAACAGAAGAACATGGTGGTGGTCCCATCATGCCGTGGTCTCAGATTTAAAAGTGAGATTTTCATCCCTGATATTTCACACTCAACATCAAACCGCTCCAGCAAGTGCTGGAGATCCTGATCTGATGAAGCAAACAGGACCATATCATCTGCAAACAGAGACTCAAATCACCTCAAAACCTTGGCTGCACCAAGAAATCCTGTCCATAAAAGTTATGTAGAGCAGGTTAACCAGTAATCGGAGGGTTGTAGAATCGACTCTGGCTCCCAGCAGAGAGTTCTGCTATTGTGTCCTTGGGCAAGACACTTAACTCACCTTTCCTTCTGATGGTGGTCAGAGAGACCGGCGGCACCTGTGCTCGGCAGTCTCACCTCTGTCATTGAGCCCCAGGGCAGCTCATCATCATCAGTGTGTGAATGTGTGTGAATGGATGAATGATACACTGTAGTGTGAAGAGCTTTGGAGTCATCTGACCCTGAAAGGCTCTACACAAGTGTGGGTCATTTATCATGAACAGAAATGGTGAAAGAGGGCAGCCTTGGTGGAGTTCAACCCTTGTTGGAAACAAGTTGGACTTACTGTCACCAATGTGGACCAAGCTCTGGTTTCTATCATGCAGGACCTATCCGGTACCTCATGCTCCAAGAGTACCCTCCACAGGACATGCCAAGGGACACGGTCAGTCACCTTCTCCAAATCCACAAAACACATGAAGAGTCGGTCGTGCAAACTCCAATATGCCCTCCAGCACCCTGCTAAGGGTATAGAGCTGGTCCAATGCACCATGGCAAGGAAGGAAACCACATTGTTCCTTCTGAATCTGAGGTTGGACTCTTGAACCCTCGAATAAACTTTACCAGGGAGGCTCAGATGTGTGATCCCACTGTAGTTGGAACACACCCTGCAGGCCCCTTTTTAAATAGGGGGACTACCACCCCTTCTGCCAATCCAGTGGAACTGCCCCTGATGTTCATGCAGTATTATCAACCACTGCAGCCCTTAAACATCCCGAGCTTGTACGAGCTCTGGGCAAATCACAGTTGAGTTCAAATACAAAGTAAGAAAATCGAAATCTGTATTTTTTCTACTGCTTGAAATAAAGAGAATTGTGCAAAAAGAGAAAAAAAGTACGATGAAAAACTGATAAAAATATCACATAATTCCAACACTTTATGTTTCATTGCAACATTAAGTCTGATTTTATTTACTATCATCACCTTTAGTAGAGTAAACATATTTACCAATGGACGATCTGTTGTGACCATCTCCACAGCCTCATTCAGATTTTCAGCGACACGTTTTAGCCTGAGGGGAAGTGCATTCATGCAGAAACAGATCATATGCATAGTTGTCGTTCGTAACAAAGAGTTTCAAAGTGTTTAGTGAATAAAAGAGAATACCTGCAGCATTTTACGACCCAAAAACAAATGATAGCTGACAGAACTACACCACTGATAAAAGCAATGATGGCATCCAGGTTGATCATGGGACAGGAAACGCACTGAACGGCTAGCGGGGGGGGGGGGGGGGGGGGGTTTAAGAAGTAACAAAAGTGTTAAAGCAGTAGTGAACAGTAGCAGAAGTGAATTCTGTTGCTGCCGTATTTGGTATGATGGTGAGAAGCAGAAGTTTTATTATTGTATTATTATGAAAATGTACCTTCATCAGGTGAGTTGTCTGTGATTGTGAGGTTTTCTGTTGCTTTTTCAACCCCGTTGCTGCTGAAACACTCAACACTAATGTTGCCATGGTGATGGATGGTAACGCTGCTGTTGACTGTGTGGTTTGACACCTTGGTAGTGACAGAGTACTCAGTGTGGTTCTTCAGCAGAGACCATCTGATGGTGGGTAAAGGAAACCCCTCACTGGCACACACACAGGTCAGAACCTCGGACTGGAGAACACATCCAGAACCTTTTAGGATATCTGAAAACCCTGAAAACAGAAACAAACTTAAAATACGATCCTATGAGTCTGAGCATCACGTGTTTAGAGGGTTTTACTTACAAGTCACAGTTACATCAGCATCTACAGAGACTTTCTCATCCAGATGTTCTGCTGTGCAGATGTACCGTCCAGAATCTTCTGTTGTTACATTTGGGATGAGAAGTGAAGCTGATCCAGAGTCAGTTTGGACATAAACTTTGTTTTCTGAATGTTTGGTCCACTTGATGAGTGACGGAGGGAAACTTTCAATGCTGCAGGTCAGATTCAGATCTTCTCCCTTTATGATGGATGGATTTCCAGTTATCTGAAGGCTTCTTTTGTCTGTAGAGAATGTTAAAATATCTCAGGTGGTGTGTTTAATTAAATCTATTACTAAAATAATAAATGACAACATGCGTACATATCACTGTTACATTGACTCTTTTTCTCGTGGTGTTGCTCCTATGTTCTGCTGTGCAGACATAGAGTCCAGCTTGTCCTGCTGTAACATTACTGATGGAGAACAAACCAATCCCACGTCTGTCCTGCTGAGATCTTTTATAATCCTGCTTCTTCAGATGACGATGTCTTCCAGATTTAGTCCAGGTGATGTCTGAAGGAGGGAAGCTGTCAACACTACAGGTCAGATTCAGAGTCTCGCCCTCCTTCACTTTGGGATTTCCACTTATTATAACTTTCTTCAGATCTATGAAAATAAGATGAGCAAAGAATTTATCTTCATCAATATTAATCGTGGTTTCCAAAAACACAGAAAATATATAAATGTCAAACTTTTATTATTCATTACGTTACTCACATGTCACACTCAGAGTCACGGTCTCCTCTGTGGTTGTGTCACCTGTGAAGCTGGTCTTACAGGTGATGTTGGTGCCGTGGTGTTCAGCTGAGGGGTTAAAGGTCAGAGTGGAGCTGTGTCTCTGGGTGAAATTAGCTAGATTCTCAGTGTGGAAACCAGTGATGTTTCCTGTGATGGTAAAGTCCTCCTCTCCTCCTCTTCTCCAACTCCAGGTGATGTTAGGAGGAGATCCAGAGCAGAGACCAGGAGCGGTGCAGGTCAGTGTGGTCTGCTGTCCCTCAGTCAGTGGAGGAACCACCAGAGTGGGTTTCTGCTTTAGACCTGATGAAACATGGATCATAAGTGGAATCTGATGAATTTGGCCAAAAATATTTCAAACCAAGTAGAAGTTTTTCAAGATGTAATGAGAATCTCACAGGTTGCCATACAAAAGTAACAAGTTATATTTTGCTTTACCTAGGTCTAAACTCCTGGTATAAAGCACTATGAACTATTTTAGAGAGCTGTGACTTATCTTTCCTACCTGTTAAAGAGAGATTTGTTTTAGCAACTGTATATGTATATTTATGTCCTGGTTCACTTCCTTCCACTCTGAGCAGATATGATCCAGAATCAGAATCTATGAGGTTATTGATCCTGATGCTGCAGTTCTTCTTACTGATGTCAGACTCCAACAGAGACACTCGTCCATTTTTACTGGCCAGGCTGGAGTTAAAAGCAACTGGGTATGTCATCCAATCACCGTGGGATGGATCACATTTAAACCAAATGATCCTCTCGGGATCAAAGAGAGATTTGAAGGAACATGGTATCTCAACACAGAGTCCAGCCTCTGCTGTTACAACTCCATCATTTAAAGAGACACAGTATTTGTCCTTTTTGCAGTGTTCTCTCATCCCGTTTGGTTGAGCTGTTAATGAAGAAGACAAAGCAGGAAACAGTTTTTAGATTTTAGAAAGGTTTTCACAAACAAATATACACACTAGAAGGCTGAACTGAAATCGTGTCAGTGGGAGGTTCCTCCGTTTCAAAAACAGACTAAAATACTTTTAGTGCAAGAAAATTTTTTTTCATAATTGAATTACATTTCAAATAACTAGTAAAAATCATTATTTACAAAATGAAATAAAAACTAGATGTCACTGATAAGAAAATATAAAAATATCTGTTTTGCTCCATTTTTGCAGCAGAACATGTTAACAAAGTAAAAGACTCAAACGGTACCTGGATCAGCATCGCTGCCTCTCACAGACATGAACAGGGTGACCCAGATGAGAACAAACATCCTGATTTGATGACTGAAACCTTCAGTTCCTCCTTCACAGGACAAACGTCCCTGCAGCAGACGAAGCAAAAATAAAACAGAATTAACAATATTTCATCATGTTTCATCAAATTTAGTATTTTATAAACTCTTTTTGTCTGTTTTTACATGATCAGCTCATCTTGGCTCTGTGACTTTAAGTTTAAGTCATTCTATTGATCAGCATCTCTTCATAAACAACAACAAATATGAACAAAAGGATCTTTACATCTCAACAGAAGATTTGAGTGAATCAGTTTGAATTTAAGTCACATTTCCTGCTGCTAAAATTCAGGTGCCGTGTCTTCTATCATGATCAGAAGTAGAACATTAACTGTTAGTAGTGGGGTGCGTGGTACATCCTTATAATTTTACAATTTCAGAGTGAAATGATTTTTTTCATCCAAGTATGAAGCCTTTTTTACCTCTTGCCTCGTTCGCCGCCGGTTTCTCGTCTGTCTGAAGCCCTTCTTACTTTTTCTTACTTTTTTTATGCATCATGAACTCAGGAAGTTTTGACTCCTCCTCTAAACATAAATAATCCTCTAATGAGACTGATGACGTAGATAAATAACAGTTTTATAAGAAACACTAAAATATTAGCATTTATGAATTATTTAATAAACACAAACATTTAGTTTGAAGATTTCTCCTGATGTCTGACTTTAGATGTGAAACTTTGACTAAGGGGAACTTAAAATAAACTCTCGTTTTTGTGCACTCGCTTTATTTTAGTTCCTTCGCTTTTTTGTGTTTTCCTATTTGACTGTTTTTCTTGTTGCCTAGTTTCAGAGCCACTGAAGGACACTTGAGGAGAACTGAAGGATTTTTCTGACATCTTGACAAAAATCTACAAATCTCAGATGAAGCTATGAAGAGATGATAAATGATAGATGTTTAAATAACAGAAAACATTTTATCCTCATCAGCATTTCTCCATTTTAACAACATGCTGTCTTTGGTGACTTACTTCTGCATCGTTGTGTTATTTTTACCACAATGATGCAACAGAAAATGTGTCCTTGCAGACATCCGTAGAACTGTGATGTCGCTACCGATCTCTGCAAATAAACATTTTCTTTCCTGTACATAACAAGTTCACTACTTCATGTTTCAGATAAGCTGCTGTGTGCTTATTTTTACTGTCTAGAAGAAACTACTCATTTCTTATTTTTTTCGTGCTTATTTTAACCCTGTTGAGTCTTGTATGAAGTGTGATAAAAAGGCTTCTTGAGCAACCAAGCAAAGCAAAGCCAGCTTTCTTTGAAACACACTTAACGATAAAAACACAATAAAACACGTCAAAGACACTAAAAGTGAACAAAATTGAAATAACTCAAACTTTTTGGGGAGTTTGCAGAAAGAAGGTTTTTCCAATATTCTCTGGTAACGAGTTCCAGGGTTTTGGAGCACCAGCAGTGAAGGTCCTGTCCGCTGTGCTTCCTTCTTCAGCAGATCCAGGACCAGCTGGTCAGATAACCTGAGTGACTGAGATCAGGAGTGTAAGCAGGCCAGCTCATAGTCTTGCTGGGGTCTGAGACAAGATGCCTGTCCCAATTTAGTGGTTTAAAGAGTCATTCACTCATTCAAGCTGGTAGTTAATTGGCCTATTCCTGCTGTTACCGTAGCAACCCTAATCTACCACCTGGCGCCGCCCCTGTTCCAGTGACATCGTGATGGCTGCAGACACCAGTGAGTTCACCATCTTTGTTTTGTTAGATCTTTCTGCAGATTTGGACACAGTTGATCACAACACCTTAATTATCAGACTTACTTGGTGGTGATCTCCAAAGCTGTTCTGGACTGGCTTGGATCATAAGCTCCTAACAACCATCTTTTATATAGCGTCTCTCAAGATAAAAATCACAAGATGCTTCCCAAATAAAAGAAAACAAAGTATAAAAAATGAAAATGATTAAAAGTATGTGAGAAAAAAATAAAATGTGTGATTAAAAATAATAATAATGTAAGGAAATGAATAGGAAAGAGGAAAATCAGTGGATCACGGGGAAAGGCGGAATAAGAGCAGAATAAGGAGAGGGTGGTGATGAAGGTCACACCAAAGCCAGCAACAGGTGAGTCTTCAGCTGCTTTTTGAAGGAGACCACTGAGTCCACTGATCTCAGGCTCAGGGGGAGATCGTTCCAGAGTCTAGGGGCCACAGCAGCAAATGATCGGTCACCTTTGGTCTTTAGCCTGGTGCACTGCACAACCAGTAGGCTTTGATCACTGGACCTCAGGGACCTGCTGGAGGTGTAGGGACTGAGAAGATCACCAATGTAAGATGGTGCTTGTCCATGTAAGGCCCTATAGACCAGAACCAGGATCTTGAAATGAACCCTGAAGTTGACTGGCAGCCAGTGAAGCTGGAGGAGAAGCGGGGTGATGTGGGTGTTTGGAGGACTCGGTCAGAAGCCGAGCACAGGCATTCTGAACCACCTGTAGACGGTTCAGGGAGGTTTTGTTCAGACACGTGAAAAGAGATCGTTTAATACTTCTCTCATTGGAATGTATTTGTTTTATTCTCTTTTTATTCTAATTTATTTTTCCCCCTTTCCCAGCTCAATGATCGTCTTGCATTGATTCATCAGAGTTGCTTGTGGACGATGACATGTACAGGCTGTAAACATGTTTATTTCTGCTGTGAAATTGGTATTTTTAACATGGGAGTCAATGAGGATTTGCTCGCTTCTGACAGCAGCCCCCAGCGGATGAGGGTGGAACTGCAATTTAGTTCACTTCCGCATTGGACTCAATTTATGTCCCGCATTGTGGGAGCTTGGTCGGGACGTGAAATAGTACATTGAGACAAGTGGAGCAGCTCAGACTCATAGATATCCATAAATACACTCTTGTCTAAGACTGCATCCCACAATGCTCTGCGACGTTATGTTGCAATCTAATTTTAGCAAGTGTAAAATACGCTATTTTAACTAGAATGTGTGGAGAGTCGACCTTAAAACTACTGAGCTGTTTCCAGTCACTCTCCTCCCTTCCTTGTGAGAGACGTTGATCTCATTAGGCTAATTCGTTCTGTCATTTATTTACCACAGAAAGGACCCCAACAGCTGGTGACGTCACTCAAAGCAAGCAACGTCTCTTGAGACAGGGAGAAGTCTTTCTCTTGGATTCTAGCCATCTTGGCAATTTATTTGTTTATTTGTTTATTAATTTAGCTATCAATTCACTCATTTTCCTCCACTGATCCAGGGTCGAGTATGCGGAGGCAGCAGCTTAAGGCCCAGACTCCCTTCTCCCCAGTCCAGGTTTTCCGCGTCCAGCCGAGACACCTAGTCCCCCCAGTGTGCCCTGGGTCTTCTGTTCTCAGAACAGCCTGATCAGAAAGAACTGAGTTCTCCTGTTTCCATCCAGTTGACCTACATAAAACATATAAATCCCTTATAGAGGATAAAATACTTACAGAGTATGTGGTCATCAATCAAATCAAATGACAGATTACAAGTAATTAAATTAAAAGTTTTAGACAAAGAACAAACGGTAAAAAATACAACTGTATTTCTATTGTACTACTTGTATTAGGCTGTGTTTGCCTTTTTAACACCTTAATCTAACAGCCAAAATGTCTCCTCGGCCTTCACTAGTTTCTGCAGAAGTGGTTCTAACTAAATCAGACAAATCAGCTGTGTTCACCATCAGGAACATGCAGAAAATGTGCTGAAAGCAGACCCCGGCTCCACCATGCCAGCTCCACTCCACTCCACAGCTCCGCCCACTAGCAGGGGCCGGACCGGCAACTCTGAAGTTGCAAGTGTGGTGTTCTGGCGACAGAGGGTGGTGGAGTCTGAGTGGCTTTTCATTAACCCTGTAAAGGGTCGTTTGAGCACATACTGGCTTAAGAGAATGATTTAAAAATATGAAAAAGTTGCTAATTATCCCTTTAAAGGATTGTACAGGTTTAACTTCATGCTGTAGTATCCTCTCTTATCCAGCAGAGGGCAGAAAAATCCTTACTGGTGAAAGCCAGGTGTAAAGGGAAAGAGCTCTCGTGTTTCTATCCAGTTGACCTAAATAAAATATACCAATCCCTTATAGACAGTATGTGGCCATAAATCTAATCAAAAGACGGATTAATGATCTGAGTAACTGAATGATGTTTCAGCGTATGATGTTTGAAGTACGATAGATGTAGATTTGTTCTGAAACCACACTATCTGACAACAGACTGCAGTTTTTAATACATGTGTTCAACCTAAATAAATAGATTATTCGGGATTTCTAAGAAATGTTGGCACCAATGAAATAGTGTACTCAATCTGTGTACAGAAGGAACCAGATTTTAGTTTCAATGTCCCACAATATTAGTAATCTCTCAGTTTACTGCTTCAGAAACCTTAAAATTTGATTGTTTCTATTGAATACTCAGGCTTATTTGCTCTGACAGCCTTGGACCCACAGTCCTTGCTGTGCTGACTTTTCCATGTTTATTCTGGATGATGACATCATACTCTGGTGATGTGTCCATTTTCTGTAGAGACATGTAAGTTCTGTCCTCTTGGTTAGGTTTCACCTTTTTGCTCTTGTTCCTTTAAATAGATACACGAATTACATAATTAGTATTTATTTATTTGCCTTCTTAAATATGAATGAGTCATGAAAGCATTAAACACGTGCATCTTACCACAGGAGCCACATGCTGACTAAACAGAGAACATTCACACTGAGTGATGCGGCAGCGACGGCCCAGGGAACCGCTCCACAATGATCTCCACATTCTTTCATAATAGCTGTAAAATACAAGACATAATGGTTAAAGTCCCATTAGTCATCATCACACACTGGTAAAATTACCCCGATCCAACCCCTTAAAGCTGAGTGTCAAGCAGCAAGGCACTGTGTCCCATTTTCATGGTCTTTGGTATGACCCAACTGAGTTTTAACCCCCAATTTCCCCAGGGTTAGGGTTAGCTTCTCTCCGTTAGACCTGGAGCTCAGATCACCAGAGACTGCACAGGGACTGTGGGGGACAGACACCTTTAGGAGCGACTTGTCAAATAAACTTAATGAGCGCAACTTTTATCACAATAAAAAGCAAGATACGTCCAAGATAAACAAAAGTCCGCTGCAGCGTAGGTACCACCCCGGTATGCCCTTTATACCAACATCGTCTAATCTTTTGATAAAGGGAAATGACTGCACCACATTACCGCCAAGCTCTGACCACTTATAAATGACCTAAGTTTCCTGATGCCTCCACAGCCTTGTAGCAAATTGATGGCATTGTTTAGTAAAAACAGCTATTGGAAGATTTCCCTCTCATCTGGCTGGGGGGTTGCCAGTTTTTCTGCAGCTGGCAATGGCTGTGAAACTCATCAATGGGAGTGACAGAGTCAGAGTTTGTTTAGAAACACAGGCTGCAGTACCCCATATTGGCCACCGGGTGTCACTCTTTCTTAATTCTTTCGTGATGCACCTTTGATACATTCATCATGATCTTTACTGAAGTTTTTAGGATTTTAACTAAACTTCTGATATTTGCTGTCTGCTAGTTCCTACATATTACTGAAATTCTCATTGAACATGACTGAAAAAATTAATCTGTAAATTTAAGGATGTTTAGGTAAAGGTTTTTACTTTTTAACCTTGTCATATTATTAGTTTAATAAATGTTAATAATAAGCACACACATTATGAAAACCTCAAAACGTAGAAACAAATATAATTACTCAAATAAACGTATAATTGATTATGCTCACAGGTCACATTCAGAGTCACGGTCTCCTCTGTGTTTGTGTCACCTGTGAAGCTGATCTTACAGGTGATGCTGGTGTCGTGGTGTTCAGCTGAGGGGTGAAAGGTCAGAGTAGAGCTGTGTCTCTGGGTGAAATTAGTTAGATTCTCAGTGTGGAAACCAGTGATGTTTCCTGTGATGGTAAAGTCCTCCTCTCCTCCTCTTCTCCAACTCCAGGTGATGTTAGGAGGAGATCCAGAGCAGAGACCAGGAGCGGTGCAGGTCAGTGTGGTCTGCTGTCCCTCAGTCAGTGGAGGAACCACCAGAGTGGGTTTCTGCTTTAGAGCTGGTGAAACATGGATCATAAGTGGAATCTGATGAATTCGGCCAAAAATATTTCAAACCAAGTAGAAGTTTTTCAAGATGTAATGAGAATCTCACAGGTTGCCATACAAAAGTAACAAGTTATATTTTGCATTACCTAGGTCTAAACCCCTGGTATAAAGCACTATGAACTATTTTAGAGAGCTGTAACTTATCTTTCCTACCTGTTGAAGAAAGAGTTGCTTTAGCAACCGTATATGTATATTTATGTCCTGGTTCACTTCCTTCCACTCTGAGCAGATATGATCCAGAATCAGAATCTATGAGGTTATTGATCCTGATGCTGCAGTTCTTCTTACTGATGTCAGACTCCAACAGAGACACTCGTCCATTTTTACTGGTCAGGCTGGAGTTAAAAGCAACTGGGCACGTCGTCCAATCACCTTGGGATGGGTCACATTTAAACCAAATGATCCTCTTGGGATCAAAGAGAGATGTGAAGGAACATGGTATCTCAACACAGAGTCCAGCCTCTGCTGTTACAACTCCATCATTTAAAGTGACACAGTATCCATGATGTCGACAGTGTTCTCTCATCCCGTTTGGTTGAGCTGTTAATGAAGAAGACAAAGCAGGAAACAGTTTTTAGATTTTAGAAAGGTTTTCACAAACAAATATACACACTAGAAGGCTGAACTGAAATCGTGTCAGTGGAAGGTTCCTCCGTTTCAAAAACAGACTAAAATACTTTTAGTGCAAGAAAACTTTTTTTAAAATTGAATTACATTTCAAATAACTAGTAAAAATCATTATTTACAAAATGAAATAAAAACTAGATGTCACTGATAAGAAAATATCAAAATATCTGTTTTGCTCCATTTTTGCAGCAGAACATGTTAACAAAGTAAAAGACTCAAACGGTACCTGGATCAGCATCGCTGCCTCTCACAGACATGAACAGGGTGACCCAGATGAGAACAAACATCCTGATTTGATGACTGAAACCTTCAGTTCCTCCTTCACAGGACAAACGTCCCTGCAGCAGACGAAGTAAAAATAAGACAGAATTAACTATATTTCATCATGCTGCATCAAATTTAGTATTTTATAAACTCTTTTTGTCTGTTTTTACATGATCAGCTCTTCTTGGCTCTGTGACTTTAAGTTTAAGTCATTCTATTGATCAGCATCTCTTCATAAACAACAACAAATATGAACAAAAGGATCTTTACATCTCAACAGAAGATTTGAGTGAATCAGTTTGAATTTAAGTCACATTTCCTGCTGCTAAAATTCAGGTGCCGTGTCTTCTATCATGATCAGAAGTAGAACATTAACTGTTAGTAGTGGGGTGCGTGGTACATCATTATAATTTTACAATTTCAGAGTGAAATGATTTTTTTCATCCAAGTATGAAGCCTTTTTTACCTCTTGCCTCGTTCGCCGCCGGTTTCTCGTCTGTCTGAAGCCCTTCTTACTTTTTCTTACTTTTTTTATGCATCATGAACTCAGGAAGTTTTGACTCCTCCTCTAAACATAAATAATCCTCTAATGAGACTGATGACGTAGATAAATAACAGTTTTCATAAGAAACACTGAAATATTAGCATTTATGAATTATTTAATAAACACAAACATTTAGTTTGAAGGTTTCTCCTGATGTCTGACTTTAGATGTGAAACTTTGACTAAAGGGAACTTAAAATAAAGTCTCGTTTTTGTGCACTCGCTTTATTTTAGTTCCTTCGTTTTTTTGTGTTTTCCTATTTGACTGTTTTTCTTGTTGCCTAGTTTCAGAGCCACTGAAGGACACTTGAGTAGAACTGAAGGATTTTTCTGATTTCTTGACAAAAATCTACAAATCTCAGATGAAGCTATGAAGAGATGATAAATGATAGATGTTTAAATAACAGAAAACATTTTATCCTCATCAGCATTTCTCCATTTTAACAACATGCTGTCTTTGGTGACTTACTTCTGCGTCGTTGTGTTATTTTTACCACAATGATGCAACAGAAAATGTGTCCTTGCAGACATCCGTAGAACTGTGATGTCGCTACCGATCTCTGCAAATAAACATTTTCTTTCCTGTACATAACAAGTTCACTACTTCATGTTTCAGATGAGCTCCTGTGTGCTTATTTTTACTAAAACAGTGGTTCCCAAACTTATTTAGCCACGCAACCCCTTCTATTTCCCGACCATGTCGACGCACCCCCTAGCCCCCACATCTATATATATAGACATCAAGCTAAACAGTCACTCGACAGACAGGGTTACAAAAATATGATCGATCTCGACTTTAATACGTCATCCCAAAATAGAAACTAATATCTTAATTTGACCTTGAATGAAAAATGTTGTTTTAAAACCTCTTAAAAGTTTTTTATCACGGAGGAGGCAGCGCTCATTTCTGCCTTCAGTCTGACGGCGCCGCGCTGGAGTTTGCGCAGCGTGCGCTTATTGAATCTGTGTGTGTGTGTGTGTGTGTGTGTGCGGCACAGCTCCATGAGCCACTCCAGTCACCGCATCTCATTATTGGTGCTATTTAAACTGTTGAGGGTCTGCCCTCATGAGGATATTACTATGCAGTAATTTCTCCAAAAGACTGTGTCATCTGCGCTCTGAAAAAGCAGATATTAAAAATCAGCGCCAGCAAACTTCATGTCCCATGAGCCTTTGTACCGGAAGCAACGTGATGACGTCACCAAAGTGGCGTCGAACCCCGATACTCAAGTTACGCGCATATGCTGACCCACACAGAGTCCAGCCCGCCAGACAGCGGAGTCTATAAAAGGGAGACAGAACAAAACTTATCTGTCTTTTGTCCAGAGTTCAACTGGTGTGAAGACGCACTCGTTTGCTACTGCTCCGGACAGCATGTGCACGAGGCCTGGCTGCTGAAGTGGACGGAACACCGAGCCGCTGAAAAGCAACGAAACCGTCATCTGGTTCGTTTGAACTCAGAAGGACGCTTCGGGTTCGATAAACGGGTTTTTTTCTCTCCTCTATCTTTTTCTTCCTCTTCTCTAACATAGTTCAGAACAAGCAATCAAACCGCGTGATTTGCTTTAAAGTAGCACCGGGCTTTCTCTCTCCTCCGTACCAAAAACGCCATCGGATCATCTTAAGAGTAAGATCTTTTCTTTCATTGTAATATCTAGGTTGTTAAGCTGTGGCCACAGCATTAACAAATATTTAGATATTTAATCTGCCTTTGACTGATCTGTTTGTTTTGTTTATTGATCTTTGTGAAGCGGTTTTGAAGTTTTGTTAAGTTTCACTGTGATTTTAAAGTGTTTGGCAAAGTTTACTGTGAAAGCTCCCACACACACTGGTTTTCAGTGTGGTGGTGGGAGGAGAAAGTTACCTCACACACACACACACACACACACACACACACACACACACACACACACACACACACACACACACACACACACACACACACACACACACACACACACACACACACACATACTTGTTTTTAGCATTGGTAGGAGACAAGACTAAAACACACACTTATTGGGTCAGATTGTTTTACGTTATCATTTCATTGTTTAATTACTTGTTATTTGTTTGATAAAATAAGTTGGTTAATATTGATTGGCTAAACGCTTCAGAAGGAGCTGAAGTGATTATATTAGTTAATAAATGTATTGCCAATTAAGCATTTGTCTCAAGTGAGTTTGTTGGTGTTGATATAAAATTAACTGCAGCTCGTTACGATTTCACGGAAAGTGTAGACAAGATTGATAAGAGGTGTGGATTCATTGTTCCCCTGTTAAAGGGGTGGTGCCCCGTGGATATCCTAATATCCCAATTAATTAATAAATTGGTAAATATTTCCATATTTACAAATTTTATTGAAGAATCAAAAAGTAAGTAAAAGCTTACAAATTATTCGTTGCCCAATATTCCCAACATAATCAATGTTGTAAAATTACTTCTGCCCAGCCCAGATGTGCTCACATCTGCACCCGTGAGCCGTGGTTCCGCTGGAACGCGTCTGACCTCTGACAGACGCACTCTGAACTTCAGATCTTCAGCGCGCTGATAATAGCCTGACACGTTTAGAATGCTGTCACACAGTCAGTGTGCTAATGTAATAATATAATACTGCTAAAATGCTCAGATGGGAATCATTTCTTGATTTATTTAGTTACATCCACAATGTTCTGTGCGTGAGGTTTACAATGTCAGAACACCTGCATGAGACAGGGTGTTAATTACAATCTGCCAGAATGACTCACCACCTTCAGATTTCTCCAACATCATTAAAAATGATCAAATACGGAACATATCTTGCTATTGACAGCGTGCGCAGGCCAGAGCGCTGAAGCTTGGTGAATTATTATTATGAAGCTAGGGCACATGTGGAGGAGAACACACACAAGCTAAATATACTTGTTTTCAATTACATTTATTGGGCCCACTAACTTTTTCTTAGGCCCACCCACAAATGAGTTTCTGGCTACGCTAATGGTGACATATGACAGACTTCTCTGAGCTCCGCAGCCATTACACTTTTCATCTCACGCACCCCCTAGCGGCAGCTTGCGCACCCCTTCACCACACTTAGGGAATACCTGGAGAAGAAAATACTCGTTCTTTATTTTTCTCATGCTTATTTTAACCCTGTTGAGTCTTGTATGAAGTGTGATAAAAAGGCTTCTTCAGCAACCAAGCAAAGCAAAGCCAGCTTTATTTGAAACACACTTAAAAAAAAGCCAACAAGTTGTTGAACATAGGGCATAAAGACTTTAAAATGCAATAAAAATCGATAAAAACACAATAAAACACCTCAAAGACACTAAAAGTGAACACAATTTAAAAAACTCAAACTTTTTGGGTATTTTGCAGAAAGAAAGTTTTTCCAATATTCTCTGGTAACGAGTTCCGGGGTTTTGGAGCAGCAGCAGTGAAGGTCCTGTCTGCTGTGCTTCTGTCTTCACGGATCCAGGACCAGCTGGTCAGATAACCTGAGTGACTGGGATCAGGAGTGTAAGCAGGCCAGCTCATAGTCTTGCTGGGGGCATTCACTCATTCAAGCTGGTAGTTGCTTGGCCTATTCCTGCTGTTACTGTAGCAACCCTAATCTACCACCTGGCACCGCCCCTGTTCCAGTGACATTGTGATGGCTGCAGACACCAGTGAGTTCACCATCTTTGTTTTGTTAGATCTTTCTGCAGATTTGGACACTGTTGATCACAACACCTTAATTATCAGACTTACTCGGTGGTGATCTCCAAAGCTGTTCTGGACTGGCTTGGATAATAACTTCCTAATATCTTTTATATAGCGCCTCTCTAGATAAAAATCACAAGATGCTTCCCAAATAAAAGAAAACAAAGTATAAAAATGAAAATGATGTAAAATATGTGAGAAAAAATTAAATGTGTGATTAAAAATAATAATATGTAAGGAAATGAATAGGAAAGAGGAAAATCAGTGGATCACGGGGAAAGGCGGAATAAGAGCAGAATAAGGAGAGGTTGGTGATGAAGGTCACACCAAAGCCAGCAACAGGTGAGTCTTCAGCTGCTTTTTAAAGGAGACCACTGAGTCCACCGATCTCAGGCTCAGGGGGAGATCGTTCCAGAGTCTAGGGGCCACAGCAGCAAATGATATGTCACTTTTGGTCTTTAGCCTGGTGCTGCACAACCAGTAGGCTTTGATCAGTGGACCTCAGGGACCTGCTGGAGGTGTAGGGACTGAGAAGATCACCAGTGTATGATGGTGTTTGTCCACGTAAGGCCCTATAGACCAGAACCAGGATCTTAAGATGAACCCTGAAGTTGACTGGCAGCCAGTGAAGCTGGAGGAGAAGCGGGGTGATGTGGGTGTTTGGAGGACTCGGTCAGAAGCCGAACACAGGCATTCTGAACCACCTGTAGACGGTTCAGGGAGGTTTTGTTCAGACACGTGAAAAGAGATAGTTTAATACTTCTCTGATTGGAAATTATTTGTTTTAATCTTTTTTATTCTAAATTATTTTGTCGCCTTTTCCCAGCTCAATGATCGTCTTGCATTGATTCATCAGAGTTGCTTGTGGACGATGACATGTACATGCTGTAAACATGTTTATTTCTGCTGTGAAATTGGTATTTTTAACATGGGAGTCAATGAGGATTTGCTCGCTTCTGACAGCAGCCCCCAGCGGATGAGGGTGGAACTGCAATTTAGTTCACTTCCGCATTGGACTCAATTTATGTCCCGCATTGTGGGAGCTTGGTCGGGACATGAAATAGTACATTGAGACAAATGGAGCAGCTCAGACCCATAGATATCCATAAATACACTCTTGTCTAAGACTGCATCCCACAATGCTCTGCGATGTTATGTTGCAATCTAATTTTAGCAAGTGTAAAATATGCTATTTAACTAGAATGTGTGGAGAGTCAACCTTAAAACTAGTGAGCTGTTTCCAGTCACTCTCCCCCCTTCCTTGTGAGAGACGTTGATCTCATTAGGCTAATTCCTTCTGTCATTTATTTACCACAGAAAGGACCCCAACAGCTGGTGACGTCACTCAAAGCAAGCAACGTCTCTAGAGACAGGGAGAAGTCTTTCTCTTGGATTCTAGTCATCTTGGCAATTTATTTGTTTATTAATTTAGCTATCCATTCACTCATTTTCCTCCACTGATCCAGGGTCGAGTATGCGGAGGCAGCAGCTTAAGGCCCAGACTCCCTTCTTCACAGTCCAGGTTCTCCGCGTCCAACCGAGATTCCTAGTCCCCCCAGTGTGCCCTGGGTCTTCTGTTCTCAGAACAGCCTGATGAGAAAGAACGGAGTTCTCCTGTTTCTATCCAGTTGACCTACATAAAACATATAAATCCCTTATAGAGGATAAAATACTTACAGAGTATGTGGTCATCAATCAAATCAAATGACAGATTACAAGTAATTAAATTAAAAGTTTACTTAGAAAAAGAACAAACGGTAAAAAATACAACTGTATTTCTATTGTACTACGTTTATTAGGCTGTGTTTGCCTTTTTAACACCTTAATCTAACAGCCAAAATGTCTCCTCGGCCTTCACTAGTTTCTGCAGGAGTGGTTCATAACTAAATCAGACAAATCAGCTGTGTTCACCATCAGGAACATGCAGAAAATGTGCTGAAAGCAGACCCCGGCTCCACCATGTCAGCTCCACTCCACTCCACAGCTCTGCCCACTAGCAGGGGCCGGACCGGCAACTCTGAAGTTGCAAGTGTGGTGTTCTGGCCACAGAGGGTGGTGGAGTCTGAGTGGCTTTTCATTAACCCTGTAAAGGGTCGTCTGAGCACATACTGGCTTAAGAGAATGATTTAAAAATATGAAAAAGTTGCTAATTATCCCTTTAAAGGATTGTACAGGTTTAACTTTATGCTGTAGTATCCTCTCTTGTCCAGCAGAGGGCAGAAAAATATCCTTACGGGTGAAAGCCAGATGCTAAGTGAAAGAGCTCTCGTGTTTCCATCCAGTTGACCTAAATAAAATATACCAATCCCTTATAGAGCTCCGGGTGTTGACGTCACTTCTCCCGGCATGCAACAGTTCAAATCGAAAAGGCGCTATATTGGCATGCAGAAGCCGGCAGCTGGACTATTTATTATTGTCAGAAAACTCAGACAGGAAATATGGTAGATTCCTGTTGTGCCCCAGGATGCAGAACAGAAAGGGACGACATAAGGAATGAGCCATCTACAGGATTCCCCAAGATCCGGAGCGCCGCAAAAGTTAACTCATTGTAATAAAACGCACTAGTGACCAGGCTAAAATGAAACTGTGGGACCCCGAGAGTAAAGGTTTTTGCTTATGTAGCGACCACTTCATACTTAAACCAACGTTTCCTCAACTGTATATGGTATTTATTTTAAATGCTTTCATTACGATTCTTAGTGGGCTTCCTAAACTTATTTTGGCATGGCTTTTTCTGTCTTATTACTCATAGCAACAAGTAAACATCACGTAAAACGTTTCCTCGTGTTTCTGCGTGCTGCCGTTTACGTGTTTTATGATCACAGCAAGTAACCGGCTAAGCTGTATTTAATTTTTAAGCAATGGTTGATCAATTGTCAGATCACACGTAAAAAGCACTTTGGATTGCTATTATCTGTCTCACCGAGACAGATCTCAGACAGATCCTGAGACGCTCCTGCCTGACATATTTATTTTATTCACGGAGAACAATCAAACTAGTGATTTCTCTTGGTGTTCAGTTTATACATTCAAACAGCACAGCACTCTATTTAAACTACTTATATGTAAATCTGTTATTTGTCCATCCATCCATCCATTTTCATCCGCTTATCTGGAGTCGGGTTGCAGGGGCAGTAGCGCCGAGAGGCCCAGACTTCCCTCTCCCCAGCCACCTGAGCCAGCTCTTCCGGGGAAATCCCAAGGGGTTCCCCGGCCAGGTCCGGTAAGAAGTCCGCTACGACTGCTTCTGGCGTTTTTAAAAAGTATCCCAGGGGCACGGTAAGGGTCGGAGATGTTTAGTCTATTTAATTTCTGAATATAAAAACGATTTCTTCGGTTTTAAAGTGTGAAGTAAACTCAGCCGAAGTAAAATCCAAGCCGATCCCGTTCATGTTCATGTTTACAATCCGTGTTTACCTTTTTTTCCTGCCAATATGGCGTCAACTAACTGAGAGTTACGTGGGGTCCGGAGCTCTATGGACAGTATGTGGCCATAAATCTAATCAAAAGACGGATTAATGATCTGAGTAACTGAATGATGTTTCAGCGTATGGTGTTTGAAGTGCGATAGATGTAGATTTGTTCTGAAACCACACTATCTGACAACAGACTGCAGTTTTTAAAGCATGTGTTCAACCTAAATAAATAGATTATTCAGAATTTCTAAGAAATTTTGGCACGAATGAAATAGTGTACTCAATCTGTGTACAGAAGGAACCAGATTTTAGTTTACAATGTCCCACAATATTAGTAATCTCCTCTCAGTTTACTGCTTCAGAAACCTTAAAATTTGTTTCTATTGATTACTCAGGCTTATTTGCTCTGACAGCCTTGGACCCACAGTCCTTGCTGTCCTGACTTTTCCATGTTTATTCTGGATGATGACATCATACTCTGGTGATGTGTCCATTTTCTGTAGAGACATGTAAGTTCTGTCCTCTTGGTTTGGTTTCACCTTTTTGCTCTTGTTCCTTTAAATAGATACGTGAATTACATAATTAGTATTTATTTATTTGCCTTCTTAAATATGAATGAGTCATGAAAGCATTAAACACGTGCATCTTACCACAGGAGCCACATGCTGACTAAACAGAGAACATTCACACTGAGTGATGCGGCAGCGACGGCCCAGGGAATTGTTCCAAAATGATCTCCACATTCTTTCATAATAGCTGTAAAATACAAGACATAATGGTTAAAGTCCCATTAGTCATCATCACACACTGGTAAAATTACCCCGATCCAACCCCTTAAAGCTGAGTGTCTCACTGTGTCCCATTTTCATGGTCTTTGGTATGACCCAACTGAGTTTTAACCCCCAATTTCCCCAGGGTTAGGGTTAGCTTCTCTCCGTTAGACCTGGAGCTCAGATCACCAGAGACTGCACAGGGACTGTGGGGGACAGACACCTTTAGGAGCGACTTGTCAAATAAACTTAATGAGCGCAACTTTTATCACAATAAAAAGCAAGATACGTCCAAGATAAACGAAAGTCTGCTGCAGCGTAGGTACCACCCCGGTACGCCCTTTATACCAACATCGTCTAATATTTTGAAAATGGGAAATGACTGCACCACATTACCGCCAAGGTCTGACCACTTATAAATGACCTAAGTTTCCTGATGCCTCTACAGCGTTGTAGCAAATAGATGGCATTGTTTAGTAAAAACAGCTTTTGGAAGATTTCTTTCTCATCTGGCTGGGGGGGTTGCCAGTTTTTCTGCAGCTGACAATGGGTGTGAAACTCATCAGTGGGACTGACAGAGTCAGTGTTTGTTTAGAAACACAGGCTGCAGTACCCCACATTGGCCACAGGGTGTCACTCTTTCTTAATTCTTTCGTGATGCACCTTTGATACATTCATCATGATCTTTACTGAAGTTTTTAGGATTTCAACTAAACTTCTGATATTTGCTGTCTGCTAGTCCCTACATATTACTGAAATTCTCATTGAACATGACTGAAAAAGTTAATCTGTAAATTTAAGGATGTTTAGGTAAAGGTTTTTACTTTTTAACCTTGTCATATTATTAGTTTAATAAATATGAATAATAAGCACACACATTATGAAAAACTCAAAACGTAGAAACAAATATAATTACTCAAAGAAACGTATAATTGATTATGCTCACATGTCACATTCAGAATCAGGGTCTCCTCTGTGGTTGTGTCCCCTGTGAAGCTGATCTTACAGGTGATGTTGGTGCCGTGGTGTTCAGCTGAGGGGTGAAAGGTCAGAGTAGAGCTGTGTCTCTGGGTGAAATCAGTTAGATTCTCAGTGTGGAAACCAGTGATGTTTCCTGTGATGGTAAAGTCCTCCTCTCCTCCTCTTCTCCAACTCCAGGTGATGTTAGGAGGAGATCCAGAGCAGAGACCAGGAGCGGTGCAGGTCAGTGTGGTCTGCTGTCCCTCAGTCAGTGGAGGAACCACCAGAGTGGGTTTCTGCTTTAGACCTGATGAAACATTTCAAACCAACTAGGAGTTCTTTCAAGATGCAATACGATTCTTACAAACTGTCAATTTATGTAAATGCATCTGTCCTACCTGTTAAAGAGAGATTTGTTTTTGCAACTGTATATGTATATTTTTCTCCTGGTCCACGTCCTTCCACTCTGAGCTGATATGATCCAGAATCAGAAGCTATGAGGTTATTGATCCTGATGCTGCAGTTCTTCTTACTGATGTCAGACTCCAACAGAGACACTCGTCCTTCATTCTCTTTGGAGGCAAAGACACCATCAGAATCTCCACATTTAAGAGCTTCACACTTGTACCAAATGATCTTGCTGGAAGTAAAGGCAGATTTGAAGGAACATGGTATCACAGCACAGAGTCCAGCCTCTGCTGTTACAACTCCATCATTTAAAGTGACACAGTATCCATCCTGTTGGCAGTGTTTTCTCATCCCGTTTGGTTGAGCTGTTAATGAAGAAGACAAAGCAGTAGAAAGTTTTTAGACTTTGGGAAGGTATGTATTTATATTTACATCTGGTCAAATAAATAGGTCTTCAGTGATCCTTCAAAAAATTCAAACGTTTGAGAAGACTTAACTGAAATTGGCAAGCTCTTCCAGAGCGTCTGGCTTGCTATGGATAAAGATCTGTCACCAAGAGTTATAATTTTGGTGGTTAGGATCTCCAAAAGAAAGAAAGACCACAAAGTTCTGGCTGGATTATGGGGTACTAGAAGCTCTGTCCAATAAAAGGGGACAAGACCCCAAATGGATTTAAACTTGATCATGTGAACAACTGAAAGCCAATGAAGGGACTTCAAGACCGGTGTAACATGCTCACATTGCCTCGCTCCTGTTAGTAGGCGTGCCGCAGCGTTCTGAATCATCTGAAGATGTAAAACAGAGCTCTGTTCTGAGCCCAAACAAAAGCAGTAGCAGTTGTCTAGTCTACAGGTGACAAACATGAATGACTTGTTTTAACATCCTGTAGCAGGAAGATATGGCTTAACCTTAACTAAAAGTCGTAAGCATCCTTTCCACCCCGTGACAGCTCCGCAAAATGGCCGCGAAACGTACTTTGTGGCAATTAGCTGCCTTTATGGTGGACACTTTACTTCTCACCACCAACAACGTTTTGGATGCATCCCAGAAGTGAAGGAATGCTATCATAACATTTTGATCATATCTTCATGATTCCAAAACACGTCAAACTTCGCAGTTTAGATCGAGCAAGACATGAAAGCTTTGTAAAACAGCCAGAAACTTTCAAAATAAAAGTGGCATCCAAATAAACATACATAGTTTCCTGTGAAGCCCTTATAACTGATAAAAACAGAATAGAAACTAAACCACAGACCTTTATAGATACATGCAGCTGTCTTTTTCCTAGCTTGTTATTGTGTGGACTTCTGAAATCACGCGTGATTTACCGTGATTTTGTGACCTCACAGGATTTGTTGTGTGAATCGCTCCTGAGGGAGCTCGCGAGTAAAACAGCTTTCACATCCGGTGGAAAGGAGGCTTTATTTGCCCAAAAAAAAAAATTATTGACTGTACTACAGCACTAACCTGCTTAGAAATGTTTAAAGAACCGTGAATGAACACACCACGATCTTTCACCACGGACTTGTGCTAAGAGGACAAATCACCCTGAGGCATTTCCATAGCATCAAAGGAAGCACAGTTTTCAAAAGTAACACTTTCTGTTTTACCCCCATTCAGTTCTAAAATGTTTAGGGTTACTGAGGCATTAGTGAAGATTGACATGAGTATCATCGGCAAAACAATGAAACAAAATACCTAAACTGTAAGAAGGGCTTATTTGTGGAGGAATCTGAATGCAAAATGAATGAAAAATTAGAAAAAACTCTTGTAAAAAATATAAAATCAACTGTTCTGTTCTGTTTTGGCAGCAAAACTTTTAGCCAGCAGGTTTTGTCAGTTAAAGAAAGAAAAATTTGGAATAAGAAATAAGAACTTCCACAACTTTTATTTTTTTAAAGTCAATTTAAAATTATGGTTCAAGAAGAACCAGATCTGTGATCATTAAAAGGATGCCCTTCAGCTAAGGTTAGTGTTATGTTAGATTAGGCTTTATTATGTCTTCGTGGTGTTTTATTGTCACTAAAGTCTGCTTTTATGTCTAATATGTGAAGTTGTCATTTTTTGCTTCATTCTTTTCTTGTCTCTATCGTTTTAACCTGCCAGGGACTACAGATTACAATTAGCCTTTGGGCTCACTCTGGTATATTTACATTCTTGATGTTCATGCGTTGTCCCTGTTGAATAAAAAAAAAGACAATAAAAAGACCCAAACAGTACCTGGATCAGCATTGTTGGCTCTCACAGACATTAAAAGAGTTACCCAGATGAGAACAAACATTCTGCTCTGATGACTGAAACCACCTTTAGCCCCTACCTTCACAGGACAAACGTGCCTGCAGCAGGCAAATAAAAGAAAAAGACATAATCCGTCATATTCCATCAAATTTACCATCCAGGATGTTAAAAAACTACTTCTTGTCTCGTACACTCCCTCTTTCCTCACTGATGTCTAAAGTCTTGACTCATTTATCAAGATTTCAGGAAGTGGCTCCTCCTCTGAACATTGTTATTCCCCTAATGAGACTAACCGTTGTTATGCTGTAGATACGCAACCGTTTTATAAGAAATTTTGCTTAATGAGTATTTATAACTAAGTTTCATAAACACAGAAATGTTTAGTGTGTTGTATTTTTGTCACCTGTAAGGTAAAACAGTCTAAAGCGAACTGAACATAGTCGTTAACTGGCTTTTTTGTGATTTTCTATGGGATTTTGTGGCTTTTGTTGCTTCGTTCAGATCCTCTGAATGACACGTCAGAACAGAAATGTATTTTTATTTTCTGACTAATGTCTGCATGCATCAGAATAAAAAGTCTCATTAGGATGAATCTGTGAACAGACGGATACTTAAACAGAAAACCTTCACCCCACCAGAATTTCCTCATTTTGACATGTCGACACCCTTCTGCGTAGCTGTGGTAAATAACCATTGCATGTTGCTGATTTCTGCAAAGAAACAGCATCTTCATTCAGTTTCACTACTGAATATTTCACAAGCTACTGTGTGCTTGTGCGTAGTTATTGGATTTATAAAGAAAGTAGCAGCACGTTCCATATTTATGCGATAAAGTCCTTAACCAATAAGTTTAGTCATGACCACGTCCTCTGGTCTCATACAAAGTCAGTTAAAAGGGTTTCTCTAACCACAAGTAGCTTCTCAAAGATGCTAAATTATTTGAGTTTTATGCAACCCCATTTTTAGGCGCACTTCTGCGGAAGATTAATTGATATTTGGTTTGTTGGCTGATGGAGTTTTAGTGTACTCCAGAGGATCCGTCCATTCCTCTGGAGTCGGGTCGCGGGGTCAGCAGCCTAAACAGAGAGGCACAGACTTCCCTCTCCTCAGCCACTTGGGCCAGCTCCCCAGGGGAATCCCAAGGTGTTACCTGGCCAGCTGAGAGACATAGTCCCTCCAGCGTGTCTTGGGTCTTCTCCCGGTTGGAAGTGCCTGGAAAACCTCACTAGGGAGGCATCCATGAGGCATCCTAACTACATGCCCGAGCCACCTCAACTAGCTCCTCTCGTTGTGGAGGAGCAGCAGATCTACTCTGATACCCTCCCGATCTTCTGACCTCATTTCTTAGCCACCCTGTGGAGAAAACACATTTTGTCAGCTTGTATCAGCAATCTCGTTCTTTCGGTCAGTGCCCACAGCTCGCAACCATAGGCGAGGGTTGGAAACTAGATAGACCGGTAAATTGAGAGCTTTGCCTTCTGGCTCAGCTCTCTTCACCATGACAGATCGGTACAATGCCAGCATCACTGCAGATGCACCAATCTACCTTTTGATCTCACGCTTCATCTTTTCCACACTCCTGAACAAGACCAGGATATTTAAACATCTCCACTAGAAGCAGGACCTCATCCTGTCATGGTCTGCATCTCCCCTCATTTGTCTCCTTGTGTTCTCCATCCCTCTCTAGGTTCTCCTTTTGTGTCTCCTAGTGCCTTCATGTGTCCTTGTCTGCGTCTCTTTTATGTGTCTCTTTGTGTTCCTCTTGTGTCTCCTGTTTTGCAGCCCTCTAGATCATCCTGCCCAGGTCCTGTGTTCCTTCAGTCTCCCCCAGTCACCCCTCTGCAGTTTTTATAGGCTTAGCTTCTCATTTTATCAGTCTCTTTAGTGAGTTTTCTCACAGGTTTTTGTAGTTTCCCTTCCACCTAGAATATTGGTTTATTTGCATGCTCATCTTGTCTTTAAGTTTGCTACTCTTAGGTCATGTTAGTTTCCTCCCTGATTAGTTATTGCTTTCACTTGGATCCTCTCCCACACACCTGCAGCCCATCTGCCTCCCATCATGCCCCATATAACCCTGTCTGTGTCTCATTGTCTTGTCGGTCCATTGTTGTTGTCAGCGTTGTTTTGTGCTCTATGTGAGCTTTTGCGTCTCGTCTCCAGGTTTTGTGCTCTGAGTGAGTTTTTGTTCTCCTGTTGTTCAGGACTTTGGTTTTTGGCTTCCTGCCCTTTTTGGATGTTTTTGTTTTATCATCCTAATAAAAGGATTTACTTTTAAAACGCTCCTGCCTCGTGTCATCTGGGGTAATCTGCATCTTGGGTCATAACCACCTCCTAACCTTCAACGTGACACATCCCTGACCTGGAGAAGGATGAAGTGTCTTATCGGACTTGTGCTTTCACCTATCTTATATACAATGTGGTCATTTTAATGTGTAGTTAAGGGAAGGCGCATTATAAAGTATGCTGACATTTTAGTAGTTGTCTCTGCTTGCTGACCATGTCTGTCATAGCTCTATGGTGAAGGATTTTATAGATTGTGGTCATTTACTAGCCCAGCTTAGAGTCTTCTCACACTAAACCCTCCATCAGGACTTTTGGTGTGACCTTTGACCCAGCTCTCACCCTGGATCTCTGGAACATTGCTAAGCCGAGTCCCTTTCTGAACTTGATTGTTATCCACACCTTCATCTCCTCACACTGCAGCTTTGGTTTTCACTCTTTTGAGCTAAATCCTTTACAGGTGGTTCAGAACGCTCAAGCTTCTGACCAGATTTAAGTACCTCCACATGAATGAATGAATGAATGAATGAATGAATGAATGATCAATTTATTCAGTCAGTCATCTTAAGATAATGTACAATAACATGTCATACAAATAGATACAAATACCATTTATTCACCACACATTCAGCTGGCAGTCAACTTCAGGGTTCATTTTAAGATCCTGGTTCTGGTTTTTAGGGCCTTACATGGACAAGCACCTTCATACGTTGATCTTAGTCCTCACACCCCCAGCAGGTCTCTGAGGTCCAGTGACCCCTGATGTTTTTAACCCCCGAACCTGGAGACTCTGGTCTTCAAAAAAAAAAAGCAACTTGTTCAAGGTGGCTTTGGCATGACCTTTACCACCCTCTTATTCTGCTTTACCTATTCCACCTTTAGGATACCTTCCTTTAAAAGAAAAACAAATTTATGTTTCTCATACAATCTTTTGTTCTTGTGAAGCACCTAATGATTTTTTTTTAATAGACACTAAATAATTCCTACTTTTAAAGTTCTCACAAGTTGGAGAAAGCAGAAGGGTTTCAGAATAAACCACCTTTTATTCATGTACCAGAATTAACACCCAGCTTTCATTTGGCTGGGGAGGGGGAGGCTTGTTCAGGTGGATGCCCACCGTTAGACCAAACTCCTTGCTGGCGTGTTTCTCGCGTACATCAGGCTTCAGCTGGCAAGTCTTCTGATCAAAGCAGTCCAGAGGGGTGAAGGACAGGGGTGTCTCCTCCAGGAGGCCCTCCAGCATATTTGTACGATCTTCAGCAGCTGCTGAAGACGGAGCCCAGAAGATCTGAGTGGCCAGAACCTGGAAGCCGCAGTAGTGCAGGATGCCGTTCTGCAGAGAGAACATCCAAATCATTACTGGTACCAACTCCTTTTTATGCAGCATTTTAAGATAATTTGTTGATTAGGAATGCGCATAAATGAATTAGAGCAACACTTTTTCTACCACTAGAAGTAAACGTGTAAAATTGTTCATATGCACAACAGTTGATAAATAAGAATCCTTGTTTACTGCAGATGGTTCAACCATACCTGGATTGGCCACAGGGTGACGTTCATGTCTCCATTGATGCCAGTTGGGCTGAACATGGATTCGAGAGATCCAGTGGTAAAAGACAGCATAGTCTTCTTGTCCTGCAAGTGAACAACGTAAGACAAGGTCTTCAGAAATGCACTGCAGACCTCATGAATAAGTCACCACCTTGAAGACTCACCTGAGAAGGCAAAGCCATTTGTGAGCACCCTGTCGAGCCAACCCTTCATGATGGCAGGAAGGCCAAACCAGCACATGGGGGAACTAGAAGTATGGGGAAATACAATTATTAAGAGTTTGCATGACAGATGCATATTTTAATGCCACGAACCTGGAAAATGATCAGATCTGACTCACTGATTTTAGCATGCTCCTTGGCGATATCCTCCGACAGTCGTCCTTCTGCAAAGGCAAGTATAGTCTCTTCTGTATCAGACGTGATCTGCATCCTTTAGGTCTCCTGTTAAGACAGAAATGTTAAGGCACAAGATACTGGAATTTAGATAAACCCAGAAAAATGTCAGACCTTTGATGTCATCAGCTGTAGCAGCAGCTTTAAAACTCATGGCATACAGGTCAGAGATCTCTACAGAGCAGCCCTGGGCGGTCAGAGCCTCCACAGCAACATCCTTGGCTGCAGCGCTGAACGAGCCAGAGCTCTGGTGGCCATAAACGATCAAGACCTTTGCTGTAAAGAGGAGAATTTGTACAATTAGTGGTGATGAAACATGGAGCAGAGGCTTTAGAGATGTACTAAGCATTTATAAAAGGGGGGCCTCAATTCATAGTTTCACAGAAAAACCACATGACTGTAAACAAGACAATGCCTCGTTTAGCCTGGGTTGAATGGTCGTATGACTGCTTCAGAATAAAAGCAGCCAAAAGCCACAGTGCTTTGTGGGTTGTTGTAGTTTGGTTGGGGGTGAAAGTTGAGATCCTAAATAAAAGTTTTAAAACATAAAATAATCCAACAAACAGTAGAAACACACAAATTATGAAAACAAATATTTCTTTTTCTTCTTCTTCTGAGGTCAAACAGCTGATCCTCATCTCTAAACTAAAAATGGGAGCTGGTTTCTTTTCATATTAAAGGAAAAAGCTTCCACCATAACACCCGAAACTGAGAGGTTTTTTAATTGAAATTTAAATTTCCTCCTGAAAAATATTCTTAGCGCCGTCTGTGATTTTAACCCAAGAAAGGCTGCTTGATGGAGTCTGCCACTTGCAGCATAATTTCTCACAGAAGAAATGTTCAGCAGAAAAAGATGGTAACCAATCAGCGAGCTTACTTAAATTAGTTTCTAAATATAACTAACATGCATAATAATTATTCTTTATTTCCACAATAAAATAGTACAAACAGAGCAAAATGTTTCAAATGACAGAGCATGAAGAGGCGAAATCCACTCAGGTTCGTCTGAAGCCTCCACCAAAACCAGTGTAGACATATAAGTATATGTAAGTAAATACATTTTATTTATATAGCACTTATCACAGACATAGAATCACAAAGTGCTTCACATAGAACAAAACAAAATAAAACTGTCATAAAATCAGAATGATCTCAAAACAGATTGACATCAGAAAAAAATAAAGTCATAAAATTATAAAATTTCATAAACAGATAAAAGATGATTACAAATTTGACTTAAAAATAAGAAAATAAAAGATTTAGGTGAAAGCAGCTTTAAATAAAAGGGTCTTTAGCTGTTTTTTAAAGGTGTCCAGACTGTCAATGCTGCGTAAGGATAAAGGAAGATCATTCCAAAGTCAGGGTGCAACAGTCAGCGATCACCTCGACTTTTATATCTGGTCTTTGGAACATCTAGAAGGTTCTGGTGGGTGGACCTGAGGGCTCGGTTTGAAGCATAAGTCTTTAACAGTTCAGTAATATAGGGAGGAGCTTGACCATGTAGAGCAATGAAAGTAATACTCAGGATTCTAAAATGAACTCTAAAGTTAACGGGTAACCAGTGCAGAGACATCAGAATAGGAGTGATGTGTACTCTTCTGTTTGCTTCAGTTAGGAGTCTCGCTGCAGAGTTCTGGACCAACTGAAGGCGGTCAAGGGCTTTTTTGTTAAAACATGTGAAGAGTGTGTTACAGTAATCTAGACGGGGGAGATAAAGGCCTGGGTAACCATTTCAAGTTCATGTTTTGACACAAACCTTCACAGTTTGGAGATATAAGTGATAAAACAGTTTCAGATCAATGTTTTAGATTGGCCTTCAAGAGGTATTGATTGGTCAAAATCAACACCCAAATTCCTTAAGTTCGTCTTGACAGCAGAAGACAAATGACCAAGTTTTAGACTAATCAGGGGAACCATGCTCTCAGGGGCAATGATCAGATATGATTGTCACGTTTTGAGGATGTTTAGGACCCAAATATGCAGCAACCCAGGATGACACGAGGAAGGAGATGATGTAAGGTAAAATCCTTTATTTTTGTAGGATGAGCAAAATAAATCCAGGCAGCGAGCCTAAAGTCCAAAACTCCAAAGCAGGAGAAACAAAGCTCACCAAGAGCACGAACAAACGCTGACAGAATACAAACACAATGGACCGACACAAAACAAAGACAAGACAGGGCTTCAATAACAGGGAGGAGTAATTGAGGGAACAGGAAGCAGGTGTGTGGAGTGAGGGCTGGAGGGAAGGCAGGTGACAATAATTACCTAAATGAGGAAACAGAACCAAAGGAGGACAGATAAACCTAAAACTACAAATCCAAACTAAAAGGCTGCGGGAAGGATTAACACACACACACACACAGACATAAATAACTCACACACACATATACTGGGCTGGGGAACAAGAGGCTGGAGCTGCAACTGGAGGGACAGAGGATAACTAAATGAACACCGGACCTGAGGGAATGATAAGGCCTACAAACAGAAGACACAATATAGAGATGCAGACAAAGGACACATGAGGGCGCTATGAGACACAGAAGGCAAACTAGAGAGGATGGAGAAACATCAGGAGACACATAAAGGAGGGGGCAGACGCAGACCATGACAATGATATGAAGAAATGACGAAAACAATATCAATGATTACAAAATATTAAGACAGCATTAAAAGGAAGTCTGGACATTGACTAAATAAAGGAATGAAATGCCGTCCTTTAGTCAAATTAAATGTGAAATGTTTTTATTTTCAGCTGTAGATCACTGGCTTGTCACACAAGAAATGCAATTCCATAAAGCTGTTTATCTGAGTGACAACATGAAAATGTTTTTCTACACATCTTTTCATTTTCAGATAAATCCATTCCCATCATTTGGTTCCACATCTTCCACAGGCAGTCATATGAACTCCTATAAAAAGCAAACCACACAGTTGTAACTCCTCTTGATAATTATTTCCCTCCCTCTTGTGATTTTATTATATAATTACATGAAAAAATCCAGCATACGCTTATTTTTTCACTTAATTCTGGATTCCTGGTATTCTAATAAATGTAAGCAATGAAAAGGAAGCAGAGAGAAGTTCAACCCAGATTAAAAAAAGATTGTTTATCCAATGTTGCACATTATAGAAGTGTGAGACGAGCACTCACAGGTTTTAGGGACGAAACGATTATTTTAACTTTAGATTATGATTAAAAACCTTCAGTAATTCATTCAGTAATAACTATTATATGTTAAAGTCTGATACTTAACTGGTTTGCATTTGTTTGTTTTGATTGATTTCTATTAAAATCTTTTAATTTTCTTCGTGCTGCTCAGTGACCATCCTGTTCTGCCTCATCGGTGTCACTGACGAACGATGACATCATACTCAGGTGACGTGTCCACCTTCTGCAGAGACACGTAAGTTCTGTCGTCTTGGTTTGGTTTCACCTTTTTGTTCTTGTTCCTTCAAATAGATGTGTGAATTACAGAAGCAGTCTTTAAAATGTTCTAATGAGTCATGAATAAATACCTCTGATGGATCTTACCACAGGAGCAACATGCAGATTAGACAGAGAACGTTCACACTGAGTGATGCAGCAGCGACGGCCCAGGGAACACTTTCCTGGCCCTGAGGGAAACTTTCACCGCTGCAGGTCCGATTCAGAGTCTCCCCCTCCTTCACACTGGTCTCCCCATCTACTCTAAGTTTATTTACATCTATTTAAAACAAGAAACAAACAAACAAACAAAGAAAAGTATGACATAGGAAGGTTTTACAGTTTGAAAAAAACCTAGAAACTCATCTTGAGTTTAACACCTGAAGGCTTGAAATAGGATGTTTATAACAATGACTAACAAACAGTTTACTGGTCATAATAGTCCTGTTATTTTATTCTGCAGTTCCATATGAATTTACTCATTGTGACAGGAATAAAATGGCTGTCGCCACCCTTAGCTGCTTCACTAGAGGGCAGTAGAGATGTATGGCAGGTTTAGAGATGACCTGTCCCTATTCTCCATCTGGAGAACTTGTAACAATAATCTATAAAGAAGAAAATTATACTCACAGGTCACATTCAGAGTCACGGTCTCCTCTGTGGTTGTGTCACCTGTGAAGCTGATCTTACAGGTGATGTTGGTGCCGTGGTGTTCAGCTGAGGGGTTAAAGGTCAGAGTGGAGCTGTGTCTCTGGGTGACAGCAGTGATGTCTCTTGTGATGGTAAAGTCCTCCTCTTCTTCTCCTCTCCACCTCCAGGTGATGTTAGGAGGAGATCCAGGGCAGAGACCAGGAGCGGTGCAGGTCAGTGTGGTCTGCTGTCCCTCAGTCAGTGGAGGAACCACCAGAGTGGGTTTCTGCTTTAGAGCTGATGAAACATGGATCATAGGTGGAACTGGGTGAAATTTCTGACTGTTTTTAATTTCAAACATCATTTTCTCAGCATGGGATTACCCTAGAGATCATAATCATAAACATAATGGCTTTCCATACCTCTAACATGAACTGTTGTCCTCGTGTTGTATGTAAATCCAGTTCCCTCCCCATTGAGGTAACCATTAACTCTGAGCTGATATGATCCAGAATCAGACTCCTGGAGGTCGCTGATGATGATGCTGCAGTTCCCATGACGCAATCTGGGCTCCAGCAGGGAGACTCGTCCTCTAAATCCAGACTGAATCTTGTTTTCGTTGCTGGTGTGAAGTATTATATCAGAATCTTCACATTTTATTTTAGATGACTCACATTTGTACCAGACTAGATGTGCAGGAATGAAATCAGAACTGGTAGTGAACGAACATGAGATCTCAACACAGAGTCCTGCCTCTGCGTTTATGTTCTCATAAAAATTAACACAGTAGTCTGACTGACAGTGCCAAGTTCTTCTTACTGATGCTTCTGTTAATAAAAAAGACAAAATAATAGTTAATATTTTTGGAATAACCACACTGGAAAATTTCTGTTTCAGATCAGCTGTTTGTGAGTTTACATAACAGGTATTCAAACATTTAAATAAACATTCTTTGTAAAAAAAAAACATATTTAGTACAAATTAAATGGTAAATGGCCTGTATTTGATATAGCGCCTTCTAGAGTCCTGGAACCCCTCAAGGCGCTTTACAACACAATCAATCATTCACACATTCACACTCTGATCGTGATGAGCTACAATGCAGCCACAGTTGCCCTGGGGCGCACTGACAGAGGTGAGGCTGCCGAACACTGGCGCCACCGGTCCCTCCGACCACCACCAGCAGGCAAGGCGGGTTAAGTGTCTTGCCCGAGGACACAACGACAGCGACAGACTGTGCGGGGCTCGAACCTGCAACCTTCTGATTACAGGGCGAGCACTTAACTCCTGTGCCACCGTTGCCCACAAATTAAAGGTAATCTACTGTAAAATAAAATTAAAGAAACATGTAAAATAGATAAACATGTTTGCCATAAAAACAATAAACATCTGTAGTATTAACAACATGAAAGTTCCCATTATACCTGAGTTAGCAACGATACCTCTCACAGAGAAAAGCAGAGTCGCCCAAATGAGAACAAACATCATGAAATTTCTGTTTCTGCAAGTAAACAAATGTAAAAAAAAATTGAGAGAAAGAAAATTGCAGAAACAAGATCAGTGGAAAGTCCTAATTTGAAAGTATAACTGAGAGCATGTTTCTGGCCCCACACACACCAGGGGGCACACTCTAGACCTTGTTTTTACCCTGAGTCTAAATGCTGACAGTGTTTGTCCTGAGGACGTTTATATTTCAGATCACCATTGCATTTTCTTTAACTTGTCAGTTTCTGCGTCCCCACCTCCTGCTCGCCATATGGTTAGTTCTCGTTTTCTTAATGAGAGCACAGCTAGCAACTTTTCTGCTGCTTTTGAACCACCCTGTTCTTCTGATAACGACCCAGATTCCTTAACTTCTCAGTTTAACGAGCACTGCCTCTCCATTCTGGACAACATCTGTCCTGTCAGAACCAGATCAGTTCCTGCAGTGAACCCTACTCCCTGGTTTACTGACAGCCTTCGCAGCCTGAAGCGCCAATGCAGAAAAATTGAGCGTTTGTGGAAGAAAACCCATCTCCACGTCCATCTGCTGCACCTAAAGGATCTTCTGTCATCCTTTAACTCTGCAGTCAGAGACGCTAGGGTTTCCTATTTCTCCAACCTGGTGTCCCAGAGCAAAGGGAACCCCAAGGTGCTGTTTAACACCATCAGCAGCATCGTCTCTCCTGCCTCTCCTACAGCCTCCATCCACTCTGTTACAGACTGTGAGAACTTCCTGTTTTTCTTTGTGGACAAAGTCAATAAGGTTAGATCTAGCCCAAACCTGGGCCTTTTACGGCCCGCGGGCCACATACGGCCCTTTGGTTGACTTTGACCGGCCCGCGTAAGGTTAATTGGAAATTACAAAATAAATGTATTTTCTCATTTTACCTCATGCATGGGCTAAGGCTGCATTGCTTTTATTTTGAAGTTGTTTTTTACGTGCACAATGACGCAATACGTATAGCAACAAGTGCCCGCAGTTGACATGGTGATTGAAGCCCCCAGAAATGTCCGCTCATGCAAAAAAAAAAAAAAAAGAAAGAAAGATGCCGAATGCAAGATTTTCAACAAAAATTGGACTGCTAAGTATTTTTTTTACTGAAGTCGGATGTAAAGCCGTGTGTTTGGTTTGCAGGGAGGAGATTGCCGTGTTTCAGGACTACAGTTTGAGTCGGCATTACGACAAGAAACACTCGGAAAAATACAAGAACTTGTCTGATGCTGAGAGCGCACGGACGAACATCAGATTTTCTTACAATTCCAGCCGTCAAAATCCAAAAACCTTTTTCATCTGAGGTTTTAATACACATTTACACATGCTGTTCAAACGAATTTTGCCTCTGGACGATATCTTTAAATGAGTGAGTGAACCCACTACCAAGGATGGACTCTGCTAACTTTAAAAATCAGCTGCTCTAAATAAGCATGAAGGTCAGAGAGGAGCTCTAGGATGGACATGGATAAAGGAACTGTAATGTAGAGGTAAAGTAGGGCAGGGCCAACGTTAGCAGCTGTCATACGGTCCATCTGAAACGTTTGACTTTCATTTGTTATGTGACAAGTTAGAGCACAGTCTCATGTTAGAGATTTGTCATGAGAACATTGAGATACCTCACATGCTGATGGCATCTAAAAATTAACTTTTTTCTTTTTTCAAAATAAAGAATAATTTTAATCACAATTGAAACGTACAATCCTGGAAAAACCTCGTCCAATCAATGTGCACGTCCTGTTCTCACTGATTGGATAGAAATCCTTCCATCAAACTGTGTGTGTGTGTCTGTGTGTGTGTGTGTGTGTGTGCGCATATGAGCGTGTTGTGAACTGGTGTTGTGGTTTTGCACTGATGTAACCATCTTTACTCTGACAAAAATGTAACTAAGTAACTTTTATTTTGAGTACATTTTATTTATGATACTTTTTACTTTTACTTGAGTAAAAATGTAGGCAAGTACTTTTACTTGTACTTGAGTAAAAAAATTATCAAAGTACTGGTACTCGTACTTAGTAAGAAATGTTAGTACTCTTTCCACCTCTGGTTAGGAACTGGGTCATTTTGGCTATTTTATTTTGTTACGGTGATTTTAAATAAGTTAACATGTTTTATTTTTTTTTTCACAACAAACAGCTTCACAACATTCTGACCACGAGTGAAAAAGGGGTTTTTGAGTTTTCATTCATATTCTTTGAGAAACGACCAAAAACATCCCTAAATCCACCAGGGTTTGTAACCTTAGTGGTACAACTGTAAAAATTACTTGATCTGACTAATAAAGAGAGCACATAGGACTGTAGGACGTCCAGACCAACCTCTGGACTTTATATAAGCTGCACGCATCTACAAAAAGTGTGATTTCTTCTCCTCTTGTGTCCCCAAAACCAAAAGTTATTGTATATTTTGCAATGTAGGTTGCTTCAGGTCTCTTGCATCATTTAATGATCAGAGGTAAAACAAAAGCTATGAGTAGTTTAATGTGTGGTAAGTTGTTGTAATCTTCAATTAAGTAAGTAAAACAGGTTTTTTTTACCTCCTTTGTCCGGTACCTCCTCCTCCTCCTCCTCCACCAGTGTTGCCAGAAGTCTGTCATCATTAATTTTCTTCCTATTTTACGCATCAAGATTTCAGGAAGTTTGTGGCTCCTCCTCTAAACAGTAATGATTCTCTAAACGGGCTGACTGTTTTGATGGTGTGGAGATACGTGACCCAAGCCCCCGCCCGTCAGCTCTTGGCTGGAGGACAAAAAGACCACCGTCCCTCGTTTACCATTTGCCCAACATTTTAACTCGTCATTAAAATCTGCAGACATGTTTGACTTTGCGAAATGTGTCAAAGGTTTAATGCAGACTTAGTTCAGTTTGATGCTAAACCAAGTGAAGCCAACTCATCCAATATCTCACACAACCACATTTATGGCTTCAGACTTTCTACGAAACACTTTTGTCCTCTGCAGCTCAAACGAAAAAGATAAAGTATCATATTTAGAATAAAAGGAAATGTGCAGTTTAAGGAAATGGAGCCCACCTCCCTGTGATTTGCAGCAAATATAATGGAATGTCATGCAGACTGGATAAAAGTGGACACATGGCATCCAAGAGAGGCAAGGTCATCACAACATCGCATAAGTGCAGATCAGTTACAATAGGTGTTGGATCAAGACTTTTTCTTTTCAAGATGCAACAGTTGTTTGGAACCGTTCAAAACAGGTTCTGCATATTCATAATTAAAGAGCAAGTCACCCCCAAATCAACTTTTTTTTCTGATAAACTATATAAATGTGTGTCTAATCATGCTGCAGACACGTGTAGTCAATAGTTTTGCACTTTAGTGCATTTTAGTTAAAATTTTAACTCTGCACTGCATTTGAATTTAAATCTGCCATCGCTATTGGCTAAGAGGTACCCTAATGTTAGCTGGTACCAAATGATGTCACAGTATCGTTGTGAGCCTGTGTGTGTGTGTGTATATTTGTTAGCGGCTCAGCCCTCTTGGTCTGCTAGGCAATAGCATTTGTTGCATTTTTCAAACAGGAAGTGGGAGTTGAGTAAGAATCTGGTAGGGGGTGACTTGCTCTTTAACTATTAAAAGCTTGCAGCTGTAAACTCCTCTTGTAGTTACAATAATAATGTTCTGATTGGAATTAAAAAGGTTCTGTCTTATAGGGATTATAAAGATAATTGTTGAGTTCAGTTACAAGGAAGTCATTTACCCACCACTGGCTCTGATACTTTCCTGGTTGTCTCATATTCAGACAAGAATCAGCTACATGAGCCACATTGCCTCTTTTGCCATTTCTATAGTGTTGTTTCTGGGTTTTACTTTACAAACACACTAAATCCAAACCTAAAGGTGTCTGTGGCACAGGAAGTTTCCCTTTGTGATCACGCAGACATTTTCTCCACTTTTTAAACAAGTTTCTGTTTAGTTACAACTAACTAAAACCCTCAATAGTGATTTTACAGATTTTTTTGCAAAGACACATTTAAGATAATTTCGACTATGTCCATTTTAATAAAAATCAGACAGAAGATAAAACATTTTTTTATGCTTATACCATTTTATTAAAAAATGGAACAACTTATAAGACTCATAACTACTGAGGTGAAAGTAAATCATTTTAAATAGCACCTAATAATGCATTACATGCATGAAGAAGTGATGTCATAGGTGTAGCGGTGGATGAGAAAATTACTACATTTGTTTTACTTGTTCATTTATATGCTTTTTTACATTTGTGTTCATGCATTTGGCAGATGCTATTTTATCCAACATAATCTAGAAAGGAGGATGTAGCAATGTCGTCACTGTCAAAGCTAGCTACTAAGGAGGAAGAATGCTATTTATGCACTGAGAGGTGTTAGGGTAGAATTAGAAGTGAGTGGGTGTCGTGGCGTGGCTGCATGACTGGGGAGGCACCGACTCCTCTGGGGTCACGTGTATAACCCAAACCCAATACAAAACCAAAAATATGACTTCATAATTTCTATTTGATTTTTGAACAAAACATTTTATTGTTTTAAAACATCTCAGTTATGTTTTCATCAGTTCCATATTGTTCAATACTACAGCAAGAAAATAAAAAGTAAGTTTAAGATCATGTTTTATCTGACTTGTTAAAAATATACTCATCAACATTTTAGCAGAACGTTTTTAATTTACAACCCCTACAATTAATTACACAATCATGCTAATCACACTTAATTAAATGTGTGTATGAAGTTGATGCACCTAAACTATCTCAGTCACGCTGTTGTAAAAATCAACCTCAAATATTTCTTGCTGAAAATAATGTTTAGATAAATCCTTCCGTTTTGAACCACGATCAAACAAATTTAAATGAGTTCACTCTCACAGACCTGCCGGCGCTACACCCCTGCCCTGTGCTTAATGGCTATTTACACTTTGGTGGGCTTGGCCTGAGTCTGTTGTGTCATTCGTACGTGCCACAAGTCATTAAACAACAGCAGGTGTGAGCACAGTCAGTTAAGACAAGAGAAGATGGTTAAAAACAACTGATGATGTCGAGGTACTTGTGGCTCTTTTTGAGGAAAAACTTGCACAACATGCAAGAAGGTGTCACCAGGCAAGGCATACGGCCCAGAAGAGCGCCATCATCCTCCAGAAAGTCATTCGGCAGCATGAAAAAACTTTACAGCAGCCACAAAGCAGACAACTCATCAAGATAAGCGCTTGTTACTCACTTTGCATGCACACCACCAAGTCAATAACAGGCTTGCACGACGGAGGCATGAGAGTGATACAACTTAAGCCAGCCAGTGAGTCCATGGGTGGGTGTGTAGGGTCGACTCAGCATGGAAAGAACCACATGAAAGCAAGGCCAAAAAATGTGTTCGGCTCTACCGACGCCAGTGTAGATGTGCTGACCCTAGAGAGGCCAGACCAAGCTAACCATGAGAGAGAAGAAAGCATGCACCTGAGTTTTTATGGGGTGCAGAACTGCCACATATCAGTGCAGCTAAGAACCTGCTTTGCATTTTCATATTCATAAATGATCAGAAATTCATTAATTTGGCACACACATTCATTACATGAGTTAGACAGACTATGGAATGCCAGCATGTGTAGTTAAATCAAACATGTACAGGAAAAGAGTCTAGATTGTCTTGGGCGTGGTGTCAGCACTGTCGACGAGTCATGACAGAAGCCTTTAAATTAACATTCAAGTAGATGGAAGGTGGTTCTCCTTAGCATGCTGCAGGTCATTGACTTGAATTTGGTGCAGGCATCTAAGAGTATCTAATGGAGCTCGAAGCTCGAGACTTCAAAGGTCACGGTTTGTTTTTGCAATCCGCCATTAAACAAAAAGAAGAAAATCACGTTTGATATCGTTGTTTGATGTCATAATGAGGTTGTTCCTCTACGCTGCCTTGGTTGAAGCCATGAAAAACACACCGCTGCACGTCTGGAACGATACTGGGAGTAACTGTGCCGTTGAGTCACACGTAAGCTGCATATATATGAAATTGCATCGCTGCTGTATTTTATTTTGAAAATTGATGGGGATTTTACACTGAAACCGTGTGTGATTTCCTGCAGAAATTGACGTACATAGATCCTGATTCTATCTGTAGTGGTGTGGCGGCTGCTTCTGGAACGCACCTGAAAATTGTTGTGTCACGGCTGGTTTAAAACCCAAAATAGACCATAATAAACTATTTGAAGCAGCGGCGCTGCCAGGAGCTGGGTGGTGAGTTCAGTTAGGTACAGCCTATCAGTTATATTAGGCAAAACAAAGTGATATGAACAAGCGACCGTGATCTTCATAGGCCAGCTGTTCATCGACACCCAAGTTTCTAGCTACCAGATTAAACTTTTGGATAATTGTCTACTAAGAGCTGAGAGCTTCCTCTTTACTGTAACCCTGATCTTGAGCAACATCCTTGTTCCTCTTTCATAAAGTCAGACAGTTTACTGATGTGGGAAAATACTTATTTAGGCACATTTTCTTTTCATCATGTATCTAATTAGACATGAGTGTTACTGGTGACCTGTCCAGGTTGTAACCTGCCTGTTGTCCAGTGGAGGTAGACAGCTACCCATGGTACTGAAGTGAGCTCTGAGTGAAATACTTTCTCCCAACAATCAAGTAAAACATCAAAAACCCACTGCTTCCACTTCGTGTTCTTTTTTTCTTTTATTTGCACTTGCATGGAACAGAAATGAGATGAAACCGACTCAAAACAAAACAGCGAGCAGAGAAACGGCAAAACAAACTAAAGGAAAACCCTGACTTGAACAATTTTGTCAATCATAACTTGGGTGAAATAAAAAAATATTATATCAGTTATTATGTTTACCACAAAAGAAATGGACATACAACTTAATGACAAACCTTGACAAAATATTAGACATATTTGATAACTGTGCAAAAAAATACATTTACAAAAATAAAAGGAGATATAAGAATTCAGGCCAGCATTTCTGGAACCTCAAAATTATTCGGCGAACTGAACACTGTCTTAATAAAATGATAAAGCAACATTAAAAAAGGATTAGACTGTCTTCATACACATCCACAGATAGCTCCAATTTGTTTACATCTGAAGGACGTACCCTCGATAGCATTTATATTCTGTACCAAAGCAAAATGGGGATGTTTTTTAAAGTACAGTTGTGCATTATGATGCAGCTTGACAACACACAGTTTTAGCAAACAAACAGTACACTGTCTAAAATTGCAACATAAAATGGCTGCAGCAGTGGTTGCACAGGTTGCATAAGTTGCAGCTGTGTTTTCAGCAGCTATGACTAAAGGATGTCTCAGCAGCAGAGTAGTGTTATGAATTTGAGCACATAGACAGTTGGATGCAAAAGGAAAACACAAAAGATTTTTCCTATCAGGAAGCAGGAATGTGCTTTTTGTAGCAGAAAATGCAAACTTCAGTATAATGGATGTATATCTTGGAGCTTGCACCAATGATACTTTACATTTTCTCTATAGAACAATAATTAAACTCAGTTTCAGGAGGCTGTTTGCTTCTGCTTAGCGTTTAATAGATTTGAAAGTAGAGCCTAAAAATGATTCCTACACATTTATTAAGACAGTGTTCATCCATAGAGGCGAGTGAGATATGTGGCAAGACTGTCTTTAATTTGTTACACTGCCCTTTTATCATATTTCAATAATTAAACACTCAAAACACTCATGCATTGTTTTCTACACAGACTGCCCTCTCCATTCATATAAATATACATCAAATTACTTCATTTTAATATGACGCCATCATTATCAAATTAGACTATTAGTAGGCTTTAATATTACATCAAAGGTATTTAAATAGCACAACAAGTAGCATCGCCTTTTGTGACAAATGTCTTGGCACAACCCTCAGTGACAAGAAGCTCAAACTTGCTAAAGACCCCAGTAGCTCAGTAGATGCTGAACGTTCGGCACAATTTACACACAAACGCACGCGCACACATACATCCAAACACACACATTGTCTAAAAGAGAAAAGACTTTGGCCAGTCCAACTTATGTTGTGCTTTAAGTCTGTATTTTCTAAATTCATCACATTTAATGAGCATGGGAGGAAATCTGTGTTTTTACAAAGAAAATACACATTTTGAATGCTAATTTCTATGAAAATGTTGGGGGAGGAACCATTCTCTGTTGTTCGAAAGTGTGTCACACAAGTGTAGAAGAGCTTATCATTACCATTTATTTTCAGAGGCTAAAAATGTGGCGACAGGAGGCAGAGTTGAGTTTCCAACTCTTGCTTCTGTCATTTATCCAACAGGGTTTGAATGAAGCCAACTGGACTTCTTCGGTTTCTTGAAGACGTTTCGCTTCTCATCCGAGGAGCTTTGTCAGTTCTGACTAGAATATGAGAGGGTCAAGTTTATAAACTGTAGCTGTCTGTTGTTTCTGAACTCCTTTACTGCCATTGACAACTAACGAGGTGGGCTTGGGAACGAGCTCGCATACCTTGAAGTAAACATCACGGCTCAAAAGTTGATTCTCCTCCGTGTGTGTCACATGTCATGTGATCATGAAGCAGACAATCCATGAATTAGGAGACCGCTTTGGGACGCTGCTATGCCTAAGGCGGGGTGCAAACCGGAAAAAGCTTCTGCAGTTCACATTTTGACAGCAGATTGTATGAAAACGGAAAAAGCTAGAAATAGTCCTGGTGTAAGACGTGAGTCTACTCTTTCTTTTGGTGGTTTGGCTATTTACATGGTCACATATGTTCTGTGACTGGCAGACTGTGACTGTGTTCTGGCAGTCAGAGGCTTTCTATTCAGAAAATGGCTGGCAGTGAATTAATTAACGAGCTGAAACTACATATGAACACCCCCCTCTCTACACCTGAGGAGTTGTTGGAATTCTTTTGTGTGGGGACAGTTGTTTTGATTAGACAGGAGGGTTTGACCTAAACTGAAACTGTTTTGGAATTAAGGTCAGAGCTGCATTATAGGTGCTGGAAAGGTGAAACCCGAGGTGTCCTCCTCAGTTAAATGTAGGTTTTTCCAGTTTGACCTACTGTAAATAGCGTCCGTTACTCCTCTCTCAAACCACCTATATTCTCTGTCAATAATGTGTACTTTGTCATCTTCAAAAGTGTGTCCCTTGCTCTTCAGGTGTAAGTGGACTGCAGAGTCTTGGCCTGAAGAGGTGGCTCTCCTGTGTTGTGCCAAACCAAAGAAGTCCAGTTGTCTTCATCTGAACCTGGATGACTGATAACCTTCACCAGCATTCTGTCATTTATGTTTTTGGGTTATAATAAAGCAAAACAAGAGAGGAGAAGGTTCCTTCTCTTTTGATAAATGCATTTATAAAGGGAAGGGAACAAGAACACTGTTTCTCCTTGCCCTGACGCTTCGACTGGCAGCAGATACAATGACAGTTGTCAGACAGATGAGAGGTGAACAATTGCACAAATAAAGCAACACTACATGATGCAGGGACAGTGTACAACAACTGAGGCTTGATATTAAAATATTTATATATATATATGTATATATATTGTCCTGTAGGTCTTGCTCAAATCCAGAAAACTGCCAAAGTTTCCAAATGGTGGCATCTCTTGGAGAAAGGGCAGCTGGGGGGGGATACCTGGAAATTACAAGTAATGAAACGAGAAGTCCTCGTTTATCCAGTGAAGAAGGTGAAGGTGTTAATGCAGTTTATGGTTCGGAAGGGGTGTGAAATTCTGGGCTGCCACTGCATCTCGCAAAGCCGAGGGATCAGGGAAGGATTGCGATTCATTTGGCTTTAATTTCTGAGTAGTTGCTGCCGTCATCCCCCCTCCCTGAGGCCCCCTCCCTGGGTCTGCCACCAATGAACTCCAAGGCTGCGTAGTTCAGCTCTCGCCTCTCCAGCCCTGCCATAGAGCCCACAGGTTGATAATCCCCTTCTTCTCCCTGCCGAGAGACAAAAACCATTCAGCGCCACAAAATCGTGGTCAAGTTGCTGGTAAAAAAGCAGAGTAGGCGCCGCGAACAATAAAAGGGGTTAGTCGTTACTGTTTGACATACTGACGAAGAGGATTGAGATGTTGTCTGTTAGTTTGGCAGTTTGTGCTAGCGATGAGGAAGCCATGCGGAAAGCAGATTCAGAAACAAACGGCAGTAAACAGAAGAGAAGCTGATATGCGAGGAGATGCATCTGTCACTGAGGCTTGTGTTTGGGAACCTTACCGTAGTCTCCTCTAGAATGGAGTTAAACTTTGAGCCCAACAGCTCTGTCTTAAGCTGTGCAAGAGTTAGGGGAGAGAAGAAACAGACAGAAAAACGCAGAGAAGCGATGAAAGCAAGAGAAAAACAGTGTTTCTGAAAGGTCATTGTTGGAGTTATTAGACTGCTAGTGGGAGATTGCTTTATGACCTCATTCCAGAGGATAAAATGGGCTCTCATACTGTCATTGCACAAATATGTTAACGCCAAACATTCTGAGAATGGTCGTCCAACCCCTCGATATTCATAACCATCATTATTGACATCATCATGTCTCACCACTTTCTTCCTCAGATTTTGTTTGTCCTTCTTGACTGCGCTGTAGTACAAAGCTGGGTTCTCCAGGACCACATCCTGCCTAGGGTTGCCATTCTCTCTGGGGGACGGAGTCACATAATCAGACTCGGTCTCGACTGCCACTAACGCAGGGCGACACGCCAAGCCTGGGCATCCATTTTAAAACGAGCTCTGTAAGGTTATGCCGGAGGCTACTATTGGCTGTGAGTGACGTGGTTATTTCATGGGTTTAGTCGCTGAGATCACACCTGTTTCAGGTATGACTCACAAGAGGAAGCTTGCAAATTTGAGGGTACAATAATGAATTGAGGCTAAATTAAAAGCACCTTGGTTAAAAGGGCTACTTGGGTTGTATTTAGCACAGCAGGTCAAGGATACAGAAGCAGTGTCAGAGCAGGGATTTCATGCCTGCAAAGTATAAGGTTAGTCCAGCATGCTAACCCACTAAATTAAGCAGCCAATGTGGATTCCCTAAGATTTCAGATGGGCCGTATTGTCGCAAACAAACTGAAGTTGCTCCAGAAAAACGATTCCCGAGTCCACATTAATGCCACATTCACTCAAATATAATGTGCACATATGAGTTTTAGAATGGATGACTAGGCTTAAGTGTTTCCTTGGATTTCAGAAAATGCTTTGTGAGTAAAAGTATGACTACTGTCTCACATTGGCCTCTCTATTAGTTTGTTGTTCATACTCACTTCTTGTTATTATGGCCAACGTATCTCACTGCAGCAATGATGAAGGCAATGACTGCTACACCTCCAATGGTACCAACAATAACGGCCATCATGTACTTCTCTGGAAACAAAAGAGAGCATTTCCATTATTGGACAACACTTTGGAAATATGGGCAACTAGCATGCATACACTGGGTGTACATGTGCTATTAGAGGGTACTTTGGGAGTGTGTGGGTTAGGGCTAGAGTTTGGGTTGGATTTTGGGAGTTTTATGTAGATCTGTTGGCCTAAAGAAGGTGAAACAGTAATAGCTTCCAGCAGAGATTCTTGGGTAATGATCCTCAAACTGGTAATGGTGGGTGGCCAACTTTGGGTTGGAAATCCTTCTATGCTTCAAGTGGAGGAGCTTAGGTATGTTGGTGTCTTGTTCTCAAGAGTGAGTAGAATGGTTTGGGAGATGTATATGAGAGAAAAGCATCCTCAGATTTGAACAGTGTTTGCTAGGATTCCAACCTTGTACACATTTGACATGGTGTATGGAAATGAAAGGCAAAGCTGTCAATTTACCAATTGATGGAAAGGAATAATTCACAAATACAAGCGTCTGAAATTAGCTTCCTCTGCAGAGTGGCTGGACTCACCTTCAGGAAAAGGGTGAAGGGCTTAGCTTAAAAAGAGCTGCTGCACTCAACCTTGGGGTGTCCCCCAGGGTTCCGTTTTGGGACCCCTGCTTTTCTCAATCTACATACTACGTCTAGGCATCTTTCTCAAAAAATGTGCATCACATTTATGCAGACGACTGTCAAATCTACTTCTATGTCAACTCAAACTCTTCTACGGTCTGTGTTTAGGATTGTTTTTTAGTTATTAAAACATTTTTTTCTCTAATTTCCGTCATCTAAATGAAGACCAAACTGATGCTATTCTCTTTTCACCTAAACCAACACTTGGACCTGTCCTCACTTCCACTCAGCTCAAGCCTTACGTCAGCAGCCTGGGGGTTAAAACTGGATTTAGACCTCTCCATGTTGCCTCAAATAAACCCCACTCTCAAACCTTGTTTCTTCCAATGGCATCGCATAGTCTGTCGACTCAATATTTACTGAATTTTTGACACATGAAAAGAGGGGAAAAGGCACAGTCATCATGCAAATAAACAGTAGATTTGTATGTTTGACTCCAACCCATCCATTCATTTTTTTCCGCGTATTCGGGGTCGGGTTGCAGGGGCAGTAGCTTAAGCAGAGAGGTCCAGACTTCCCTCTCCTTAACCATTTGGGCCAGCTCCTCTGGGGGAATCCCAAGGTGTTCCCTGGGCAATCGAGAGACATAGTTCCTCCAGCGTGTCCTGGGTCATCCTTTAGGTCTCCTCCCGGTTGGACATGTCTGGAAAACCTCACCAGGGAGGCGTCCAGGAGGCAGTCTAACCAGATGCCAGAGCTACCTCGACTGGCTCTTTTCAATGTGGAGGAGCAGCAGATCTACTCCGATCCATTCCCAAATGACCGAGCTTCTCACCTCATCTCTAAGGGAGAGCCCAGACATACCTGGAGAAAACTCATTTTGGCCGCTTGTATCCACAATTGCTTTCTTTCAGTCACTACCAATAAGCTTGTGAAAATAAGTGAGTGTTAGAACGCAGATCGACTGGTAAATCGAGAGCTTGGATCCATTATAAAGCAATTTTTAGCAAATTGTTTTGAAATTCCTCATTTTAGAATATGACAAATATGTAAAATAATGAGGTGATTAAATAGGTGATCAAGTTACGAAAAGTGTCCTGTCAATAAATCGGATACACCATCAGACACACAGACTGTCTTTACCTATTTATAGAGCACTTTTATCAAAGCACTGGGAACATTCCCTTGGTTTGGATTCAACTGACATAAAGAGGCATTTCAAAATCTCTTTTACTTTTGGTGATTAATGCACATCCGTTGTAGTGCTTGGTACAATAATGGTGGATCATTGTCTGACAAAAGAACCTCGTCCTCTTTTAACGATGCAGATTGAATAAAGCATGATCCAGAAACTCACAGCAGATGGTGGAGTTTAATTTAAATGAAGTTATTACTGCTGGTATGAGTGAACGTTTCTGAACCAGGGCAAAATACTGCTTTGGTTGGAGTCTGTTGTAGATCAATGCAAGTGTAGTTTACTGGAGAAGAGCAGAATATGTGGATTTAATTACAGATCCAGAGTTTATTTTAATGAGGAACTGATGAACTGCAGCAGAGTTTTAATGGCTTTTAGACATCAATAAACCTCAATAGTATAGAGCTGTAATCTGCACTCAACAGAGACTTATTTAGGTACACCTTGTACCAGGTTGGTTTCCCCGTTTTATTCATAAATGCACTGATTCTTAATTTTGTGGATTCAACAAGGAAACGTTCCACAGAGGTTCTGGTCCATACTGATCTGAGACCAACACACAGTTACAGTGATCCCTCGTTTATCGCGGTAGATGCGTTCCAGACCTGGCTGCGATAGGTGAAAATCCGCGAAGTAGGGACACCATATTTACAGTATTTATTTAACAGTATTCAGACTTTTAAAACCCTCCCTTTACATAGAAAAAAATGTTTACTTGTTTTTTTTATAGTTTTATTACAAAAAGTGCATTTTATGATGAAATTGATGAAAAAAACAGGAATTTCTTGACATTTCGCGTAGAAAAATATCGCGAATCGGTGAAAAGTACCGCAAATCGGCGAATTTCCCTTGAATAAGGCTCCAAAGAAAAAATCTGCAAAGTTGTGAATCCGCGATAAACGAACCGCGAAGTAGCGAGGGATCACTGTACATCAGTAATGGAAATCCCCCATCCCACCACATCCCAAAGGTCAGTACTGAGATCTAGTAACTGTGGAGGCTGCAGGAGTCCAACGAACTCAACATTATGTTCAAGAAACCAGTTAGACATGATCTGAGCTGTGTGCATTAGACTGCTGGGAGCAGCCATTAGAAGATGGGTCTACTGTGGTTGTAAAGAGATGGACGTAGTCAGCAACATGACTCAGGTAGGCTGTGGTGTTTGAACCAGACTTAACTGGAAGCCAGGAGTCCAAAAGGGACCAAGATGTCCCCCACACCATTGATGCAAGGCAGGATGGAGCCACACTTTTATGTTGGCGACACCAAATTCTGACCTGACCATATAAGTGTTGCAGCTGGAATTCTGACTCATCAGCCCAGGAAACATTTGTCCAGTCTCTTAAGAATAAGAATAACAATACCTTTATTTGTCCCTCAGTGGGGAAATTGCATATAGTCCAATAGTCTTATGGTCCAGTTCTGGTGATCCAGCTTTCAGGAGAGTGCCTGGTCTGCTCTTCTGGATTGGTTCAGAGATGCTTCTCTGCAGAACCTAGTTCCTGTTCTGTCTGAACCCAGTGGTCATTAGAGCTACTGTTGGCTTTCTATCACCCAGAAACTAGTTTTCCTTCCACTTCTGACATTGCCATTCACACAACCGCTGCTCAGTGGTGATTTTCTCTTTTTTAGATCATTCCTGAAAACCCAAGAAAATATCTTTTTGGGGGGAAAGGTGTTCCAATACTGAGCAAACCACGTTTGTCTACTAGTCACATTTTCTCTCATAAGTGTAAAAATAACAACAGCTCAGGATTAAAGTTGTCTGAGTGGAGGTGCAGTTGGTAGCACTGTTCTCCAGGTGTTCTCCTGATGAGCTGGCTCTCTCCGGGTTCTTCCACAAGCCAAAAGCACATTAGACTGAATCCTAAGTTGCGAGTCACTTTAAACCAAAGATGTAAAGCATGTTTTAACAGGTCAAAGTTATAAAGTTATGACTTCTGCCCTCCTATCCTATCCTGTAGATAGAAATATGTGAAGCTGAAGAGCTCCATCTCTGATAAGAGTCAACTCTAATAGAAAACATCATTATAGCCTCCAGGCTTCAACGGGACAGTCTATCAAGGTTTCTGAGTTAGTGGTCACTTAAAGCACCACAACATGTACATTATCATAAAAATGTTTGTTTAAATATGGCGTTGCTTTGTACTTACTTTCTTGCTGTAGCTCCAAAAGGATGCTCTCTCTTCCATAGATGTTGTGCATGCTGCAGTGGACGTTCACAGCCGGTCCGCCGTTGTCAGCCCGCTCACCTTTCTCTCTCAGCTTGATCATCGCCGTGGATGTGTGGCCGTCTGTGTGCGTGTAGAAGTTGTATCGGCCGTCAGTTTCATTGATGGTGACGTTCAGGTCTGGCAGGTAGAACTCGATGATGGGTTCAGGGTTTCCTGTGGCTATGCAGACGCACTGGACCCCCTCCCTCACCACTGTGCACTTTGACTCCTCCAGAAGGACTGGGGCATCTGAGGAAACAGGAAGAACAGCAAATTGTGATGGAAAGAAACAGCAAATGAAATATAAGATTGTGCATCCTGATGAATTTTTACTGCCCTGGACATGGATGCAATTTTCACTTTAGAGGTGGAGGGGACACGGGGTGGGGGTGGGGGGGGGTGGGGGGGGCTATCTTTACAGTATGTTTAATGGGAAACGGACTTTAACACAAACGGTTGTTTTCCACTTGGTCCAAGAGCTCAACCAGTGTCAATTTAACATAGCCTAATATTGTTTTTGGATGGTAAAAAGTGCAGGGGTCATAACTTGACTTTGGAAAAAGTGGGGGGGACATGTTCCCCCCCCCCCCCCCCCCCACACACACACACACACACACACAAATTACGTCCATGGCGCTGGAACATTGCTACAAAGTAACAATCAGTAGCACAGATTCTGTTAATTTCACTGCAAACTCTCTCTTTTCTGGGTTCTTTAATTATTGTTGCAGATTAGCGAGTCGCTCACACTCAACGGTGATGTTGAGGGAGCTGCTGGCGCGTCCGTGCTCGTTCTCAGCCAAGCAGCGGTACTGTCCATCTTCATGCGGTGTGATTTCCACTATCTGCAGCACTGACAGCTCATCAGCTGTGATGGTGCCCACCAGCTCCCCATCCTTCAGCCAGGTGAGGGTTGGGGCCGGACTCCCTTGGGTGCTGCAGTGCAGAGCCAATGAGGTGCCCTCTAGAACTGTCATGGAGTCGTTTACCACCGGTTCGTGGGGAGGGTCTGCAACGAAAGATGCAAAACTCAGCCCAGCGCAATATTTTCTACCACATTTTAGGAAAACTATTTATTTTACCTTCTCGGATCATTTTGTTACCAAGGTAAATCGGTTTCTTCTTCACTGACGTTTTAAATGCAAACTTATTTTAGTGTTTTGCACAAATGTTCCTGAACTCATTTATCTTCTTTTTTTATCAAAACAGCAACAACAAAAAGTGACAAATAACTTGCAGAATAATATACCTCTAGGTTTGTGTTTTAGTGGAAAATCCAACCTTCAGTAGAATTTGAACTTGAGGGAAAAATGAATTCTTTCTTGGAGTTTGTTTGTAAAACTCTTTTTTTTTGTTTAAATTAGTGCAGTTTTTGATCTCTTTATTTTGATAAAAGGATTCAGTATCAATTCTAAAATAACAATATTGCATTGCTGTAGTCAGATTTCGATGCTGTAATCCGACCGTTTATATAACTACTTAGAAAAACATTTTTTAATCATTTAATTGTAATCTGATACAACCCTGAGATCGAATGAAACTGAATTTTAACATAACTAAAAACAACTCAGACAATGTCGGACGCATTTCTGTTTTCGTCCAGTTATTTTTCTATACTATGACCGCTATATAACGCTATATATTGGGCCATTCCCACCTGTACCGGGTCGGCCCGGGCCGGGTAGCGTAGGTTGTTTACATATCTGGGTGGCCTGGTATTTTTCCGGGCCAACCAAGGCTCATTCTCAGCCCTCTTCTCGAGGGGGTCTGCTTCAGGCCGACCAGGGCCAACACACCCACTGCTGACAGCAAATTCACACCTTCCATTAGAGCAAGCCTCTGATTGGTGGGTAGAATCAGCCCACATGGGCTTAAGGCAAGGATGTGTGGAATCAACCGGGCCAGGCTGGGGCCGACTGGGGCTACCCGGCCCGGGCCGACCCGGTACAGATGGGAATGGCCCATAAATAAACTTGAATTGAATTGAATTATTTTGCTGTTCCTAGATCGCCCCCTTGTGGATATTCAGGAAATTAATTTGAACATTATAGACCAGAAAACAGTTGATACGGTTCATTTAAAAGGAAACTGCTGAGACCTCAAAGACAAACCAGCACTTATTTTACTTTATTATAAATATAAAAAGAAGGTTTTAATTTTTCTTGGACTTTAGTTTATTTCTCTCCTCATCTCACTCACACTTGACAGCCAGATACATAGAGGTGTTCATGATGCCGTAGCCGTTGTCTCCAACACAGGTGTAAATCCCCTCGTTTGCAGGAGTGACATCATCCAGGGAGAGGGAGATGTTGGACGCCGTGTCCCACAGAAGCTCCTCTTCTCCAAACATCCAGGAGATCCTGGGGGGAGGGTTGCTGTCCACCTCGCAGTGCAGCGTCACAGAGCTACCCTCCATCACCTCAGAGGAAACGTTGACCCACACTGATCGAGGAGGGTCTGAGAAGTTACACAACATTGCTCCATGACTAAAGTGTGCAGATGCAACATAATTACATTTTAAAAAGAGGTCTGAGCTTTAGGTTTTTATGCCTGTTCGGTGCGTCGTTTTGCTCATAAGAAAATGATTGTACTCACACTTGACGTCCAGTGAGATGAGCCGCTCATAGACCAGTGTGGTGTTGGGGTAGTAGACCCTGCAGCCCAGCAGCTGCCCGTTGTGCATTGGTCTGGGCGTGAAGGTGAGAGTGTTGGACAGCACTGCTGTGTTGCTCTCCTCCAGGTTTTCCGAGCTGAACTCCGGGTCAGGCAGGTAGTCAGTGTACATCCACTGGATGTCTGGGGTCATGTCGGGACAGTTATCAGGAGCGTAGCACGTCAGCTCCAGGCTCTCGTCACTGACGATCTCCTCTGGTATGTCAATGTTGGGCTGATCTGGAGAAAACAACACATTTAGCCTTTTGTGTCGCGGCAGCTAACAGCTGGTATTGAAGTTTGCGATCTAGTGTTTGGACGAGTTCATTTCACATGTGATTCACCCAAAACTTTGAGTTCAGTGAAGTCCGGGTAAGAATATTTGTTGGCTCCCCCGACATCTGCCCGGAAGTAGTATCTCCCCGAGTGCTCTGCACCGATGTTGCCGATAAGCAGCGTGCAGTTCCTCTGGTTTAAGTCGCCCAGCAGCTTGGTGCGGCCCTTGAAGCTCTCGTGCACGACGTCTGTGAGCGATTTGAAGACTACAGGGGGGAAGAGTTGAGGATATGGCTGGCCAAAGTACCAGATACCATGAATGCCCTTGACTGGCCTGATTCCAGAGGGATACATGAAGCTGCACGGGATGACCACGCAGGAGTTGGTCATGGCTGAGATATCCCGAGGTAGCCAGATATTCCACTGGGAACTTGCATCTAAAGGAGGAGACAGACGCTGGAGTAAATTTAGTGTGTAAAATCAAACGCAAGGGAAAGTTTCATGCATGACGATGAGTCTGGTGGTGTCTACCATCAAACAAGGAGTTTCTTACTATGAATGATCAACAGCAGAGGTAAGAGCAGCTCCAAACACCACATGGTCTCTGCTCAATGCTGGACCATAGACCTAGAGAGGGGACCTATATAAAAAAGTTGCAAAGTATCCCTTTAATTATTCATACTGAACAATGCTTTTGCTTTGGATTACATAAATATGATGAATTTTTGCTTTATGCTGGATTTCCTAAAGCGTTCGGAAGCTAAATGACCCTGACGGAGACAGAAAACTGGTGCTCTGACGACGAGTTTTACTCCACTCGACTTTGGTACGTTTGATGAAGATCAGAGGCTGAAATTATAAAATCAAAACCTGTTTGCATGGTGGGATTTTTAAACTGAGGTGCAATATATTCTACTTACTCTGCTGGAACAAAATTTCCACAAATGGTGTAAAAAAATAAAGTTTAGAAAATATTGCTAATGTAAAAGATATTTTATTGTACATATTGAAGAAGCTTATGAGGACTAATATGTATTAGTTTGAATTGCACTTGACTTTTGGGGGACCGATGTTCACTTTGTTTTCAATTATCTAACAAGAAATACCATATCCGATTCATTTAAAGCAGGGGTGTCAAACATGCGGCCCGCGGGCCAGATCCGGCCCACAAGCGGGTTAAATCCGGCCCGCGAGATGGTTGTGTAAACTTTATTTTCATACTTTACAATGTAGAGTGAAAATAAACGTATTATTGTGAGCAAGTTTTCTCTGTAATGAGTGTAAATAAAACAAAGCTGCGCTCAAGGCTCACACAAGAACTTGAATCACATCTTGAAGTCGGCTGCCACTCAGGATGTGACTTCTGATACTGATGTGCTGGTGAAAGCTAAAAGATGTAAAGTAAAATGAGTCAAATATACTTTAAGTGCTGCATGAAACTGATCTAGCCATGTGATCTGTAAGCTCTTTGAATCACTAAGGAATGTTTTATTTATTGATTGATTTTTTGACTTTTTTTTTCTCACATTTTCAAATACACTTCAGGTGTTGTACTTGTACTATTTTGGATACACTGTTCTCAGGCTCCAGTCTTGTTTTATATTGATAGTATTAAAACAAAGAAAACAATTTGAAGTTGTTTTTAATTTACCGGTCCGGCCCACTTGGGACGAGATTTCTCACAATGTGGCCTCCGAGCTAAAATGAGTTGGACACCCCTGATTTAAAGGATTAACAGCATTTAGGCCACTGTTTCTTCACTTCTTCTGTTAACCAACACAAAGATAATTCTATTTTTTTTCTGCACATTTTTCAAAGCAGAAAACAAAAGTCTGTTTTTACCTTGAAACGTTTCACCGACAGAACCTCTGCGGGACAGTTTAGCAGCAGCTCCACTACAGGACGTTGACTCACACCCCGACAGCTCGACAGCCTCCCTCTCTAAATGAAAGAAACAAACAAACACCAGTTAGATTAGCCTGATCAGGCGACGACATCCCTCTCGCTCACGCTGAGCTGTAGTAAGTCACACAAACGCATCGTCAGTAAGCACCTGCCCGCTGTTCCCTCTCTGGAGTTTTCTCATCATGGTCGCCATATGTAAAGCCCAACGATGAATGACCCTCACTGTTGGCTGAGCTCTGACATGGAGCCAAACACCAGTCACCACATCATGTCATCGGCAGATTACTGACGCTATTTGTGCCGTGCTAGGATTAAATCAGGAGAAAAGAACGGTGACGGTGTGTAAACACGAACCACTGATGCAAAACGGAACAGCAAAGGCAGTAGCATCACACTTCGAGTTAGCCTGCTTTACTTTCTATTTAATCCACGTAAATCTTTTGTATTTATCTGTTTCCAGAGCTCTGCGTGTGTTTATTGTTCATGTACAGCCGTCTGTGCGGCATCACATCCCCGTAGAGTTGTTGAGGCTCTGTGTCCAAAAATAGCCACAGCCACATAGGTCACAAGTTCAGAGAAGTGGGGGTTAAAAGGTCAGGATCCCATTGGGGAATGTGATGTTCCTGTGGAGAGGAGGAAGGCCAAAGAAACATCTCATCTGTAACACAAGTCATGAGTAAGATGGCCGTCCTTTTTGTTTCAGACTCTAAAAAGGTAATTCACTCATATTGTAATACATTTGTTTAGGAATCAATGCCTTGTAAGTCATATTCTGGGGAAAAAAAGTTCCGGTGCACCTCTCTGAGGACGTAGAAGTCAGCTGGAGGAGAAAGTGGTAGAAGATGGCAGGATTTGGAGTCGTATTTCCTGATATTTGGACATTTATCCGATGATTGGATTACAGGAATGCGACACTACCACCGACTTTTATTTCCACAAATAACACAAGTGGGGTTGCTAACGGTTAGCTTCTGCTAGCCGAGACGTTCTCTGCTGTTTTCTGGACGCTAGACCAACAAAGCGACAGTGTGACGTAGATCTGTCAGAATTTTCAAATACTAGAGTTTCACCGTCTATTTTTCATCAGAAGCTGATGCAGGAGATGGTGTAGGAGACTATTTTCATGTTCAGCCTGCATGAAAAACTCAGAGTGACCAAATCTAATCAGAATTAATCATTTAAAAATAGGTTTTTCAGTGAAGCTGACCTTTAAGTATGTTTTGTTGTTACTTGTGCAGACTTTTATCCGTTATTCTTCTTTATTCTTGTTATTAAACAGTTTAGCTGCTGATGCACCAAAATGTCCCAGCTGAGGTACAACTAAGGAACATTCTATTCTATTACATTGTGATCCACAACAGATTTCTTTCGCTTACATTTTCGTTTCCATCAACGAATTTACAAATTCAACGTACACAGTTGATTATTTCATCTGAAAAAGAAAAAAAAGTAGAATTGACGCACGCAAAAAGAACAAGCAGACTTTGGCCCGGTGCTGCAGCAGCCGGTGTGTGCAGATGGCGAGACTGGGAGTGGATAGAGCTTCAGAGCGTCATGATTAACACATCTCAACATCCCCCAGAGAATCTATGGCCAATATTAACTTTGCTGATGGACAGCCGGGGGGGTAAAAAAAATCCTGTTTGGTTTTGACATTACCATGGATGCGTCATGCTGCTCAATGTGCATCTTCACTGCTCCAGATGGCCGGATATTTAAAGACGTGTAAAAGGAGTTTGTTAATCCACCATCTTTAAACTAGCAGTTGCTGATCCTTCCAGCCTCTTGGTGGCAGTGAACTCAAGTGTGACTCCAGCAGCATCCAATAGAGTTGCCGTTTCATTGATAACTGATTCAGAGTGTGAAATAAATCATTCTAAATGTAGCGTTGTGTTGCTCAGCATCTCCTAACTGAGGCTGAACTGGTTTATTTAGTCAGATCAACACTTTTTTAAGCCCGTTTTATTTATTTTAAGTATTTTGAAGTAAAATAGGTGGCAATCACAAGTGTGATTCCACATTTCGAAATTATAAACCCAACTTTTTCCAGTGTTTCATCAACATTCTGTGTTCCAGTGAAAGGTCAAAGCTGTGTGAGTATGTCTAGGGAGAAGGATGCCGTGCTTCAGCAGCAGCAGGGGGGATTAGAGGCGAGCAGCCAGGCATGGCCACTGACACCACCGCCAACCCACAACAACAACGGCCTCATTGATGGAGCAGACAAAAAGCTGGCACAAGGCACACAGCATACGTGTGCACGGTTATGGGCACACGCAGAAAACACTTGCCTCATACCAGCCTCAGCACCAGGCTCCTGCTGCCTCGCAGCCCTGAAGAAGACTCCTTTTCTTCTTCTTCACGTTGTTTGTGTCCTCCTCGAGTCGGTCGTTCTGCTCCAGGTCCAAATTGCCAGACTCTGGGGTGGGAGGCAATAAAAAAAAAGAATAAAGAAAACAGAAAAAGTGACACAATCGAGAAGAAAAGAGGAGTCTGTGTGTGCTGTGTTCACACTAGATGTGGGCAGATTTAAAACGGCTCCGTGGCCCACTCAGCATTCCTTTTCCTCTGATTCATCCTTTTCCCTGAGGTATCCCGTGTGTCTCCGACGCCTCCGTCACGGCGGCAGAAGCCACTCAAACTCTTAGTGCCGCTCGTGCTTTAGCATCGCCTTCAGTAAGCCCGCATCAGGCATCAGGAGGAACTTGTGAAATAAATGTGGTGAAAATGATCTATTTTCTTTAAATCGCAACCAAAAGGACGACTAATTGTAGTTAAAGTCTCTGAATCTGCAGCTGTTTGTGGACAACTGATCAACGGGATCATGCAGAACTAGTATTTACCCTGGAATGTGTGAAGGCAGGACGTAAGCATGAGAAATTCATTGAGTTTGCACGTCAATACAGCAAAAGCAACAATAAGAACGGTTTTCCAGCCTCCGTGTTGCGTCATGAGTTTAAACTCCATCAGACAAGCGGCTGAGCGACGGCTGTGAATGAGCTGTGGGTAACCACAAAGGGAGTTCCTCCACAAACAGTCTCCAGAGGAGCTGCATGAGAATGTTGCTTTGATATTCCAGAGACAAGCACGAACGAATAAGCGGCGTGCCATAATCCCACACACATGCAGCATAAGGGTGTGCTGATACGTGCCCTCCTCTCTGCTGATAGTGAACTAAAATTGCTCCATTGTCCCGCTGGGCCTGAACTCCTCATCTGTTCTCCCACACTCCACGGTGAGACTAAACTTGGTCATTTTGTGGTTGTTTTCAGTTTTGTGTCACAAATAAACCAGCAGAAATACTTTTTCTTCATCTGATACGCGATGCCTTCCACAATCCTCACTTTTCTGTGTAATTGCTCATTTCACATCAGTCCTGAGGGACACGGACACAATCGGAGCAATCATTTCTGCTAAATCAGGTTGTGACACCTTTTATGTCGTCTATGGAGCTGGAATTGCTCACGCAAACACTCGACAGCACCAAGAAAAGCGTTTTCATTGTGAGTGTCGTCTGTCTGCGGAGGGAACCGCTCTTGGACCAAGGGAGGGGTAGAGGTGGAAAGAATAGGAAGCTTGTATGCAGAACACTGCCCATTGTGCAAAAGGACATTTTTCCGGAACAGGCTCGCTCACAGCTTGCGCTTCGCTGCCTGCCCGTGACGCTCGTAGCTCCAACACAAGCTAAGGCTCCCACTAAAATCCTCAGAGGAGCAGATGGTCTTTAAAACATGGCTGCTCCCCATCCCACACACGCCGGGTTGAGCTGTGATGAGCCCAGCGCGCTACATACACACTCACAGACTGAGATATAAACATGGAGATGGAGATTTTCCAACATCCAGTCACACAGTCTGTTCAAAGAACAGCAGAAAAATGAAACACGGGACTACGAAAGAGTAATAAAATCAAACAGATTGGCTTGCTTTTTGCTCATTTCATAAGAATTGCTGATGTTTTTAGATACAAAGAGAATGACGTTTTGGGGGGGGGGGGGGGGGGTCTCCTCAAGGAAAAGGTGAGAAACCACAAAAAAGACAGTAACTCCACATCAGATGTTTCTCTGTAACTTGAGCTGTAAATAACATTTTTCTGATTTTCTTTTCTCAATTTCACTTCCAGATTCACATCGAGTCAAAAAGGAGTGCTTTGATTTGCCAACCGCCAAGCCCAGGAGGACCCAGGGGCTACCTTTAAAGCCTTTTCCACCTGGAAAACCAGCCTGGCAATTCCCATCTCAGTGGGCAGATGGTGAGCCACGGGCTTCCTCTCACAAGAGCCCTGTCGCTTCCGCTCTGAACGAGAGGAGGGGAGAAACCAAGCCGTCACCTGTTCAGCGAAATGTACAAATACAATGAGGCCGTTTCATAGGACGCCTTAAACGCCATTCCTGATTAGATTCTACAAGAAAGGAGCGTTCAGACCACAGCTTGTCTGGGATGATAGAAATTTGGATGGATGACCAGAATCTTTACAGAAAATGTGATGTTTTAGTTGGGAAAATCATGTTTTTTTAACTCAGTGTGTGAAAAGCTTCAAAAATTGAAACATCAAGTGGGCAAAAGGTGAAACTTTCCTCACATTCGTGGACTCTATAACTGTCTTTTAAAAAGATCTAATAGTCCAACTTTTATAAGGAAGACGCAGCAGAAAACTATGCAGGACCCTTGTGTTCCTGCTAAAATCATCCACCTGCAGATGCACTTCTTGGAAAACTGTTTTAAAAATAAAAAGACATATTTCAATGGACTGAGAAACTCTAAAGGTTACAGTTCAATTCAAGCGCTTCCAAAACAATTTTGATTGAGTATGAAATCGCACAAACGTCCACCGTGTCGGTGATGATGTGGTGAAACAGTCAGGTGGTCCAGGAATCGCTGCTCACTGATGACCTGAAATCCGTCCAGTAACAATTGGCTAAGCTTTTAACCCCCCCCCCCCCCCCCCCACCCACCCACCCACACACACACACACACATACACACACACCAGGATATCTAACAATCACATCGCAAATGCTGTCGCTCATCCAGGCAATCACACACACACACACACACACACTGTTACTCTGTACCTAATGTTGTTTAACTTGTGACTCATTCCGCTTTACACTCCCTTTCTCACCAGTTAGTAGTGTTCACAAAAACAAGCACACACATGCATGCACGCACACACACACACACACACACACACACACACACACACTGTTACTCTGTACCTAATGTTGTTTAACTTGTGACTCATTCCGCTTTACACTCCCTTTCTCACCAGTTAGTAGTGTTCACAAAAACAAGCACACACATGCATGCACGCACACACACACACACACACACACACACACACACACACACACACACACACACACACACATACGTACTCATCCTGACTGTAGGTGTTTGACCTTTAAAAAGACACGTGATAAAATTAGAGCGAAAGCCAGATTTCTTTCTGCACCTAAATGCACTTTTGCTTCTTTCTTGGTAAAAGGAAATAAAATTGGAACTTCAAAAAACTCCAAAATGCCCCAAAACAAAATGAGAACAGCTGATGCTCACCTGCGCAGGTGATGGTGACCAATCTCCAAACGTTCAGCGGCAACTTTTTCTGCTCTTTCCTTCGACACTCAAGAGTCACGCCAGCTAAACCTCTCGCCACTCTCTGTACCAAGCCCCAACAGTGGAGAATAACCTGCCCTCCCCTCCACCACTGCCACCGCCATCATCACCCCCCCCCCACCCCCACCCCTCCCATATGAAAATCAGCCCTTCAGTATAGCAGCATTGTTCTACAGCTTTGCCCCAAGGCTCTGTCATTCATAAATACATTGGGGGCCACAAAGAGCCACACTGTCCCAGTGCTCCCTGACAAATATGGGCGAGGCTTTGAGCTCCCAGTTCTTTAAGTCCAGCTTGACCAACTGGTTCGGATTTGGATGAAACTGAGCACTTATGGTTACTTCTGATTGATGGAGAGCGGGCAGTGACGTTTGTAAAGTGGGATGTTTGAGAAGAGTCAGTGAGGATGGTCCGGGACGACAGAAGGCACTGGAGTAGGGAAAGTGGTCATGCTGATGTGTCATATTTAAGTCAGTGCTACAGAAGTTTAAAAGGAAACACACGGAACCTGAACGGTAACTAATACGTTCAACTCCTAACCACAAATCTTTTTTTTTTTGACTAAATGGTTTCCATCACTAAGCATAAAAAATACATTTCAAAGTACCTAGAGCCACTGGAAAAATACCATCATCATGTCAGCATGTTAGTACCACATATGGTGCTGGATGTGGAAAAGAAAGAGTCGGTACTCCCCTCGGAAAAAATGTCAGAAAAATGTAGATTTATCCAGGGATGTAAAAAAAATCCATACGCTGAAATATTGCAAAATTTCATGTTGTTATACTGAATTGATATTTAAAAGTAGTGTATCAGCATTTTTACTGAGAATTTACATGCAAACCATTTCTTTAGTTTGGTGCAATCCCAACACTGACATCTAGGTGGCAGCAGTTTCAATATGACGGAATATTTAGATCTCATAGAAACAAAGGATGTGTTTAACAAGCAAAACAAAGAGTTTAACCTGAGGTTCCTAATTAAATTCAGTCTTGATTGCAAATATCATTTAGTCATTTAAATATTGCAATAAATCGTATCACCTCCTCTGTATTGTGATATATATCGTGTCGCCAGATTATTGACACTACACACTGTCGGACTTAACCAATGCATTAAGGACTGGCGGTAAATCTAAATTTTGTTTATTCTCTGTCACTATCAGTAAACATAAGGGTGTTGGTTTTTCAGATGCAAGCAGGATTATACCAACTCTTTAAAAGAAAAAGGCACCAAAACAAGACGTTGTCTGGCCATAAAGTGACTGTTTTATCTCTGACTGTTTCACTCACATCAGTGTTCTTCAACATCTCACAGTCTAAGTGAAGTTTCCACCCAACTGTGTGCGAGTAGCTTCTCCATTACTGCTTCAGTGAAGTCTGTAGGCTCCTACACAACCATCACAGGGCCCAGACATTCAACCGGTGTCCTCCTGAAGCTGTTTTTAAACAAGTTGTCAAAGCAAGTCCAGCCCACACGCAAAAAGCTAAGATCAGATGGGCCTTTTTTCTAGCACACACTACCCGGCCAAAAAAATAATTAAAAAAAAGGATCACACACTCTATTATTTTGTTTGACCACCTTTAGCTTTGATATCGGCTTTACAACAGTGGACTACTTTTGATTAAGCACAACCCGGAGATTCTCAATGGGGTTAAGGTCTGGACTCTGTGGTGGCAATCCATGTGTGAAAATGATGTCTCATGCTCCCTGAACCACTCTTTCACTATTTGAGCCCGATGAATCCTGACATTGTCATCTTGTAATATGCCCGTGTCGTCATGGAAAATGGAATAACGTGGTCATTCAGTAGATTCAGGTAGTCAGCTGACCTCATTCTTGGAGCACATCCTGTTGTTGAACCTAGAACTGACCAACTGCAGCAACCCCAGATCATAGCACTGCCCCCACAGGCTTGTACAGTAGGCGCTAGGCATGATGGTTGCATCACTTTATCTGCCTCTCTTCTAACCCTGATGCGCCATCACCCTGGAAAGGGGTCCTTCTGGACTCAGACCAGTTTTTAATAATGCGTTGGACAGTTCTTAACCCAGTTTTAGTCGTTTCTGCAACCTCCTTAGATGTTTCCTCTGCTTGATGCCAATGCCCTGACCCTTCTCAAACAGACTAACATCTTTTCCATGACCACTGGATGTGTCTTTCCACATGGTTGTTTAAGAAATGAGAAGCAACCCAGCTGAAAGATAATCACCCATGCAGTAATTATCAATTAGGAGGCTTGTACCTATTTGCTTAGCTACATCCAGGTGGTGCATTTATTTGTATTTTTTATTTTTGGCTGGGCAGTGTATTTGACAAATTGCCATTTTAAAGCTGTTTGTAACTCTTTTTATTGCATTTCAGATCAGGCCATATATACCATCATCCAACTATCTCATCCTGCAGAAAACCAGGTTGCATGAAAGTTGGGTGAATCTCAGTGATTAGAAACATTGTTTTGAGTCTTATTTCAAGCAGGAAACCTTGTTCTCAAGGATCAGTGTAGAATGTGGAATGGGATTATTTTACTGAATTAGGCCAAACTAGTTCTGAAAATAAGGAATAGTTTGGATAGTGAGGATGCTGAATAAACTTTTATCCTTCATGAACAATGACCAGCACTCCCTCCATCACACAGCAGACAGACAGAGGAGCACCTTCTCACACAGGCTGCTACAGCTCCGTTGTCAAAGGGAAAGATACAGTAAGTATCTCCTACCATATGCCATCACATTGTACAATAGCAACAACTAAAATCTGGCTCATAACATACAGTCAGTGTGTTTTTTTATCTTATACTTGTCAGCCTTTTTATATTGCTACCCGTCTCAATGTGTTTTATGCTGCTGCTGCACAGCAATTTCCATCCATCTATCTATCTATCTATCTATCTATCTATCTATCTATCTATCTATCTATCTATCTATCTATCTATCTATCTATCTATCTATCTATCTATCTATCTATCTATCTATCTATCTATCTATCTATCTATCTATCTATCTATCTATCTATCTATCTATCTATCTATCTATCTATCTATCATCTATCTATCTATCTATCTATCTATCTATCTATCTATCTATCTATCTATCATCTATCTATCTATCTATCTATCTATCTATCTATCTATCTATCTATCTATCTATCTATCTATCTATCTATCTATCTATTATCTATCTATCTATCTTCTATCTATCTATCTATCTATCTCTCTCTCTCTCTCTCTCTCTCTCTCTCTCTCTCTCTCTCTCTCTCTCTCTCTCTCTCTCTCTCTCTCTCTCTCTCTCTCTCTCTCTCTCTCTCTCTCTCTCTCTCTCTCTCTATCTATCTATCTATCTATCTATCTATCTATCTATCATCTAGAAAGATGCAACCTGAAGGAATTTTTCCACAAAATGTCCATGGCATGAGTACATTCTTTATGCATTGTTGCACCTTCAACTACATCCCAGGTGTCAGCTTTTGAACTGGGCACCAATAATTATAAATAAAAAGTAACTAAATATCATAGAATCACTTAAAATATGGCAGTACAAGCTTGATTTAATGTTTTTCAAATGGTTCACACTTTTAAAACATATTCTTTTCCTCCGTTTCTAACTTAAAACCCCACCTTAAGCACAAATATCTATAATCAAAAAATAAACTAAATTTAAATAGAATCCATTTTATGTGCTTCATAGCATGACATGAAAACCTGAGCTGCTAACAAACCTCGTCCCTCCTCCTGAAACAGTGGCCATTGTCCCCCAGAGGCCTTGTGGGACACAACAGCTCAGCTGGAGCCTGACACCGCACAACACTGGGAAGTCGATGCGCACAGATAATTGTCTTTTAATCACAACAATCCCCCTTTCTCTGCTCTTGTACATTTGTCTTTGTCTCTTGTTCAACCTTCCTCCTCTTGCTTTGCAACTTTTATTGCTTTTGGCAAGTTTCACCAATCAGAAGTTGTGCTGAAACAAGGAAACTGGTCCGAACTGGAAAAAAAGCTTGGTTACAACCTAAACGTTAACAAATTTGTTTTGATGAGATGCTTCTTGTGGGAGTACAATATAAATAAATAGCACAACTTTAATTGAAGAGGAGGGTGAAATAAAAGTAAGACTCCAACCCTTCTCAACCTCACTTTTCAACACTTGGAACAAATCATAATTATCTGACGGAGGACTCATCTCCCTTCCAGATTTGTGTGTCCCTTGTCTCGTCTCTCTTAAGCAGCTCAATCCAAGGATGCTCCAAGTTTGCACGTCTGTTCAAACACAGCTGGTGATTACGACTTGCACGCTGATGGGTAATGATGGGTGTCTCGTTTCCACAAATGCAACCTCAATATTCTATTCCACTAAAGGCTTGTGTTCATCATGTTTCATCTGATGAGTAAAGGTGTTAAAAGTGATCGGCTGACTGATGCTTGTGTGAATGTGACGCACAAACAAGGTTCCCAGCTTTTGGTTTCATTTCTTCACGCTGGGGTTGGATGTTTGTAAAATTTAGTTTTGCCGGAAACGAAACTTAAAAAAGACCCGGACTCTATAATTTGACATATTTTAATCATTTAGGGAAATATTTGCTTATTTCAGTTTATCCTAAAACCTGATCTAAACATGAAAGCCAGAATCCACGTTGTTCACCTTTATAGGATCCAAAATAAACATCCAAAATCCCTACCAGTAAAACATATCAGATCCTTGCCGCCGAGTCACACATAAAATCATATTTATACAGTAAGACTGTGTTGTTTGAGGCGGTGTGGGCTGCTGTGTGGGTGGATGATGATGGTAGTTGTTAGGATTGTACTGGACAGAGACGAGTGACAGAACAACACTAAGAAAGGCCCCATTGTCCCTTTATCCTCTGCTGGACAGGAGCAGGGGTTGACTGCCATTTGTGAAAGCTCAAGTGGCTGAGAAAGTGCTAACACGTTGTGTTTACTTCTTCCACAGGTGGAAGTTCGACAATTCTGGTTTTTATTTGTTATTGCTGATCTGAATACTGCGCTTAAAATAAATACTATTTGCATGCAACAACAAACCATTTATTTTTAGCACAGTCTCATTTTTTTGTTTCCAGTCACTGTGAGGTAATTCAGCACGCAGCTAT